TACAAAGGTATTTAAACTAATAAAGGATAAATTGTATCTTTAATAATTACCTCAAAACTAAAATAATAAAGAAATAAATATGTAATAAATTTTATTTACATACAAAATTTAAATATTTACATGCCTAAGATACTAAAAACTCAGTCCTAGTTGTCATCATTGTGTTAATCTTTTATCTCAGTCAGCTCTTTAAGAATTTGGTCATTATCTTTTCTGAGATCTACATAATCAAATACAACCTCAACACTTGTTATCCATTCAAAAGCATATTGAGTAGGTCTCCCAAGAATGTCGTGATAAAAGAAAGTGTAAACATTATTTACAACTACTAAAGGTCTAACAGTCACTCAGTAAATATATATGCTAAGGGTGTATCGAATTCTATTATTTGTAAAATAATCAAAAGAGACATCATGATCTACATTTATCTCTACAGTCTATATACTAGCTGGGTCATCATCATAATATATATTAAAATTAAAATAGTAAAATCGTTGATATTCTTTAAAAACATAATTTAGTTTATAGCTAATAAGATGATCTATTAATCTACTTTGTCTCTGAGGCTCTGCCATCTTTATTCCTTAAAATGTTTAGTAAATATGAACATCTATTTTATCACTAAATATAACACAATTTCATTATTAACCATCATAACATAATTATAATTTTGAAATAAAAGGAAATATTGTCACCATAACTACACAAACAAAGTCAACAATAGATTTCAAATAATCTTACATAATCACCAATCACTACACTTTTCTTGTGCAATGTAATTACAGATATTCAATGTCTAACACTTCTTGAAATCTTATATAGATAGGTAAATACTCATCGGTTAAGTCATGTATATGAATATAACGTACACAATAACAAGCCCTTAAGTAAAGGTATAGTCAGGAGTCTAGTCTAGAAACGAATATGATGCCACGTGATGCATTTGCTCTTAGAAAGAGTGTGTACATATACACGAATGTTACTTATCATCCTATGTTTCTCCCAAATTTCACATCATCTTTGGACTCTATATCTCTAGTGTATCTCTGTAACTATTTACATTAGTCCCTTTCATCATTTTGTACTCATCCCATATTCCTTTTTATATCAATCTCATCACTTAGCTAAAAGATTATACTTAGTAAAGTACTATAAACTAAGTCCAAATTACACATAATACAAGAATATAGTACTAACACCCAAAATCAGTCAACATACATCATTAACCCTTTCATCACAATCAAGTTTTATTCAACTAAAGTATTAGTTCTCCAATAACAATTCCATACTAAGTCCTTATCACATGTTTCATAGAAATATAGTACAAACATATAAATCAACCAATATGCATCATCAATAGTCACAACACTCAAATATCATTCAATTACATATTCACATGCAAGAAATACATAATAGCACTCTTGTAAGTCTAAAATATACGCTATGTTATAATAAAAAAATAGAACTCTCTTTATCTTAAAAGAAGATTTAGAAAGGATTTTTGTAAAGCTTATCTTTCAAAGAATAGAGTTCTTCCTAAACATCACAAAATAGGATATCCTTGAGAAAATAAAAAATGAAGAGAAGAAAATAGAGAATGGAGAATTAAACTCTGAGAAACTTACTTGGAGTCATTCGAATTGAACATTCAAGTTTGAATTCGAGGAACGATTGGGGTTTGAAGGATATTTCCCTAAGAAAAAAAATGTGAGAGTTTTGAAAAAACACAACTTGGATTGTAATGCAAGTTTTCATGCTGAAAAACCTTTAAATACCTCTCAAACTCGCACGTTCTTTCTTGAGTGAGCTAATTATCGCTTGAGTGAGGAACAATCTTGCTTGGGTGAAAACATCAAATAGTTGTCTTCTAAGCCTTTTTTGATATTCTTGCCTAAGTAAGGGTTATTCTTGCTTGAGTGAGAAGGGGTGTAGAAAGTTGGTTATTTTTTCCTATGAGTCCTTGCTTGTGCGAGTCCATCTCTCCTAGACAAAAGGATAGTTGGGGCAATTTTATCCTATCTTGCTTGGGCAAAACTCATTCCCACTTGAGCAAAAATGCTTTATAATCACCTGGTCTAGAACGTTTAGTCTCACTTAAGCGAGTCATCCTGCACCAACCTCATTCAAACATTTTTCCATTTAAAATACATTTTCACCATAATCAATAGCAATTATATAATTAAAAAAAAGAAGAGTTTTACATTAGGACATAAGCACTCAGTTAAGTATGGAAATAACTCTAGAATATTTGTAGCTAGAAAAGGTAGTGTTAGATTAGTGTGTAATGACACTACTTTTTTTATTTGAGATATATATTATATAACTGAGCTTCAAAATAATTTGTTGAGTATTGGGCAGTAGTAAGAAAAGGGCCCTACCATTCTCATGAAAAATAAGACATGAAATATTTATCATCTAGGCAAAGGCTTGATTGTACACACAAAAATAAATATTAACCGTATGTTTATCCTTCTAAATGAAAGATTCAACATCATTGGCTCTGTTGAAGAATGTCTACATGTTTCTTTGGATCTCACTTACCTTTGGCATCAAAGGTATATTCATTTAAGTTATAAAGATTTGAAGACATTACAAAGAAAGAAAATGGTGCATGGAATACTCTAATTAGAATTCTTAAATGTCCCTTGTGAGGATTGTTTTACTAGTAAGCAACATGATAATCAAATTTCCCATAAAAGTGAGTGGCGTGCTAACAAGTTCTTGAAACTCATACACGCAAATATTTGCAGATCCAATAAAATGTATCTCAAATAGTGAAAAATGTATATCTTATGCTTCATTGAGGATTGTAGTTATAAAGGTTGGGTCTATTTTCAATTTGAAAAATCAGAAACTTTGTAATTTTTCAAGAGTTATAGGAAATTGGTAGAAAAAGAAGCAAAGCCGAAGTTTTTCAATAGTTGTAAAGGTTATGTAATAGCCATTTTAAATTCAATAATCTTTGATCAACTTGCAAGATTTTGATATGATAGATCTAGGAAAGATGAAATTCTTCCTTGGCATTGAAGTTTTGTAAAAATTGAAAGGAATTTTTGTATGCCAAAGAAAATATACGATCAATATCTTGAAGAAGTATGCAATATTTGAAAGCAAACCTATGAACGGTCCAACTCTTTTAGATTTTATGATTAATAAAAATGTGGATGATGTAGTTGTGAATGACACTTATTTTAAGTAAATTGTTGGAAGTTTAATGCATCTTATTAGTTATAAAGCCAAATATTATGTTTAATGTGAGGTTAATTTGCAGGTATGTGTCAAAACCAATTGAGTTGCATTTACAAGCTGCCAAAAGAATATTAAGGTACTTAAAAAAAATTGTTAACTATGAAATTTTCTGCAAGAAGGGAGAGGAAAAATACTCAGAGTCTAATTATGTAGAAGATGAAGAAGATTTTAAAAGTACACCTTATTATATTTTGTTATTGAGTTTGGAGCATTATCATAGATGCCCAAAATGCAACCAATCGTTACTCTTGCTTGTCAAGCTTTGTGGATGAGGAGTTTTGAGAAACTTAAATCATATTCAAGAAAATAACACTGTCATTATTTTGTGATAATAGCTCAACAATTAAACTTTCATAAAATTCAATAAAACACGAACTAACATATCAGAGTACATTTTTATTTTTTAAGAGATATTACAAAAGCTGGAGAAGTTAAGTCAGTGCACTGTAAAATTCAGGAGTAGGTTGCACATTTTATGACTTTAGCCTTGAAACCTAAGGCCTTAGGCCTTCCAAAAGCTTAAGAAGAAGATAGCGAACTTTGATCTCAACAGAGTTGGAGGAATCGTAAAGAGATCTTTGCTATTACGATAGATTAAGAGTAGATTTGATGTTACAATTTATTACTCTTAGTTTATTGTTGAGAATCATATAGTTGTACGTGAACTGCATTTTGCTAAGAGTTGTAGTATCTTAATTAATAGTTGATTTTGACATAAAAAAAAAATTAAATGTTCAGATTTCTTTGAAATATCTTAATATAATTTCTTTTAAACTAAGTAGTTGGATAACTTAATTATCCTTGTTACTAACACCTGAAGATCTTTTAATCCAATGTTTATGGGATGGCAAAGAATATGAATTCATATATCCCCGGTTTATGCTGAACTTATACAATATACATGATAAACAAAGCCTAGTACACAGTACAAATTTATCATCTTAATAATGCAAATTCCTAGACCACATCGGTAATCAACAAGAAACACGTGAGAGTAATAAAATAAAAAATTCAAACCAAGATGAGTCACCTACTCATCCATGGAAAGGAAATTCTCATTTTATCTCCGCCGATTGTCCTGCTTAAACTTTTTCATCAATCAATGACGTTTTTTTGTTCTTATTGGATTGAATTACTGATGTTTATTACCCGTTTTTCTTTAATAATTAAGAGATATGATTGCCTTTTTATTTCTTTGGATATATATTATTCAAGAATTTTTCTTTTATTATATAGGCATATTTAGCTACATGAAGTATCTCCGGATTAGTTTTGAATGATTGTGAGCAAAAGCTTTCATTCAATCTAGATGCATATGTGTGTAAACATTATTCGCCGTCGTTCATCATAGAAGATACTTGTTGTAATGCCTTGATTTGTATGTGTTAAAAATGATAAGACTTGAGTGTAATGCTTGCCATGAAAGAATGTATTTACCTTGTCTTATTGCGTTGATTGTTGAATTATAACTGAATGTGCTGTGTGTTGAGCTTATGTGGATGTATATGTATATATATATTAGGTAGTGGCTGAATTTGAAATGAGAGGAATAACATGAGTTCTGGTGCAGGGCCTTCTCGCTGTAGTGAGAGGTCCCAGGGAGAAAAGCATGCGTCTGTCGCCTTCTTGTTGTAGCGAGAGAGGTCTCGCTGTAACGAGAGAATGACAGCCTAGGCTGCATTTATGGGTGCAGTTTCGCTGTAGCGAGATTCTGCAGAAACCAAAGTGCAATTTCTTCTGAGTTTTTCATTATGGCGAGAGGGCATGTCGCTGCAGCGAGAGCGCCGCATTTCAGACCGTATATAAGGGTTCTTAGAGGACTGTGCAAGGGTTATTTCAAAACTCTCGACCCCTCTCTTCTCCCTTTCGCATTTTCGGTCGATTCCCGCTCCAAATCACTAGGAAACCCCAACCTTTTGCGTGATTCTAGGCCGAAGGGAGTGATTGAAGCCATTTTGGGTAAGTTCTATGGTTTCCTTTGAGATTTCTTGAATTTCTCCAATCCCTATTCAATTTTTCTGAGCTTAGCTGCGGTTGCAGGAAAGTTCTTGCAGATTCTAGACTTGAATAACCGAGAGCACCTTGAAAAAAACACTGGATTACGGTAAGGGGAGCTTGCCCTAGGTCATTTTGATGATTTGGAAGTGATGAGAGGTGTTGAGAGAGAATTAGAGCTGTGTTTTTAGAATGAAATTGTTGTATTGATGTGATTGATTGTTGTTGAACCCTAGGAGAAGTAATTTGATAGCCGAATGATAGAGTATTGTGGTTGTATTCTGTGAAAAACCCTAGGGAGGATGACCCAATGTGCTGAATATGACGTGTAGTAAATTGTTGGGCTGTTTGCTGAGTTAATAATTTTGTATTTGCTGAAAATTGCTGAATTAGTTGAGTTGTTACATAATTACTATTGCTAAAATACCGAATGAGCTGTTGTTAAATTCTATCCATGTAATTGCTGAAATTATTAATATGCTGATTACTGCATCATACTAAGCTGAATAGGGCTGTCATGATAGGCGCTGTGTCACATGCTAGGTGAGTAGTCATGTGGCTTTAGAAAGCTGAGTTGTACTATCTGGATCTAGATACCAGAACGAGAACGGGTCACTCCCGGACCAGCACAGTCCCTCTAGACCTACCAAATGTGCTGTTGAAGGCCAGATGAGTACTGTTTCTCATAGCTGCATGGGCTGCAATTGCTGTTTCTTGCTGTTTTGCTGAGATTATTCTACCTTGATATGCTGTTTCTTTTTGTAAGCTCACCCTTGCAATTGTTGTTGTTGTGATGTTGTGCTGCGATAATCGTACCTTGATACGTGAGCAGATCAGGCAGGTGAGGCATTGACTTCCCAGATTAACCGGAGTAGCTGATGGAGAAGCGGAGGATTAGTCATTAGGTTACGTTAGAACTGTCTCATGTATTAGTCTTTTGCTGTAATTATTAATTATAATGACAAACTAAGTCATATTTTGAAACACTTACCTTGTTTAAGGATTTTATTTCAAATTACTACATGCTGTTTTCCTTGATGATTATCCATGAGTACCTAATTAAGGGTGATTACTGTGTTTTGCTGAGATTTAGCGGGTTATGTTTATGACTTTGCCTTAGGGTCGTGACAGTTGTAGTACAATAATTTGCCTAATTTGCTGCCAAAACTTCTTTTGAACTTATCTAAATAATGACGTCTTTTTACTAGTCTTTTGACGGGAAGGCTGAGCTCATGTAGGTAATATATATCTATATAATAAAACAAAACTTGAATAATATATATATATATATATATATATATATATATATATATATATTACATTACGTTACGTTAGTAAAAAGATGTGAGAGTAATTGTATTTTAATTTAAAGAAAATTTAGAATTATTATAAAATATAAGTTGAACGTGTTTTATTTATAAAATAGAAAAAAGATTTTAAAGAATGATTATCTATTAACTATTCTTAAAAGTAACTTTGGAGATTAACTACTATTCAAGAATAGATTAGAGAGACACTCAACGTTAATCTTAAGAACTTAATTATCTAGTATTAGATTTTGCTATTAATTATATAATTTTGTTGTTGTGTTAAAAGAAGGATAATTATATTGATTTGGTATACTCAAAAGATACCTTTTGTATAAAATATACGATCTAACAAGGATTACATTTCACTAAATTCTGACTCAATGATCTCGTCTTTTATGGAATCGATCTCCTTTTTGACTATACAGGAATATGTGGAGTTTGATAGATCTAGAAGCACAGGAAAATGTCTTTTTGTTAATATTATTACAAGTATTTGATACTGGATTATTCATAGTATTTGCTAATATTATTATAGTATTTGATACACTAGAAAACAATTCTCTGTTAACTGTTATTAGAAATATACAATAAAATTTAGTTCAATGCTAACTGCTTTTAATTTATATTATTATATAGCAATTTTTTTTAATTACTGTTTAAAGTAGCACTCTAATAATATAGTAGCAATTTTTTCTAATTACTGTTTAAATAGCAGAGGTTTGTTAAATAAAGTTTTCTCTGATGTAGACTATTTTTTCTTGTTTTGCAGATCTAATCCTTCTCTTGTAGCTTCTGGTGGTGGCCTTAATCGTATGGTGAAGTGGCAACTGTAACAACCTTTTTCTAACAACAAAAATGCTAATTTTTTTTTATTCTTTAAATTGATTCTTATTCTTAGTGAATCATTCTCATACAGTCTATCACATGTATATTCTAATCAAGCAAACACACTTTCAATTACAAGTAACTTGTCAAACTTTCCTCCTTGGCAGTCCTAGAGACTGACTTAACATTTGGACAAGGCATAAGGCGTTCCATACCACTTTACACCTTGTATTCCAAGGATCTAATGCATCCCATACCACATTAGTTCACGAGGTAAATGTTAAATCCTTAACTAGTATCATACCAATTTGGTAAAATCTAACATCAAAGAATTACTTACCCAGTGACTCTAATAACCCTAGTTAACATATAGAATTCCATACGTGCAGAGGAATTCCCTTGTGCGACCATGATTCGACTGACACAACTGTGTTTCTAGTTGTACCAATCTTGCTAACAGAATCTTCTTATAATCCTCGAGTATACCTGTGCCCTTGGACACAACATTGAAGATTTGCAAAACAAGAATAAAAGAAGGGGTGAAACTTTTCAAATACTCATAAAAGCAGTTAGGACTTGAAAGGAAGGAAAGAAATAAAGAGGAGAAAGTACAAACTTATATAAAACATTGATTTTCAAAAATTAACTTAACCAATATAATATAAATAATTTCATTCATTTACAAGCAGGCACCTCATACATTTCCAATTCAATACTAGACCATGATGCATTGGACTTATGCATATACTGACGTTTAGTTTGGCTTAAAATCATTTGTTATGCTCATGTGACTCTTGGATCCATTCCTATCATCGGAAGTTGTTGGGAGTTTCACTAGTCAGCCAACATTTTGCATGTTTGGTGAAGACTCGAACCTCCACCGACTGATCTATCTTAACCAACATGATAAGCCTTAGGAGAAGGTCAGGATAAAGGAGCATCGCGTGGAGACTCCCAGCCAGAGTTCCGGGGCCTAGGACACTCATAGGGCTATTGGTAAGTCACCCAACTCCATTAAATCCCCTAGACGTCAAGGTCCTCCCTATCTTTCACCAACAATAGTTATAAAATAACCTCATGACTTCCTTCACAGGAGAGAAGTATCCACACCCATTGTCATCTGAATAGTTCATTTCTCTTTAGAACTCAATCTCCATATCACGCACACGGGTGCCAATTCAAATCAGGATTAATATCCCATATTGTTTCACATCACGCACTCAGACGTTGGTTTAAATTCAGAATCAACATTCCATGTTTAACTATTCAGACAATTTTCACAAGAGATTGACATATACTTATACTAATGCTTTCAAGCACATTCACGAAGGGTCCCTAGCTCACTAGCCTTGTCTCTTTCTTTGAATTCTCAATTTTTATCCACTAATTAGTTTACTACTTATGATTGAAAAGATGTTAGATTTTCACAAACATTTATTTTCCTTGATTCAATCATTAAGGTTCTATTAAGAATTCTAGGTCCAAGACAAGTAAGTGGCTAGACTCAATAGTGTGGTCATGCCTACATGTCAATTCTCTCTAAGCGTTCTCATTAACGCATACACACCCCTTTCAGGGTCTCATAATCACGAGGGCCTCAATCTACCTGCCTATGCATCTCTACATGCTTTCAACCAGCTATGGGTCATCAATTCACATGTGCCAAACCAGATTTTAAAATCATGCAATCATCACATTCATATTTAAATGTCACAATGTGTGCAAGACTTATGCATATACAAATAATAGCATATTCAAAACCACAATGCCTCAATCATCTCCAGTAAAAGTGGATTTTATTCTCATAGGCTTCTTACATTAGGTTTGTCTAAGTTTCCTTATGGCAGTTCATTCAATCTTTTTATCAGACACTTTGCTATATACAAGGACTTAGATTTTATTATTCTTATTATTATTTTCTAAATCCACAGGTATAGTTAACATGACTAGTATTTTATCACACATAACCTAAGTTATTTTGTTCCTATTCTACACATTCAATTAAATTTTCTAAAGGGTTAAATACCTAAATCGAGGCTTCATTTTCTCTTTCTTTTTTCACCCATTATTGGAATATTTGTTAAACTTGTCTAATTTCTTGCTTATTATCAATTTTCTTGTTTAAACTAAAATTATAAATTAGTGTAATTAAGCTTAGCATGACTTAAAGTTATGAGGCTCGGTGGTTCATTAGATTGCCTAAGCAACAATTTAGTCAAGAGGTCATATCCTTTTCTAAATTATCAAAAATAAATTGCTTAGGTGTTTCTATCTAGCATAGTTTGGTTTGATTTTACTAGGTAATAGAAAATACATGTCAATTTATGGCGTAGTTCATTCAACTAGCTTTGGTGTATTTAGTGTTATGTTGTAGGGGACAATTTCCATTCTCTTTTGTATTCATCAAGTTTAAAAGTTTAAAACTTACCATGAAATTTTGCTTAACTTAGCATTTAATCACACAATTTCACACATACATGTGCACCACAGTAATATAAACAAACATATCAATCTCAATATCAAATACATGTTTATAAACTCAAGAGAGTGAGGAATTCTCAAGAACTTTAAACCATACACAACATTGATAATTTCATCAAGTGTATTCTTATCCATTCCATCAATTCCTAACTCGAGTCATATGAAAGTTTCCCCCTCACCTTAGAGAGTAACTCAGCTTGGTGAGGAAAGACGTTCCATTTCCAGCCTGGTTTGGGTTGTAATTGCGTTTTTCTCAATGGGATCGATAATCGTCCTTTCCAAGTGGTTCTTACTATTGAGCCCATAACTTAGGCGTTTAGTATCTGAATGAAGTACGTGGGGGTACCGATGCATTTCTCATTCAAGAATACAGGCACAAAGCTCATTAGAGGAGGTTTTTAACTAAGTCAAATAATTTTAGTTAACTAAACACAGCGTCGGTACAACATGGTGGTTAGTTATGAATAACTAGAATTTCAAGTTTTGATACACTTACCAAATGGAGTGTAATTGAGTGATATAGTGTCCAAATCGTGCTCAAGATAGTTCTTTGAAAAGGTAAAACTATCACGATTTAGAGAATGAGCTGCTGATTTATCCTCGTTCTTTGGGGAAGCAAATGGAATCCAATTCAAACTTGGGATAGCTTGTTAAAAAGCTTATATAACCTAGAATATAGGAACATGGTTAGGAAATGTTTTCCACATGCATGCATAGGTTTCTAGAAATTGAGAAAAAGTTGTTGCCGCATGCAATTTCATAAAAACATTTTCTACAAAATTCTACATTGGACAGCTTGAGAGTTTCGGACCAAAAGCAAGGAAAATGACTTCCAAATTGAGTTCCGCAGAAAGGGTTTGGAAACTAACATCCTAAGGATTTTGGAGATGTTATTAAAATAGTTTTCCATACACGCAGGAGGTACAGAATAACGATTTTACTAAGATGTGTTTATGCTATCATGGATTGTTTTGGCACATTTAAGATACTTAGATCATGCATGTCGTTGAGAGATCAAATGGACTTCAAATTAAGCACAAGATGGCTTGATGAAAAGGTTATGACATAAGGAACACAAGTACATGAATGCATGTCAATAAAATCACATGAAAGTGGTTCAAAAAGAAAACCTTTGCTGCTATTAGCAGAGAAAATGTAATTCTGAGACAGCTTCATTCAAAATTACATATCTCATTAATTTGTGATCCAAATAAGGTCCAACCATTTTTTTTTGAAAGCTAAGACATTAATTTTTATAAAAATATGTTCATTCAAATTTTTGGGAATACAGATTGGTCGCAACACTCATATTAATGCAGAGTGTGTTTGCTAATTTTTGAAATGAGACCTCTGCTTGTCCTGACATTTCGATTTAGCAAATGAGATAAAAAATGAGCTTAGGACAGCTTATTGGAAAGATCTAATTACAAGGATTTCATAAGTGTTTATGAATGTTCATAAAGCTGGATGAAGAGGGATTTAAAAATACATTCTTTTCACTGTTTTCATAAATTTTTTAGAATCAGATATATCATGATAAAAATAGTTTTTCTCCTTGATCTTTGCTCCAAATATTACTCCGAAAGTGGCTATAGAAAGCTAATGAAGTGTATTATGTGAAAGAATAAGGTCAAGTTAAAAACAAGTAGGTTTAGCAAGCGAAAAATGCAGAACAGATTTCATGCAAGGTGAAAAACGCAGAACCTTGGCTTATGCATAGAGAGGAAAGTGTTTAAGGCTTTGGCCGTGAAGGGTGGCGGTTTACAACCCAAAGGCCACCGGAGAATGAAGAGAAATGGTGGAGGGAAGAGAGAACTAATCAATTGGAATTTTTACAATCTTATTTCCTCTCATTTCTAGCTCATTAATCCTCTTTTATGCCTAATTGGTTTGAATTGGATTATTTTATGATGTTTGAATTTTATTTGGGCTTTATTTAATTTTTCCAGTATTAGGCAAATTCTGATACTGTTTTGGTTTCTGGGCCATATCTTGAGTTGTAGAGCTTATTTCATTATGATTCTTAATTTGTAGGAAAACTGAGAGAAAGACGCACAATTCTTATAAGAGGTCAGAAACCAATTTTGATGATAAGATGTTGAAACTAGGCCTGAAAAAAGTCAGAAATATGCACTCGCAGTTTTTGACCTTGGTGCAGTATTTGGGCCATATCTCAGTCCACAGATGTCCGTTTAAGCCCATTCTAGTTGCGTTTTGAAGCTAACATCTAGGGCTCCAATTTCTCTTCATATCAAAAATCGAAATGGATAGATCTTTATGGCCAAAAATACCACACAATATCTTAACAGATTCAGCATGGATACTGGGCAACATTTACAAGCATAACTTTCCCTCTAAAATTCAAACTTGAACAAATAAGGGTTCCAAAAATAGCTATTAAGTAGAGGATTAATCTAACTGAATAATTATTAATTAGTTTTTATGTTTTGACCCTTAAAAGGCCTGTATTTAAATTAGAGCAGTAAGTTGAAAAAGGGTTGGTTGTTTTTTGGGAGGAATAATACAAGTTTTAGGGTTTTTGTTTCTTCTTCTTTGCCTCTTCTCTTCTCTCACGTTTTTACCTTTCATTTTCCTCCATTAATGGAGGCTTAGACTTTTATCTAATCCAATGATTGAAAAAGGGCTGAGACATTCTTGAGGACCGGTTTCGTAATTCATTCAACAACAAATCCAGTTTCATCTCTTCTTTCATTTTCCTTTTGCTAATTAGATTTTTGAATTAAATTTATTCATTTGGATTGATAATTGTGCAGTTGTTTGATTACATATTATTTAGTTGATGTATGTAATTAATTTTTGAAGGAATGTGAATTATATTTTCAGGTTTGAGATCTAAGATTAATGGCAGTGGTGAATTAAATTAACACAAATCATTTAGGTTTTAGAGGTTTCTGAACTTTGAGCGATTGTGTGTTAATTGAATGCATGAGGGTCTTCATGTGAATGCGTAATTTGAATTGAGGTTTCATTCGAATTTAATGTTAATCAATAATTTGTTGGCTGATGCATCTTATTAGAATCTGGTGATAGAATGGTCATAGTTCTTCTAAATTCTTGGATTAGAGTTTTCAATTCTTGTTAATTTTTCATTCTAATCAGTGTTATTTTATAAATCAAACCCCATCCAAATTCATAATTGTACAATATTATCATTATTGGGAGACGACTCGGATTACACCTCTTACTACATAATTTTTATGCAATTCAATTTTTTTATAATTTCTCCGAGCGCGACACTCGTGATCAAGAACCGAGTGTGTGTGAGAGAGATCTTACACGGTGAGGGAGAAAGAATAAATTTTGATTTCGTCAATCTTTCAACATATGGATGCATGTGTGTCACGCATGAAGGGCTGGTCTTCCTTCGCCGACACGTGGCTGACACATGGCGTCACGCATGCAAGAGCTTCTCCTTCGACACATGGCTGCCACATGTCATCACGCATGCAAAGGCTTTTCCTACTTCGACAGGTGGCTGACACATGTCATCACGCATGTAAGGACTTTTCCTTCTTCGACACGTGGCTGACACGTGTCGTCACGCATGTAAGGATTTGCCATATTTTGCCACCTATCGCCACCTATCTTATGGTTTTGCCACCTATTTCATGCATGCATGATATTTTGAAGGCAATTTGGTCATGTCGCAATTCATTCCAAAAAAAAATTTGTTGAAGTAAAATCTACTTTGCTGAGGTTTGAAACTAGAGACTTCCAACTCCTGACTAAGGACTAACCCTTCTACTACTGCACTACCTTTTCTAGTGCATATAGCAATTGCAATCCAAATATAATTATGAGATTTTCAAATATTCCCATGCATTAAGATCTATCTCTTAAAAAATAAAACATGACAAATTATTGGAACGAAATAAAATAAATATTCTATCTCAAAATTTTTTTAACCAAAATTATAAAATTTCATAAAATACATTGAATTATCTTTGAGATAAATGGCCCAATAACAATGACCCCACGACTTAATTTCAAGCGAGCCAGAAGCAATAATGCAATAAATTACGTCCCCAATCAATGTTGCCCGAACTGTTAGGCCCGTGGCACATTGTACTCTCCAGATCAGACTAATGCTCCAAAAACAGGTAATTAAAAAGATATGACCAGGTGGCGTGTTTCAATTTTATTCGGAGATGGTACCAATAGTCCAAGATCCCTCTGCATGCAAAAGGTGCAGTGACTCCACGATTGTCAAGCCGATGGCACATGTAAATTATGCACTATAATGCTCCAAAAACAGGAACAATATATATGACTAATTGATGTGTTTGATTTTTATTCTGAGGTGGTACCAATAGTCCAAGACCCCTCTGCCTATAAAAGGCACGGTGACTCCCCAACTTTCAAGCCACACCAAACACTGCATATAGCATCCTGCAAACACACTGAGAAGCAAGCAAAATCTCAATACGGTATCTCGTTTTTCTTTTGATTTTTGATATATATAAACAAGTGAAAAAATTGTGACTTTGTCTGTGATCATTATAATGCTTATCCTTTGCATTCCTCTCTCATCTAATAGAGATATAGAGCTATGATAAAACTTTGCTGAGATTCACTGGCCTGCTTAAATCATGAAAGGTCTTGTTGGGTGAAATTGGCTACGTATCTTAGGCAGGAAGACCTCGTTACCTTGCCATCCTTTACGGTTTGGGTGTCCTAAAACGACCATTAAATTGTTTCACCCACAGTTAGAGTAAACAAATGGTTAGTTCACCAAACGTTCTAGACAATAGTGCCTAAAGGAAACTCCTTACTATGACAGATACTACAAAAATAGGTCCCCGTCTATAAGCTTACAGATTTGAGGAGTATGATAGTTTTGAATTTGAATTACTGCTTTTAGTTTTGATTTCATCCCATTGCTAACATTTGGTTCAACTTTATGCAGTTTCAAATGAACCAAACTTTGAAGCTACTGATTTTATGTGCATGGACTTGTTTATTCTCTGCACTGAGATGTACCGCAAGAGCTGATCCTCCAGTAGCAACAAACGAGGACCCCAAATTTACTACTGAAGGTGCCAGTTCAGAAAGTTACAACCAGTTCATTGAAATTCTTCGAGACCGTCTAAGAGGTGGGCAGATACATGAGATACCTGTGCTTAGAGATCCAACAACAGTGCAAGATAGAAATCGATATGTAACAATCGAACTCTCAAACTCGGCGACGGTATCTATCCAAATAGGTATCGATCTGACTAATGCATACGTTGTAGCATACCAAGCAGGAAGTCGGTCTTATTTCTTCCGTGATGCCCCACAATCTGCATTTAACAACCTTTTCAATCCCACGGAGCAGTTCACACTTCCTTTTACTGGTGCTTACGGTGATCTAGAGAGGACGGCTCGTCGGTCTAGAGAGCAAATAACACTAGGGTTACAGCCCTTGATACATACGATATCGTTTTTACATAGTGAGCGCGATGACAATCAAGAAAGAGCTCAGTCCATGATCGTGATAATCCAAATGGTTGCAGAAGCAGCTCGATTTGAGTACATATCACGCCGGGTTCGTGTCAGCATCCGAACTGGTAACACGTTTCTACCTGATTCTCCCATGTTAAGTTTGGAGAACAATTGGAGTGGTCTATCAAGAGGTGTTCAACAATCAGTGCAAGGAACTTTTCCAAATAATGTCGTGTTAACAAATCATCGTAGCGAACCTGTTATTGTAGATTCCGTGGCCAGTGTTGTTCCCATTCTAGCACTGATGCTTTTTGTCTGCAATCCAATTGCAAACCAATCACCTCTAGTAATAAGATCGATTGTGGAAAGATCAGAGACCTGCAATTCTTTTGAACCAACCGTGCACATTGCTGGTCGAGATGGGATGTGCGTGGTTGTGTCTGACAATGCCTATAACGACGGCAATCCTATCATAACGTGGAAATGCGCAGACCAAGAGAACCAGCTGTGGACCTTGAAACAAGACAAGACGATAAGGTCCAAGGGGAAGTGTTTAACGACATACGGTAATGCTGTTCCAGGGAATTACGTCATGATATTTGATTGTACCTCCGCAGCAGCAGGGGCCACTAATTGGGAGATTTGGGACAATGGAACTATTATCAATCCAAGCTCTGGCTTGGCCTTGAGTGTTGAATCCAGTGGCATGGGAAAGACACTTACCGTGCAAACAAACGAATATCGAATGCGACAGGGCTGGCGCACAGGAACTGACACAGGCCCTTTTGTAACTTCAATTGCTGGGTATTTGGATCTCTGCATGGAAGCGCACGGAAGTAATATGTGGCTGGCTGACTGTGATAGAAATAAGAAGGAGCAGCAATGGGCACTTTACCCAGATGGTTCTATACGTCCAGTGCAAAATACAAACAGCTGTTTAACATCTGAAGAACACAAACAAGGAGCTACCATTGTCATGATGGCTTGTAGCAATGCATGGGCTAGCCAACGATGGGTGTTTAGAAATGATGGTACCATCTATAGTTTATACGACGACATGGTGATGGATGTGAGACGCTCTGATCCAAGTCTTAAACAGATAATACTTTGGACATGGACTGGTAACCCTAACCAAAAGTGGGTTACTTTGTTTTAAGGGCTTCAGGTCTGAGGAGGCAAATGCAATCTGCCTGTGTAATGTTTAAATAAGGGATTTTATCTATACCCATGTGCAATAATAGTCAACAGCTTCATGCTGCCGAGCAATGTTTCTAATATGCTTAACAAGTAAATTTACGTTTTAGCAAGACCCTAGGCCATCAAGTGATGATCAATTAAGAGAATTCCGATTGCTTCAAATCAAAATTTATTTTGCAACCTAACTGGCTAGATCGGCACTAAAATCTTGAGCATTCAAGAGTTCCCGGTACAATCGGAAAGCTAAAATCATAATTAGAACAATGGAAATTTTGAAAAGAAGGTTTTTATTTGTTGAATTCCGGCCACAGATATGGATTCACCCTCGTACAAAACCATTCAACTTTTCTTGAAGTGTTGCATTACTTTAACTTAAATAATAATCTAATAAGCTGACAACGGATGGTTTTTAGTATAAAAGATTAGTAAAATTGTTGAAATATATTAGTAAAAATAGTTGAAAATGATAATTGAAGAAGTTTTAATAAGATATTTATTTATGGACAAGTGTATTCGTAAAAAAAAGTTATCGTCATATAGAAATTGTTTTCATGCAATAAAAACAAATTGATTTAATTGTTTAAAGTAAAAGATACATGATAAATTAAAAAAAGAATTCAAATTTAAAAAATAATTAAAAAGATAATAATGCAACTTTTTACAGAAATTGGATAAGATAATTCTAGAACATATGATTTCACCTATTGCAACTCTCTATATTTTAATTATTTTAATTCTAATATTAGTATTTTATGTTTGTCAACCACCCATACTTATTCTATTAACACTCGATGATCTTACAAAATTAATATTTTTCTTTTTAGGCAATTACCCTCTATAATTATGGAAGAAAAAAGGTTAAGAAAAAACTATGAATTTGTTAATTTAATAATGATTGAAAGAAAAGAATTAAATTTGATCTGTCTAACCCTGTTTTATTTTATCATATAGTTTCATTAATTACATATGGTACGATCACCTAAAATGCAACAAATTATGAGATGCTAAAAGTGATCAACTTTTAACATATAAAATATAATTCAATAGGATAAAATATAAAGAGGAAACTATAGAGTATGCAATAAAATTCACTATAATCTTAACTATGGATTTAGTTACTTATAATAAAGCAAATAATAAAAAGCATTATAAAAAAACTATAAAACTCAAAGGAGAGCTTAAACTAAAGAAACTGGAAGACGACAAAAGTTATTGTTCTTTAAGGGGTGCTCAATCATTTGTTCAGACTTTGAAGGAACACTCTTCATCTTTGTTAATGATTTCTCACTCTCCAATAACTCTCAATGGTTGATTAAGTCAGAATTCAAAAGAGAAGGATGATAAAGATGGTGTGAAAAAAAGATGTCTTTTTTAGGAGGATAAGACTTCTTTATATAGGATGTGGAATGTGTTAGGCTTGTAATTTATTATTGAGTAATCTATAATAATTTGTACTTGTTAAATATTAATGGAAGGATTATTTCAAATTTTATAATTCTTAATTACTAATTTTTTTAAAAAATATTTTTTTTTTTTCTAATTTACCTATTAAAAATTCTAATATTAATTTTTATTTCATCAAATTATATTAATTATTTTACCTTAAAAATTTTCTAAGGTAAAATAATTATTCATTATTATTATTATTAAATTGAAAAATTTTATCTGAATTATATTAATATTTAATATAGTTATCTTAAAAAATAAATGGCACAATGACAATGACAATGAGGCCACGACTTCAAGCGAGCCAGGAGCAATTATGCAATCTCCAAATCAGACTAACGCTGGCACAACAAAATATGACAAATTGGGGTGTTTGATTTTTATTCGGAGATGGTACCAATAGTACAAGATTCCTTCTGCATTCAAAAGGTGCAATGACTCCACAATTGTTGTCAAGAAATTATGCACTATGTGACTATGAGCAAATAGACTAATGCTCCAATAGAGCAAATCAGACTAATGCTCCAAAAGTAGGTAAAAAAAATATGAGCCGTTGGCGAGTTTCAATCATATTCGGAGATGGTACCAATAGTGCAAGATCCCTCTGCATGCAAATGCAAAAGGTGCAATGACGCCACCACTTTCAAGCCAGCTGGAAGCAATAATGCCCTGAACTCAGCTGTGAGGCCCGCGTAAATTATGTAATTACAGGTGTTTGATTTTTATTATGAGGTGGTACCAATGGTCCAAGATCCTCTGCATGTAGTCCAATGACGATTTTTTTTTCAATTAGTGCAAATTTAAAAACATTTTAGAATAAGTCTAATCCATCCTTAAATGTTAGTATCCATTTTTGAACTGCCCATACTTGAGCCCATTAAAGGGCGATACTGGTATTTTACTTTATTGTTTTTTAAAAAGCCTGAAATGACTCCACCTCTGTCAGGCCCATGGCACGTGTAAATTACACATCCTGACACCGATGCTCCAAAAACAGGTACAATAAATATGAAGGAATTTGGGTGGGTGATTTTTATTCTGAGGTGATATTAACAATCCCTCTGCCTATAAAAGGCACAATGACTCACCAACTTTTTCAAGCAATACCAAATATTGCATAGCAAGCGAAATCTCAATATATATGATATCTCTTTTTCTTTTGATTCTTGATATATATAAACAAGTGAAAAAATTGTGACTTTGTCTCTGATTATTATAATGTTTATCCTTCGCTTTTCTTTCTCATCTACTAATAGAGATGTCTATAAAACTTTGTTGAGATTCACTGACGTGCTTAAATCATAAAAGGTCTTGTTGGGTCAAATTGGCTAAGTATTTTTACCAGGAAGACCTCATTACCTTGCCACCCTTTCCGGTTTGGGACTCCTATATAGAACGACCGTTAAATTGTTTCACCCACCTTTAGAGTAAACAAATGGTTAGTTCACCAAAAGTTCTAAACAATTAATAGGGCCAAAAGGCAACTCCTTACGCTGACAGGCACTACAAAAATAGGTCCCCCGTCTATAAGCTTACATATTTTAGGAGTATCATGGTTCTAAATGTGAATTACTGCTTTCAGTTTTGATTATATCCTATTGCTAAGATTTGGTGTTACTGCATGCAGTTTCAAATGGATAAAACTTTGAAGCTATTGATTTTATGTGCTGCATGGGCTTGTTTTTTCTCTCCATTGAGATGTGCCGATCCTCCAGTTGTAACAAATGAAGACCCCATTAAATTTACTACTGAAGGTGCCACTAAAGACAGCTACAAGCAGTTCATTGAAGCTCTTCGAGAACGTCTAACAGGTGGGCTGATACATGACATACCCGTGCTTAGAGATCCAGCAACACTGGAAGAAAGAAATCGATATGTTACAATCGAACTTTCGAACTCGGCAACGCAATCTATCCGAATAGGTATCGATCTGACTAACGCATATGTTGTAGCATACCAAGCAGGAACTCAGGCCTATTTCCTCCGTGATGCCCCAGCATCTGCATCTACCAACCTTTTCCCTGACGTACCAGTGGATAACCGGTACACATTGCCTTTTAACGGTTCTTATGGTGATCTAGAGAGTTGGTCTCATCAGACTAGAGAGGAAGTATATCTAGGGTTAGAGGCCTTGAGACATGCGATAACGTATCTACGAGGTGGCGCCGACGACAATGAAGAAAGAGCTCGTCTTTTGATCGTGATAATCCAAATGGTTGCAGAAGCAGCTCGATTTAGATACATTTCAAACCGGGTTGGTGTCAGCATCCGAACTGGCAATGCGTTTCAACCTGATCCTGCCATGTTAAGTTTGGAGAACAATTGGGATAATCTGTCAAGAGGTGTTCAGGGATCAGAGCAAAGTACTTTTCGAAATAATGTCACCTTAACAAATATTCGTAACGAACCTGTCATTGTAGATTCCTTGTCACACCCAACTGTTGCAGTACTAGCATTGATGCTCTTTGTCTGCAATCCAAATGCAAACCGATCACCTCTGTTAATAAGATCAATTGTGGAAAATTCAGAGACCTGCGATACCTTTCAACCAACCGTGCAGATTGCTGGTCGAGATGGGATGTGCGTGGACGTCTCTGACAATGCCTATCACAATGGCAATCCTATCATAATGTGGAAATGCACAGGCCAAGAGAACCAGCTGTGGACCTTGAAAAATGACAAGACGATAAGGTCCAAGGAGAAGTGTTTAACTACATACGGCAATGCTGTTCCAGGGAATTACGTCATGATATTTGATTGTGCCTCCGCAGCAACAGGGGCCACTAATTGGGAGATATGGGACAATGGAACTATTATCAATCCAAGCTCTGGCTTGGCCTTGAGTGCTGAATCCAGTGCCATGGGAGAGACACTTACCGTGCAAAACAACGAATATCGAATGCGACAGGGCTGGCGCACAGGAACTGACACAGGCCCTTTTGTAACTTCAATTGCTGGGTATTTGGATCTCTGCATGGAAGCTCACGAAAGTAACGTGGCTGGCTGACTGTGATAGCAACAAGAAGGAGCAGCAATGGGCAATTTACCCAGATGGTTCTATACGTCCAGTGCAAAATACAAACAACTGTTTAACATCTGAAGAACACAAACAAGGAGCTACCATTGTCATGATGGCTTGTAGCAATGCATGGGCTAGCCAACGATGGGTCTTTAAAAATGATGGTACCATTTATAGTTTATCTGACGACATGGTGATGGATGTGAAAGGCTCTGATCCAAGTCTTAAACAGATAATACTTTGGCCCTGGACTGGTAAGCCTAACCAAATGTGGCTTACTTTGTTTTAACGGCATCATGCCTGGAGACGAATGTGTAATGTTTAAATAAGTGACTCTGTCTATCCATGTGCAATAACAGTCATCAGCTTCATGCTGCCTTGCAATGTTTCTAATGTGCTTAACTAGTTAATTTATGTTTTAGCAAGACCCTAAGCCATCAACCGATCAATTCAAAGAATCCAGATTGCTTCAAATCAAAATATATTTTGGAACCTAACTGGTTAAGTGGCACTCAAATCTTGAACATTCAAGAGTACCCGATACAATGGGAAAGCTAAAATCATAATTAGGACAACGGAAATTTTGATTTTTCTCTCTCCAAAGTAGAATTTGTGCCTAGTGGCACTATCTTTTATCTTTGGGAGAGGGAACTTTACAGTAAACTACCCACGACAATGCTCATATTACCTGTCGACAAAAGTGAAAAGTAAAGAGGCCTAAATTTATTTGTTGAACTTGCACTTCCCGCCACATATATGGATTAACTCAACAAAAAACCAGTGGCTGAGATGGGATTCGGTTCAGGGACTCATTCATGAATGAGTTTCAAATATTTATTTAATGGACCTTAATGTGGTGCAGACAAAGGTTCGTGAGGCTGATTGATCAATTGGACAACGGTTTGATTTCTTGGGACGATTTTTCAAGGGTTAAAAACATGCTTGGAAATAGAATTGGAGCTCTCATCCCAGAAAAGTCCATCAACACACCCAAGGGGAAGAAAGCTTCTACGCAAATCCTTATTCAGGTTGAATTTGTGATGATCATGAAAGAAATAAGTCACAATTCATGACTTAGTCACTGGTATTGAGCCATTAGATGCGAGGTAGCTCTTTCGGATGTATGCATATGTATACCAATTTGGCAGTTTGACTACAAAAGCAGAATTTGAACTCAATGAGTTCACATCACCATTTTGTGCAGGATCACTGGAATGTCGACTGTACCCACTGGATCCTGATCTTGATGAACCACTCCGGCTAACAGGGCCATTGGCAGCAGCATTAGAGGTGTAAATATGGCCTTAGCCCAGCCTACTCCATATAATTCATTACACACTTTTAATTTTTTTGAAGCTTTAACTTTAGCCCTAAGTCCTGCCATATAAAAAAACTATGGATTAAAGTTAGATTAGAAGATGGTTAACCTACTCTTTTAGTGAAAATAATTAATAAATATTATATTATTTTTTTAATAAAAGACACATATATTCATTTACAGTTTTTATTAAATTATTTTATTTAAAATTAATTAAAATTTATATTTAAATATAAAAAATATATTTTAAAAAATAAAAATTATAAATTAAGATGAGTCAAAATTTAAACCTGCAAACATTTATTAATTTTTGTTAAGTTTACAAGTTACTTTTTTGCATTTATAAATTTTATAATATTAAGTAGTATATGTCTTTATAATGATGACATTATATTTATTTTTTTAATACATTAAATTTTATTTAAATACAATAATTTTAAACATTTTTATATCATATGATTTAATAAATTTAACTAATGTTGTTTTTTAAATTTTGTACTTTTATTGTGACTTTAAAAATATTTATTGAATATGTAATGTTTCTAAAATAATTTTATAAAAATAAATGAAAAATATTTTTTGTATTCTAATTTTATATTTTTATTTAAATAAATAATTTTGTTCTTAGTAACAGTGAAATATGATGTGTGTAATTTAAATATAATGTAAGTATATAATAATGAAGAGATGCTGAGGATAAAATATAATTTTATAAAGGTTCATACTTTTAGCTCCATCTCATTCCTAAGAAAAGTGAACATAACTTCTCAAGTAATGGAATATAATAAAATGAAGTCCATTTTATGGGAGATTGTTGGTACAATGTCAATTCAATTGGATTAAGTTGTTATGTTCTTATGATCGTTAGAGACAAAATCAAAATTGATAATTATTGACTCAGTTTATTTTAGTTTTACCATTAGTTTGGAAGACAACCACTGCAATGCTCTGTTAATCTTATTTTTTTACCATATTTATTATATTTGATATTTCTATTTTTTAATAATGTATATAAAATGAGGTTGTCTTTTTGAAGATTATTCTTTTCTATATCTTTACCATTCTTTTCTCTATTGTTATTTTTTTTATGGTACCGATTGTAAGACTCCATCACGACCTCAAGTGTACGAGTTCGAGCATGGTGTTGTGTTAACCTTAAAGAAGCTATTAGATTGAGCAAGAGATCCACCAAACTTTTGCTTAAAACTGTAGTTGTAACCACGGTGCAACTATGTGTTCTATTTATTTCCAACATGATGAAACTATAAAAGAACTTGGAAGATAAGTGTATGGCACCAGTTTTCGAGTAGTTACTATTCGTTAGAATATCAGCTACCATTCCCTTAACTGCTATAACCGGTTATGACTGCATTGTATAAACCATCTTGTTATATACCAATCACAATTTTCTTCATCAATCACATCTTTCATTCTCTCATTTTTTCTCCCTTCTTTTACTATTTTCTTCGGTTTTGTTCCGGCTCTTCTAATTAAACTTGTTTTTCTTATTCTATTCTTTTAAGTAGTTGGTCGTATTATTCGTATATTCAGCCTTTGTTAATGTTGGAAACAAAAATCCAGAGAAACCATTATCATGGTACAGTTCACAGATACCTCTATCATTCCGATATTGCTATCAACGAATAAATGCATTGATACACTATCTCAGTATGGTGTCTAGTGTGTTTCCCTTGCCAAGTCACATTCTGAGAAGATGGAACTTGGAGGGACTAATTATTTTGAAGTAGAAAGGATATTATAAATAAATTGCAAAGTGGAACCATGTATAACAAACTAAAACTATGCAAAACAAGATCACAGTAAACTATCTGTTCTAGCTGGAAGCCTCTTGAAGAAGTTACTTGGTACAGAAGGTAGCTTGCTCCTAAACCTTGGATGTCTCAAAAAATACAAGCCTGTCACCAGAGCCACAACTCTGAATGGTGTTGCATAGAGAATCACAGCTGCACAAAGGCAAAACACTACAAAGAAACTGGTAGCTCTAGGGTCTCTCCAGCTCAGTAGAGACTGAAACCTCTCACCCTGTGTAGCTATGTCCCCAACAACAGTCTGAATCCTACCTGCAACAGTTCTAAGCCTGTCATACCTCATTCTCACCACATCATTTGATCTAGAAGTTGGGAATGTGTCAAACTCTTCATCAAGTTCATCAGGGTGAACAGCTTCTGCCCATGAGAGTTTAGTGTCCATGTGAGGTGGGTGTCTAGGACGGAACCTATAGTTCCACAGACCAATCAAGAACATGTAGAGGAACAATGTTGGTAGGATCAATTCTGGGTACCATATCAGTATTAGGAAAAGAATGTGAACCAGAACTGATGTGATGTGGTTCTTCCAATGGCAAACATCAATGAACCATCTTCCCATTGTCATCATGCCAGAAAGAAGGGACATTATGCGGAAGAAGTTAGCTTTGCTTCTTCTCATGCTCCACAAATGAGAATCAACATCCAACATGTACTCCACCACCTCCTTCCTCAAAGGGGGTTCAGCTCTGCCAAGCCTTGCAGCTACAATAGTCATGGCTTGGTACCTCAAACTATCTATTTGGTTAACTGTGAAAGGATGTAAGTAGTGCATCTTTGGCAGCAAGGGTTGGCCATAAATATGAACCATGTTGGCTAGTGAAAGTGCTGTGAACCTCACTGCTAGCTGAAGCTCACCCATCTTCTTAACCCCATGTGGGTGTAAAACAAGAAGTGGGTGAGAATTGGTGTAGATCCTATGAGCTTCAAGGGTTGATAGCCGAATCCTTACCTTTCCAATCCGAGAATCTCTAGCTGAACTGCCACCAGGAGCTTTTTCACTTCCACCCAAGTGGCAGTTGTCAAAGACCCCCAATGTTATCACAGTGCAAGGATCATAAACCTCCCATGTGTATTGCTCATTCCACTTAGGACTAAAAGTGTCCAAAAGTGTTCTGGTTCTGACCCATTTCTGACCATACTTGGCAACACAATATGCATCAGTGCTGCCACGGCCATCCTTCATCTTCATTGGGAGAAGCCCTTGTGCTCCTAAGATACCCACTTCAAGTATCCCAATAGGCTGCTTCCATAGCTGTCTTGCTGTTGTTCTTTGATCACTTGTGTACAAAGTGGATTCATCTAGGACATGGTATCCACCTTCAAGGCAAACTCTCAAGTGAATCCTGCTTGAAAATTTAAGCTCATTCCTCCTATCACCTTCCATCACTCCAAAACCAAACTTCTCAAGATTGAACCAGCGAGAAGGAACTGGCCTGTGGTCCAGCCTCTTCTCAAAGAGGCTCATTGGTAGGCTAATCTTCCCAAGTACCTCATCTTTTGAAGGGTGCAAGCGATCCTCCACAGTGATTGTCAATTGCTCCTCAAATGGTTCAGCAGCTACAAAAACCAAATCTTCATTCCAAAATGGGGTGGTTGTTCTAGTGGAGCATATCTTGGTCCTCATCATTTGGCAGCCAACTTGAGCTTTCACAGAAACCTCTGGTAAGCGGTTTCTGTCGCCTGGTATCACGTCTTGTGCTTCAATGACATTGACCCTGAGATACCACAGTTTTGGAGACACATAAACCTTTGATCTTATGTTGAAAACACCCTCCCCATAGACAGTGGCAGCATCGGAATGCCAAGCATCCGAGAAAGCTTCATCAGCTTGTGTTCCCATCCAAACTGCAAGCATGATATCACCTCTAACCATGCCTTCTCCTTGCAAATCCTCGAGTCTGTACCACTGAGGAGCTAGTGGACTGTCTGGTGGAACTCTGGTTGGAACCTCATTGAGGTCAAAAATCACTCTTCCAAGATAGTCATCTCTTCCTAACATTGCTTTATCTTTCACAAAGACTTCTAGAACAGAAGACTGAACACGGTCTTTGGAGAAAGCAAACACTTGGTTCCACTCTGGGTTCGATTTCTTCTCATAGTGCTTTGTTCTTCCCCTATAGTTTCCCAGCTTCACTTCCACATAAGGATCACAGCTTGAGGTGATGGTGCTTGTGGGAAGATCTTTTGCTTTCACGACACGAACATAAAGATAAAACATCTGCTCAACAAGGTCATATGTGCTTGTGAATCTTTCACTAGTACCACTCAGCCACCCTCTTCCACCATAAGCTTTGGTGTTATTGAGGTTGTAGTTTTCATCATTGCTAGCATGGACTTGTGGATTAACTGGGTGCATGGTGAGTGGAGTACTACTACTCTTTGGTTGTCTCTCTACTAGAATTCTTGGCTGTTGAGGGTTGGTGCCCATTAGACTATAGTTTTCATCATAGGTAGTATGGACTTGTGGATTAACTGAATGCGCTGGTGATGGAGTGCCCTGTGGTCGCGGCCGTCTCTTGATTGAAATCCTTGGCTGCAGGTTGATGTCATTGTGATTGTCGCTTTCATCATGGCTAGGGTGAACTTGTGGATCAACAGAGTGCATTGTGAATGGAGTACCTTGTGCTTGTGGTCTTTTCTTAATTGAAATTCTTGGCTGTGAGTTGGTGTCATTGTGATTATAATTTTCATGATGGCTAGATTGGACTCGAGTATCAACTGAATGCATGGTAAATGGAGTAATACCTTGTGGCCTTTTCTTTATTGAAATCATTTGTGGCTGAAGAACTTGGTGTTTGTCTAGTTGTTGGGCTATCTCAAGGACAGGTTCTCTGCTTTCTTCCTTTGGCTCTTGATCAATATCAATGTCACTAGACTGAGCTTCTTCTTCTTCTTCTCTGGTTGCTTTTGGGGTGTCAAATGTAGGATCCTGAGCGGGACCAGCTTCTAATATTTTGTCTTGCTGAGTGAATGTTCTGTCAGGTAGGCTTGTATTGTCTGAGGGGATAATATGAAGAGAAGGAAGTTTAGTAGTAGTGGATTCTGATACTTGTGGTGTAGTAGTAGAAGGAGAGAGTTTTTCTATTTCTGAAGGGAAAATAGGAGAGTGTGGTTTTGGTTTGGACCCTGATGCAAGGTATATTTTGAGGCCGATCTCACCCTTAACAGGTGAGAGAAACCATTTCTTTTCAAGTGGGAAAATCTGATACACTTCCTCACCTTCCTTGACAATGTTAGAGCAAGGAATTCTTACCCTTCCAAGGAAGTTCCTGCCAGGAATAGGTCTCCTCTCGTTGTAGACTGAGACTTCAATGATTTGGCGATGGTAAGGTTTGGTTGCATCTAAATGAAAGACAAGTTTTTGATTCCAAGTGGGATTGAGGTTCTTTGGAACAGTTCTAGTTCGGCTCAGCTGGTTTTCAAAGTCTACTTCCACAAAGGGACTTGCTGATCCTTCACCATCCTTGGGCATAAGATCACGAGCATTAATAACCTCCACCACCACTTTCATATCCTTTTCTTTCTAGTCCTCTGCCACAAGTAGTTGCAGCTATGTGGCTAATCCAAGTAATTAGAAATTTGATTCTGAAACAAAGAAGTTCTACTTAATAATGCTAAAGCTAAAAGAAGTCACATGATTGTTAGTACTTGTATTTTGGTTAAGCAAGGAATATTTTCATGAAGAAGCTGCATGAGCTTTAGCATTCTAGAGATGAGAAAGCAGAAAGGAATGGAGGGAAGCTTCAGATTGATCTAACTTTAAGCTAAGACCATTCTTCTGGTCTTGAATTTTTGTATTTGTTACTATTCTATATTCATTCTTCAACAGTTATAAAATATGAAAATAATTTGTCTCAAACTATGAATACTGAATGGTAATTGAAGAATTTGAAATTTTCTTTATTGCTGCGGTTTATTTGCATTTCCTTTTATTTTATCTAATTTCAATGTCATTGTCTCACGAAAATAAGGAAAATTTGTTAGATTCGTAACTTACTAATAAAGGATAATGATTCTCAACTTTCTGTCAATGTAATGGCAGTAAATACTAAAGAGCCAAAGCGATTAGTTGAATCAAAGCCAATGAATGGAGTTTTTATGTGCATTTTTGGATCATTGCTTTCTTCTATGTACAGCAACGCCAAAGTGAAAAAAAAAAAGTGAATAAACAAGGCGGGAAAGGCATTGCTGAAGCTGCAAGTAAGCATAGGCAAATTAGCTTAGGGGCGTGTGACTTTGATGCTTTCCTTGTGCTTTATTCTCCTTTTAAGATTGTGTATTTTATTTGTCTACTATGCTTAGAGTTTTGGACTAGCCTATCTTCTATTGTTCAAGTTGAATGTCACGTAGTTACGTAACAAGGCAACGTGAAGGATTGTATAACAAGTTCATGCAAATTATTATGCCAAAATTTGATATCTAGTTCGTGCAAGTTTTATCTTTAAAAGATCATAGGAATGTATAACTAGTCAAATTAATTATTTCAGTCTATTGAATATAATAATTAAAGTAAAATCAAATAATTTACAAGTGGGTAATTAATAATTATGTATTTTTTTAAAATAAATGAAAATAACGTTTTCAGTCTCCCCCAGCTAGAAGTGTATTTTTTTATAATTTAATTAATAGTATTATAAAAAAACTTAAATATAAATTCTGAAAACTTACTCTATTACCTTTTATGTAGGTAATATATAAATAATCTTCACATAAGAAATACCAGTAACAGTTTTTCAAAGACACTTTTAAATATTTGTTAAAATTTATTAAAAATTAAAAAATATAAGAAAAAAAATATTAATATATATCACAGCTCTCTGTTGTCTAGTCTATTCTCAACTATTTCATTCTTTGTAAAGGATTTAACTGGGGTTAAGTGGGTTTCATGTCTGCTTCTCTTACAACCAATCTCTTATTATTAATTATCATAAGTTTTGAGTGTGTGTTATGAAATATATGTTATTTTAAGACGTGTAAATATTTTTATCTTATTTTTATATATTTAATGTTTCTTTCTTATTTTATAATATTCGTAATGCTAGGAAATATAATGATACAGAAAACTATAATTTAAACTCTAATACTTGATTTTTTATACTAAATTTTAATTTAATTCTTTCAATATATTATTATTATTGTGATATTTTATACTGATATTTTAAATTTTTGTGATATCAATTAAGTTTCCTGAATATTAAAAGTTATAAAATAATTATTTTTAATCATTAAACTAGTTTCTTAAAATCCCGAACCTTTGAAAAGTGAAATTGACGTCGAATGAATATTTACGAGAAAAAAAAATAATTTTTAGAAAATATATTATTATTTTTTAATTGTATAATAATTTCTAATATCAAATTATTGAATATTATAAATCATAAAATCTAAAAATTTACAGTTATAAAAATTATTTAAAAAAAACGCATGTCACCCTCGATATAAAACCAATTTTAGTCATTCTTAAAACAATTAATTATGCACTAGATTGAAGATTATCAATCATCACGCGATTAAGATCATCAATATTAACGAGTGTTTAAGAATTAGCATATTTTCCAGAAAATAATTATTACTTTCATAGTTTCTTTAAAAGTTATTTAAAAAATTAATCATTTTAATATCTAATTTAAGTACGGTTGTTTCTTATAAAAAGTTATGTATGATCTTTAAAAAAAAAAAAAAAAACACGCACAAAATTTTGAAGTCTTAAAAAATCCTTTAAAAATAAAAGTTGCTATATTTTTTATTATTTTAATCTACAAATTATCTTACATATGACATGTATATTTGAAACACTTTAATTAAATTTTATTTATTTTTTTAAAAGAAACGTGCCAGTTCTATATAAATAAAAAGATTTATAAACCGAAAGAAATAGCTTTGAGAATTTAGCATTACTCTTAAAAAAGAAATAGCTTTATTTTAACGGTTTGTGTGTTGTGTCTGCAATGAAATTTTTTGAAACAGGAAATTTAAAATTTATTTGTAAGAAAAAAATAAAATAAAAATAGGTGAATGCTGAGGGAAACACTTGTGAAGGACGTGAACCACACGCATTAGAGAGAGTTCCAGTACCGTAGGAGCAGTTTGTCTCTCACAACATTGGCCCGTTGAAACACCGTCACTCTGTTCTTTTTTGCCTTTGCTCTGGGTCCTACTAGAACCTTCCAATTCCTCAAATTAGGGTTTATCTAGGGTTTAATTACACATCCCAATTCCTAAAACCATAATCCCCTTCCAAAGCTTCGTAGCTTCTCATTCACAACACTCAAATGGTTCGCTCCTATGGCGTCACCCTCTTTAATCGCCTTGCACGTCGATCTCTCTGTGACGCCAACGACTGCGTAAACATCTCTCTCGATTCTTCTTTTTTTTTTTCTTTCTCTTCAGAATTTTTCCGTCAAAATGTGATTTCGAAATTTTTTGGGAATTTTTATTTTGCAGGTATATCAAGCTGTGTTCCAAAGGGGTTATAGGACATTGAATTCAACGCCTGGCAATCCATCCAGAGTTATTGATAGTTGTGCACTGAATGGTATGTGTTAAATGAGCCATTATCTATTTCTCTCTCTTAATTTTAATATTTTCAATTTGTGTTTTGTAATTTGGTTGTATGGTTATTTTTTACAAGTATGAAATAACTATTGGTCCTTTTCCTTGCAATTTTGAATTTAATTTGAAGTGTTTTCGTTTTTTAACGATATAAATTTCAATTGTTGTTTCTGCTTACCTCTTCCCCCTTAACCATTTGCTTTTGTAGATAGCGTTAATTTGAAGAAATGGTTGCTATTGGGAGCGGCTAATACATATTGGGGGTCATCTAGATCAATTCATGGCTCGGGTATGAGTTATTAAATCCTGCCATGCCTGCCTTTGTTCTATTTATCGAATCACATGCCCTTGTGCTTGAGAATTGGTTTTTGTTATTTATTGCTTGCATGTTGCTTACCATTTTCTTTTGATTATGGTGGTAGAAGGAGCTTGAAGTTCTTGTACCTTTCATTCAATTCCCTCCTAGCTTCCTTACGTATACTTGTTGACTTATTTATTTCGCCCAATACTCTTTTACAGCATCGTTGGCAAGAGACTATTATGATGTTCTTGGTGTGAGTAAGAATGCAAGTTCTGCTGAAATAAAGAAAGCTTACTATGGGGTATGTTTTTCCTAAGCATTGTCAGTATACACAAGTTTAGGCTCTGAAATATGCGTTTATTAATTATCTGACCTATTTTCTGGTTAAACTTTATCAATTCATAAGGTCTCTACATGTTAAGTGAACTAATCATTTTCTTTTTAATAAGTGAATAAGGTGACATTTCACAAGCTTTTGGATAAGAAAAGTTTATGTCAATTTAACCTCTAAACATTGTTTAATATGCAATCGCTTATCTACATTTTATATTATGGAGATGTATTGTATATGTTTGGATTGTCAGAATATACAATATTGTATTGTATCGATGTCTGCACAGTCATGTCCTTTGCATCATAATTTTGATAGTGTTTTAGTTCCCCTCCCCCTTACATTCACCATTCTTTCTACCTTGACATGAAGTCATCAAATAGGGTTGGCCAGTGTATGAATTATCTTTCTAAAATAATTATGTATTTCTCCTTTTATATTGTCACTTAGTTTCTCTTCACATCTGCAGCTTGCAAAACAGCTCCATCCAGATACAAACAAAGATGATCCTGAGGCTGAAAAGAAGTTTCAAGAAGTTTCAATTGCATACGAGGTGGACTCTTGCTGTTTTGGTTTTTTGTTTCTATTTTCAACACAGAGCCAGAGGTCTATTTTAAATTTTCATATCCCAAATTAACTGAGTGCTGGTTTATTGTCCTTTTCTTGTGTGGTAGGTTTTGAAGGATGAGGAAAGGCGTCAACAGTATGATCAGGTTTAGCACCTTCCCAGCTACTTTTTTAGTCCCTTTGTTGAAAATTTTGCCAATAAATTTTTTTCATTAAATTAGGCTAAATTTACAATTTACATGAATTTTAATGCATGATATTATATTGTGCAATAAAAAATGGAGGGAATAGTAAGATTTAAATAGAAGACTTATGTTTCATGGGGAACTAGAAATTTGTGTAAGGAGTAAGGACACTTATGAAAGAAAGAAAATGGAAGAAAGGGTTGGGGGAACCTAAAACATTTGTCCTTTACGTGGGATCATACTGAGGGTGGTCTCTTATCCCTGGTATGTACATTGGTAATATTGTTAAAAGCACAGTCTTTTGCAGTTTTTGCATTGTTAATATCATGTGAAACAAATCATAATATCATTTTCATAAAATTTTCCTGGCTGCAATTTTTCACTGCCAGTTTACTTTTGCTTCTGTATTGGTCTGTGTCTTTCTAAGTTGACATTCCCCCCTTTCTTCAGAGGACAGAAAACTCTGCTTAAAGGTATAATACACTTTTATGTTCAATAACAACATTGCACCTACGTGTGGGTAAGAATGTAGGCTTGTGTGTGCCAATGTTGAAGTACAACTCATGCTTCATTTGTATGTGCAATTGTGCATGTTTCATGGTTAAATGGTATTTAATTTGTTTCGAGTGCATTATTGATTTCTCCAACGTATCTGTAACCTTGTTCAACTTTAACATTAATATGTAGATTGGCCATGATGCCTATGTAAACCAACAAAGCACTGGTTTTGGAGGTGAGGGTGGCTTCAATCCTTTCGAGCAGATATTCCGTGATCATGTAAGGACTTAGTTGTTTCTTCCCTTTGTTTTATTAATAATGTCTATTAGGAAAGTTCTAAGGAATTACATTCGTACTTCATACTCGTAAGAAATGTTCATTTTTATATCATTTCAATTGTTAAAAGTGAATTTTCTGCAATCATACATCCATCTCAATTATTAATTAAATCTAAAGATGAAATGATGTATTAAATATCTATGTAAATTATACTGAAACTATGTTTGGTTATGCATCAGTTTCTCATCTTCAATTGTAAACTGATATATATTTGGCTTAGTTGCACTTTACATTATATCACCTGGAGTTTGCCTTTTACTAATTATGTAGACTTTTATTGTATATAAATGCTTCTAATTTTCTGTGAAGTTTAATCCATTTTTTAAATCTAATATGGCTTTCTCATTTCCCTCAATGGTGATCAGGATTTTGTCAAAAGCTTCTTTCATCAGAATATTGGTGGAGAGGATGTGAAGGTTTTTTTCTTTCTTCATATTCGGACCCATTAATTATGCTAAAGAGTTGTTTAACCAAATGCATCTCAATAATATCTTTTTCACAGACTTTCATTGAACTATCTTTTATGGAAGCTGTCCAAGGATGCACCAAAAATTTGACATTTCAAACAGATGTGCTTTGCAATAGTTGTGGTATGCTCATTAATAAGCTATGAAGTGTCATCTGTCACTACTGTATTGAATTCAGTTTGGTTTGTATTTTGTGAAGTCATTGCTGCTGCAAATGAATTTCTTAGTGACAAGTCTCTCTTGCTTACTGAACTATTGCAGGTGGGAGTGGTGTTCCTCCTGGTACAAGACCTGAAACTTGTAAGCGATGTAAAGGGTCAGGCGTGGTCAGTATTGTCTTGAAATTAATTTATTTATTTTTTAATGTTTTAAGTTTGTGAAGTGTTGTTAAATTGATAATTGAGACGTTTTCAGATATTTGTACAAGCCGGCATATTCAGAATGGAGAGTACTTGTGGTACCTGTAAGGGAACTGGAAAAATTGTATCGGTATGGTACAAATAGTCTTTTTTCTTTTGTGATATTTAACTTTTTTTAGTACGTTGTACTAGAGTTCTGAACTTCAAAATTCAAATATGATGATTGATGGTATCATGTGATTAACATGCATATTGTTGTTCTTATATTCTAAAGTAGTTCTTCCACTCCCCCTTTTTTCAGTGAAGTATACATTTTCAATGAATGACACTATGTTCACTATATGCAACTTATAACTGATGATCTTTCATACCAATTATAAAATTGTGGGAATATATTTGTAACTTTTCATCTTTTGTTGGTACTATCAGAATTACTGCAAGTCTTGCAGGGGTGCAAAGGTTATCAGAGGGACAAAGTCAGTCAAGTTGGATATTATGCCTGGTAATCATCATTTCAATTTTTTAAGGACGTGCTGTTGTTACTTGTTACGTAAGCCATGTTCAAATGGCACATGAAGACCTATCTAGCGTACAAAGAGAATATCATATGAACAGTTCTTTGTTGATTTGCTATATAAACTATGCAAGCCCATTCCTCTAGAGAAAGATGATACCTAAATGCCTTATTGTAGGGAAACCCTAAATATTTAATAGGGTGCTGAAGTTGAAAAGTTTGATTAGTGTCCATATTCATTCCTCATGTTATTTCTTAGGTCAAGCTATAATAAAGGTTGACTGATTTATGTTTTTGACATTTTCAGGGATAGACAGCAATGAGACAATAAAGGTTTATAGAAGTGGGGGAGCAGATCCTGATGGAGATCATCCTGGTGATCTTTATGTTACTGTCAAGGTACAGCTTGAATGTTGAAAGTCACTTTTTTAATACTTTTTAAGCCCAAGATTTGAATTCCTTTCCTTCTTTTTGTAGGTTAGAGAAGATCCTGTTTTTCGCAGAGAAGGATCCAATATTCATGTAGATGCTGTTTTAAGTATCACTCAGGTAAATGATCTATGATGAAGAAAATCTTGGGCAATATTTGTGGTTATCTGGATGAGCGTTTTTATGATCCACTTTTGTCTGTGTTCAATTGGGGCATTAATTTATAGTTCTTTGTAGTTAGTTTAGATTAAAGAAATAATACACATCCATTATGGTTGCCAAGAGAGTGCAGGTTCGTATCTCTTTGGTTTGTTAAAGATAGTTGACATCAATTAGTCCCCCAGTTATGGAAAGTGACATCTCTTTGAGGGACTAAATTCATGTAATTTCCTATTATTAAGGAAATAAATTGATGTCAATTATCTATGATTGAGGAAATGGACTGGACTGAATGGACATCATTTTTCTTTTAGCTACCTAAATTGATTTCAAACTGTACTGAATGCCAGTTTACTCTATAAAGCATTGTTTTGAAAACTAGACCAGATGGTTTGACTGGTTGAAACGGGAACCAGTTAGTCATCCAGTCTGTTCAACCCAGAAAACCGACTGATTTCTGAACCAGTGAGAACTAACCAAAAACTGGTTGAACTAGTCCAAAACTAGTGAAAACTGGTTGTAAAAGCCAGTTTGAACTGACCAGTGTCTAACTTTTAACATTTTTTTTTTTAATTTTAAAAAAATATTCTTTTTAACAAAAAAATTAATGACAAATTATAGAGTCAGAGAGACAGATTTTTATCATTTATCTTTTCTTTATTGATTTTTTCTTGCACAAAACATATATGTAATCATTTTATATTAATTTAAAATTTAATTTGTCTTAGTTTCTTAATATTATGTTAATTTATTATTTAATATAGTATATAATATTAAAAATATATAGTTATCACTAGTTTGACCATGGTTGAACCTTGAATCAGTACCTCTACTGGTTCAATGACTGGTCTGGTTCTTAAAACATTGCTAAAAAGAAGTGAGTTGACTAAAATTGTTACTCTGCAACTACTTGCAATGCTCCGAATAGAGGTTGGATTGGGAGGTCAAAATCCGCCAATGATATAGGGCAGGTTAGACATATCAGGTTGGCTTTTTAAATTTTATATCTAAAATTTTTTTAAATTAAGATTTTCTTTTTTTATTTCTTAATTTTTGTATCCAAAATTATATTTAATGACAAAATTAAATTGTTACATCAATTAAATTGCTCATTTATTTAGGTGAGATTTAAGGTTTATTTTTTGAAATTTATTATGTCTTTTTTTTTTTTAAATTCTTAAGTGGGTCAACCTGCCGGTTACCTTCAAATCATTTTTAAAAATGAGGCTAGGTTGAACCCGACCCATTTTTGGTGGGTTGCTGGGGGGATGGGTTGACCTGCTTTGCCCTTCATTCTAAATGAAGTTGAAACATCTACAACTGAGGTATAACCTTTTGGGGCGGCGTCTTTGTTGATGTAATTAAGAACCACATTTGGAACTACTAGATCAAGTTTTTATGGCATATATTTGTTTGCCACCATCTGGGAAAATTGATTGTAGTGTTATTTCAATTTTTAATTTAGCAGCAGCGGTGATGGGGTCTGTGATTGGTGCTGAAAGTTTACTGTCATAATAATTTGGATCTCAAACATGTTCATTGTTTATGTTGCATTTAGTGATTTTAGTTGTAAAACTAATACTGGCAATTTGTTTATCCGTGTGTTTCAGGCAATTTTGGGGGGAACCATTCAAGTGCCGACTCTTTCTGGAGATGTTGTTTTAAAGGTTAGTAATGCTATTGCTATTGCAATCCATAATATTTCTTATGGCACTTCCAGTAATTGGGGACGTTTGAGTTATGAGTCCTGTTTGGCAGGTTCGCCCGGGCACCCAACCTGGTCAGAAAGTGGTTTTGAAAAAGAAAGGTAAGCTAGTTGATACCATTTGGGGAAATTGAGAATTTTTATTACTTCATTGAAACCATTGCGAGGAAAATATAATTGGAATGTTGGAACATGTTGCTGTATGGATTTTTAGAAGTTGCAAGGGTAAGCTCATTTCTTGCACCAATCTTATCTCGTTTGTTCTTTTAACAGGGATCAAGACAAAAAATTCTTACACATTTGGGGATCAATATGTTCATTTTAATGTCAACATCCCAACGTGAGTGTCTTGTTCGATATTTTTTAGTGTCGCTTATAAACTGCTCACTCAATACACAATCCTTTGGTTTTATGATGAATGCTGAAAATATAAGATGCCTGCATTTGAAATGTTATTACAGAAATCTGACGCAGAGACAGCGTGAATTGATTGAAGAGTTTGCCAAGGAAGAGCAAGAGGAATTTGATAAACGGAGTGCTGCTTCTGCTTCCGGTTGAGCACATTTTCAGAATCTCCATATTTATTTACCAAGTCATGCTCAACTCGGTGGCAACCTACCCGCTGTTAAAGTTTTGTAGGAGCATTAATATATATTTCTTCCTTCCTTTGCCCCATCCATTTAGAGTGTATGTAATGTTTTTGGTCACAAGTGATATTCACAATTCAAATTTTAAAGGTTAGACTTTTAGAAGGCAATCTCCTCATGCTTATGCATCCTTAGAATTCTAGTCAATATTGTACATATTTTCATTTTAACACAAGATGTGAAAGTTACAAGGGAACCTTGTTTCTCCTCGAAGGTGAACGAGTACCAGACGATTTTTTGTATCAATACTGAAGGATCACCCCTAATTTAATAGAAATACGTATTATAGTTTATCAGCCTGTTGTAACACTCAAATTGTGAGAGATGGAATTTTCTTTTTCTTATTCTCTTTTAACTATGAGAGGCTCTTTACAAATTCTAAGATGGATTTATGTGAACCATCCAAAAGAAGTGGAAAGCGAGATCATGGTGTTATTTAATAAAGTTGCATGGTAATTTGTGAAGGTTGTTGGAAAACGCAAGCATAGTGGGTGGAGTCTAAAGAGAAGATCTAATTTTATTAGGAAACAGATTGTTTGCAGTGTTGGCATAAACTGAAGCAGTTTGTAGTGTGTTTTCCTCCTCTCCTGCCCTTTCTCTTCTGCACTTTCATCTCCCTCTCCGTCTACCACTTAGTCCCTCCCCTTCTCTCCCTCTCTCTTGCTCACCCAGTCTTCCTCTTTTCCCTCCTGTACTCCTCCACTCTTTTCCCTCACCCTACTTGGCCCCTCTCTGCTCTCTCTCTCACCCGTCTTCTCTTTTTCCTTTTTTCCTCTTACTTCTTCCTTTTATCTTTTTTTCGGTTCAAGCAAAATTTTTAATCTTTACTTTCAATGAATTTTTAAAACTTAAGTGAAAATCATTATTTGTTAATTTTACGTAAACAAACTTAAATTTATTTAAATGAAATTATACTGAAGGCTGTAGCTTGTGTTAAATTGTAGAGGATTCGGATCTTTCTTATTATGTATATTTCATTTTAGTGTCTGTGTACGTTTTTCTTGATTTCGAAGAAAAAAAAGTTATCATATCTAAAAAATCCCAATTTATTTATTTGCATATCTAATTCCTAAAGTTATGCATGTTTACGTTTAAATTTACCTTTGTTCATGTGTCCCTAGTTCTCAATGTAGAAATTTTTTAAAACCCATGCATACTTTGTAAAACACGATTTTGACTTGAGAAATTGGTTGTGGAAAATGTCTTTAATACATGTTGATCTCGATTTAAACTTTATGACCTGACTATGACTTTTGTGGTTAAACTAATGCTGGGACATTTAGAAATGTAAGACATGCGTTGAATAAATTGAGTTCATTATGAAACTTGGTACATGATGCTGTCCCAAAATTATTATTCATGTGTTTGTTTAAGTTTGCCTAATTAATGTTCTTAAAATACTAGTTAAAGAATTATAAAATAAATATTTATTAAAAATTTTAAATAAGTATATCAATTTTTCTAAGTATGTATTTAAGGACGCATAATAAGAAAGTGAGAAACATTAATTTTTTTTTTATAATTGCAATATTTAATGTTATTAATGCATTGATTAAATTTATCACTAACTAAAGAATTCATGCTGCCCAATGTGGCTAAATGATTTAAATAATACTTTTTTAAAAATTAATTACCAAAATAAATTTTTAAAAAAAAACTTATTTCCTGTCTAGGACAAATTTTTGTCATATCAGTCCATATTTTGTATGAAAGTTAAATAAAATTAATTTTTTTATCTAAAATAGGAACAAAATTAGTGAAATTTTGACACATGTCACATAATTAATATGTAAAAAATACAAAAAATTAGAAGAATTTAAATTTTATTTTGCCTCTTCAGTGACACGTGGACCAATAAATGACTTTTGTCTCTGATTTAGATGAAATCATTATTTCATCTAAATCAAAGATGAAAGGCGCTTATTGGTCCACATGTTGGTGGAGACAACGGGCACTCCGAAACCCTCTTCCCTCTTTGGTTCGAAAACGAAAGTCATTGCCATTTTCTCATTCACACAACAGTACTTTTTCTTATTTGTTTGAGCGATTTGAGTGAGTAAGGTCGTTTTGTTCTTAATCCATTGCAGAACCGTGATTATGTAATAACATATTATTGTATTATAGTCGATCTATGTTATTAACTTTTTTTTTGTATAATTAATGTTAAAATTTTAAATTTTGACCATGTTATTTTTCATAGATTATTGATATTTTGTGTATTTAAGTTGATATCTTAATTAATTGTAATTAATATACACAAAATATTGATATAAATAATTAATTATAGTTATACTTATTTATATAAATAATTAATTTAAATTATTATTAACATACACAAACATACTACTACATTTCACATCATTTTATATTATAAAAAAATTATATTTTTTTATACGTATTTTACATATATAAAATAAATATTCACAACAAATATAACATCATTTTTATTTATTACACAAGTTAATATTAACTATCTACTAATTTCTATATTTTTTTTAACAATATATAAATAATTTTTAATTTCAACATACACAAAAATATATTTACTAAATATTCATAAATTTTAACTACCTCTATTTATTTTAGTAATTAAAAAATTATAATTTTAATAATTTATCAATAACAAAAAAACTCAAAAAATATTCAAAATTTATTAACCTTAATATTCTTCATGTCTTTGAAAGTTCAAGAACCGTTTTTACACTTCAATTTGGATCCGCATCCGCATACATTATATATTAAAATTTGGTTGGATATTTGGGTGCATAGGAAGCTCATTGACCAGTGGTTAAAAGGCATTTCATCTTAAATGTAGACAAATTTAATAAGATTTTGACACGTGTTGAAATCCTATGATTTTGGCCAAATTGAGACGAATTTAACGAGATTTAGATACATGTCAAGATCCTATAATTTCGTTTTGGTTTTATATGAAATTAGTAACACGTGTTAATCCGTAAAGTATTTTGTCCCTCTTTCAAATGAAATAATTAAATAAAAAATAAAAAAAAATTAATTTTGTTTAACTTTTATAACAAATATAGAGTGACATGGCAAAAATTTACTCCAGACAGAAGATTAATTTAATTTTTACTTTATTTTGATAATTAATTTTTAAAAAATGTTATTTAAATCATTAAACCGCCCAATGTTCTCGACATTCAAGAATCAACACCAAGCTACTAGACCCAAATCTCCTTTACATTCACCCAATGACTTTCTTTTATTGGTTAAATTTGCTAAAAATTACACACACAAATGTATTTAAAATAATATGTTCCTAACACTCCTAGCACTAGTAATAAATGACAAAATTCTTATAAATATATTGTTTAATTTTATTCCTTTTTTTATTTTTTAAAAATTTTATCCTAACAAATTTGGTTGGTGATGTTTGAACTACAGGTAGAAGATTCAAATGACATGATCGATCAAAATGTTTGATTCACTCGTCTAATCGTCCATATATCTGTTTTGTGTACTTGACAAGGAAATAAAAAAGACGTAACTATATATATTTTGGAGTTAAAATGCTGAAACATGCTGACATTTCATACGTATTGAAATTAATTAGTGTTCAATTGGAAGCTCATATGGTGTCCCTTTGGACAAAAATAAAACAATTTTGTTTCTTGCCCCAGTGATATCCCAATAGTCAACCATGAATGCTGTGTGATTCAGGGAAAGAAAAATGCATAATTTTTTTATTACAATAGTCAACCATGAAAGTTCTCATTTTTTTCCCTTGAGATTGATTACTGCAAGTTCTTGTTCAACATACTCTCCTGCACAGATAGGTGGATATTTGCTTGCAAGTGGTGATTCAGCAAAATGTCCCAATGGCTTCAGAACTGCATCTGATGCTATGTGTGCAAACAACTACATGTACACACAAATTGTATTAGTCGATATAAACACTGACACAAGTCAATTTCATAAAGCTCTTCTTTCCTAGTTCAAAAAATGACCATGTTTTTGGTCCTCACCGTTGAAGAGACTCTCCATAAGCTACGGTTTTGCTCTTCGGCTACCTTGATTGCATCAATTGTCCTCTTTGTGACAACTACCTCATGCATGCCAGCTATGCAATCACCTCCAGTTAACCACTCTATCTGCATTTTAAAACAAAAATAAAACACACAAAAGGACATTTATAATGTAGAGTCAATCACATTTATCATAGAGAACTGTCAAATTATGTAGACTTGCAGTCAAAAGGCAATGAATGAAATCCGAGTCCATAGCAGACATAAAATTGAACCACAAATTTAATGCTGACAGAACACTGAGATACCAGTTATTTGAGACAAGAAACATTGCTAAACAGTTCCCAAAAATAAAATGCCTGAGAGGACAAGGAATCAAGTACATGTTTCAAGCTGCAATATAAACTCTGAATTTCCTCTTATTAAATATCAGCAAATTCTGGTAATTTTGAATTACCTGCTTTCCTGTCTGAATAAGAAGACATCCTATCGGAACCTTCACTTCGACTTTTTGTCCATTTCTTAACCAGATGTTTAAACCAGGAAATCTACTTCTACCATGAATAGTTAGGAAGTTCAGGTCATAATGATATCCTGCAAAAACAGTTCCCTCCTGACCATATCTTTCAAGGTCACTCCCTGTTGGTGCTAACAGATGCGGGCCCTAGCACACAGTTAAAAGAGAATACAATATAAACATGCATAAACATAAATGGATTACCCAATAAATGACATTTTTCTAAAAAACCTAAGGAATAGCCCATTTGGTGGTTATATCATAGACAAAAAGAGTTTCATACAGACGTGCTTTCTGTTATTAAAGTAACAAAAGTGGCAGTCTGGTGCATGAAGCTCCCAACATTGTGGAGTGTGGGGAAGGCTAGCATTTTATTAAAGAAACAAAATAGGAAGACACTGATAATTAAGAGTGAGGAATATTTATGACAGAACTTATGCTTTGCTTGCAAATGGGATTTCTGCAGTTTATCAGTATATCTATTTCCACAAGCAAACCTTTTGGAAGTGTAATAGAAGATGCAAGTCTTGCTGGATATAAATATAATTTTAAACAAGGAACTATCAAACAACTAAAGAAAGTACATCAAACTAAAAATGATGGCAACTCTGTGACCGTAACACATCATACATTTGTCACACAATTGGGGGAACCTGTGCTTCCATATTGAAAATGGGTAATAGCAAATACTTATGATGCACTGTGCAAAAGGAAATGGTTGTAGAAATATAATCACCGAGACAAAATTGTGAATTTTAAACCACATTATTTTTGTTTTAAAATCTATATGGAAATGTTCATCTGTCATGAGAAAATAGTTCTTTAATCAACAAATTTCCAGTAATACTTCTCTTTTCCCTTCCTAATGAGTAACCAATCACTAGGATGCAATTGATGTGCTTACCAGCTTCATGAGAGAAGTGAATGCATCCTTTGGAAGACCAAACCCAATAGCTGCCATTTCTGCAACTACCTAAGTAAGAAATATGCACGTTTAGATCACCACAAATTAATAGTATGACAAAAAAAAAAAAGAAAAAAAAAACAATTAAACGACTGACTTCAATTGCTGCTATCATTTTGTATCCCCAGGAATCCATGGTTTCCTTCCATTCAGGGAAACCTTCAGGTATTACTGGCTCGGCATTCAGTTCCTGTAAAATTGAGATAAACATTAGGAACTAGGACACGTCTTTTATGGATAAGAAAAGAGAGAGTCAAAAGACCTGAAAACAAGTATTTGACGGCCGAGGACCAATTCTCCAAAAGTATCGCCATTTGAGATCAGGTCCAACAGGAGTATGTGGCTGGTTTTCTTTAGGCATTGTTTTCAGTTTCTCTTGCATTTCTTCATCAACCAAGCTTCTTGGAACTTCTACTCTCTCTGGCGTAACCCCAACCTATATACCCATTTGAAACATTATGATGTCTTATGGATTATTTTTGCCATCAAAACAACAGAATACTAGATATTACTGCAAAATGAAGCCACTGATGGCCCTTTTCTGGTTCCAAAAGGGCCTGCATTTCCCATTCTCATTGTTCATAAAACCTCCATAATTTGTGACAAGCAGCACACACAACTGAATGAATGAACAACTTAAAAACGAAATTATGCCTTCAACCATTAACGACCTCCACCAAAAACCTTCTAATACTAAATAATTCTCACCCAAAACAATAATTTACATTTAAAAAGAAAATTCAGATGCAAATCAATCTATCAAAGATAAAACTCAATTACAAGAAATTATTTACAGAGTACAAAAATCACGCAAAGTTTTCGCAAACCTCCTAATTCCAGGAAGATTACCAACCAACCTTAACACAAATTATGTAGATCAAACATTAAGAAAATTCCACACAAAACAAAAAGATGGAAACTCCAACATGAACGTGAAATGGAGTAAACCCACTATTATCCCCTAAAACTAAAATGTAAGGAACTCAAAAAAATTCTGACTTCACAAAATCTTCAGTTGATACCTAATTTTATAAAATGTGTTTTGCATTAGTTCATTTTGATATAGTGCGACAGTAAAAATCAAAATGCAACAGAAAATGATCAAAATGAATGATTATTAACAAAATCAAGGATTTAAATAAAATATTTTTATAAAACCAAATATCACTAACATCTCAGCAATAAAATTGGCATTTCATATTTCAGATAGCACCTCAGAAGGCGAAGAGCGTTGACGAGTCTAAATTATGTGGAAAGAAAAAAGACTTCGGGAAATTCTGACAGGAAAATGAAAAGGAGTAAACCCACTATTACTCCCTAAAATTATAAATGTCAGTAACTCAAATTTCAGACTTTACAAAATTTTCCCTTGATTCCTAATTTTTTTAAAATGCGATGCTTAAAGTCATTTTAGTATAAAACGACAGTAAACAAAATGAAATTGAAAATGATCAAAATGAGCTATGATCAACAAAATCAACGACTAAATAAGAATTTAAAAAACCAAGTATAAATATATAAAAAAAAAATAGGGTTTACAATTCAGATAACAGGTGGAGAGGCACCCCAGAAGGGGAACAGCGTTGACGAGTGTAAATTGAGTTGAAGAAAAGAAACTTTGGGGAAAAAGAAAGAGACCGAAAACCTGATAATGCAAATGGGGTCTTTCTTGGAGGAGTTTGAAATGCTGAGGTTTGGAGAAGTAGGTTTCCATCATGTCGATGAAGCGATCGTTGTCATGGACGGTGCAGCGAGGGTCCTTCACCACCAGTGCCCCCGTTTCCCTGAGAGTGCGGCTGACCTCGCCGCAGAGGGCGGAGACTTGTGGGTTCCACACGCCGTCGAGGTAGGGAGAGAGATCTATGACTGGAAGGTCCATTGCGTTGTGTTGTGTTGACTGTTCACAATTGATGGCGGGAGAGTGAGTGAGTGTTTTGGATTGGAATTTGGAATTGTTTAATATTTATAGACAGTACATTTTGCTTTCTCTTTTTTTGTGTCTGATCCTTTTTCCTTTTTGTGTGATGTGATGTGAGTAGCTTACAAGAGCTATTTTGTCACTGTTCCTGATGAATTTCACTTAAATAATTTATAATGATATTAAATAAATATTTTATTAAAATATATTTTGAATTTTAATTTTAATTGATAGTAAATATTTAAAATAAAGTATATAATTTTTCCTTTTTAATAATTTTTCAAAAAACATGGTACTGCTATTTGTTTGGCTTTTGAAAAGAGAAATACTAATAAGTGTTTTATAAAGAGTTAATTAAAAAAATTTTAAAAAAAATTGTATAGTGTTTATGTTTTTTAATAATAATTTTTGTATTTTATAATTTTTTAATCAATATTTTGGAGGTTCTTTAAAAAAAACAAAAACCAAAAAAGTTGATTACTAATTGTTTTGAATGAAGAATTAAACTTTGTTGATCAATTTTAAGTAAATAAAAGTGGACTATTTTTCTAAAAATATTATAGAATTGTTAAAAGCTAACTTCCGGTCTTTCACTTTTGCAAGAAATGGAAAAATGTTATCCAGAGAGTCACACAGAGTTTCTTTTAGGTTTAGAATTCTTGCAGTACACGTAAAATCTGCCCATGCACACAATAGTTTGCCAACAAAGAAGTCAATTTTAGGTCTTTTGGGACTAAAGTGGAAATACTATATATGCTAGATGGCCGAAAACTATAGTTTTATTTATTATAATGTTTGATTACTTTTGAATAATAATAATAATAAAGCAAGATCCAGCTTATTGAATCAAGGTTGTAAATTTCGAAATTCTATAATTAAAAGCCTCAGAGAGGACACTTGATGAGATGAATAAAAAAATTGAATCTACATATAATTATAACAAAAAATATAATATTTTATAAAATACAAAGATTTATTCAAAGATAAATTATGCATATAAAATAACCTAGATATGATAAAATAACTTTTCATTCACAAATATACTACCTTTACCATTATTACTCTATTTAATAATATTTTTGTATAGGACAAAATTTCTTATAACGCGTTGTTTGAAGCAAGGAAACAAAATTAAAGGAGTAATTTTGTAGAAAAAAAATATATGATTTTCACTTATTTGGATAGTTTTGACATTTTTTCTGAGGAAAAAAATTGAGACCCACCTAAAGTCACCTTTTCATTGACGTCATTTTGCAACATTAAATAGAGGAGCTTCAGGGGAAAAAAGGTAATGGTGAGCTTTTTATATTGTTTAAATTATTTTTATATTAATTAATATTTATATAATATAACAAATTTAAAATAAATTTTATTAAGAGGAGAAGCTGCAAACCTTTATTAAAATTTTTAGTTTATTTTAAAAATAAATAATATTTTTATAATTAAAATATACAAAAATAATGAATAAATTTAACTTAATAAAAGATAATATCATAAGAAATTTTTTTAATAAAATCTATTTATAAAAAATCCCCTCAAAAGAAAATATTTTAGAATTCCCAGGAATCATTATTTTAACATTGCCTAAGAAATATTATTTAACATTCTGAGGATTCTTTTAACATTTCTAGAAAATATAATTCGCAAGAATCTATTTCTAAAATATATTTAAAAAAATTATTTTAAAAATCTCACAATTAAGATTCCTGAACAACTTAAAAGAATCTTCTTGCAAATACTCCCAAAGAGTAAAATTTTATTAAAAAATATATATTTATTATACTTTTATAACTTTAATACAACAAATTTTTTTATATAAAATCTGATTTATAAAAAAATCCATTTTAAAAAACTAATAAACTATTATTTTTAGTTATAAATTATAATATTCAATAATATCAGTATCCTTTGTTATATTAACTTTTGTAATAATAATTTTTTTTATATAAATTTTTATTATACACCTTTTTGAAAAAAATTGTCGACTTAAGGATTGTGCCTCTAATTAGGGATACCTTCAAGTTTTTTTTTTATTAAGGTATATTTTTAAAATGCTTGCATACAAAAAGATAAAAAAAAAAAAAAAAAAAACATGAATATATAATAACACATATAAGGTCAATAATTTTCTGTAGTACAAATAATAAAACTCCAATGAAAATTTAGAATACCTGTATTTTTAACGCTATAAGAGGTTGCTTCTTCGTTAATGCATGTTTTTAATACATGGAAAAAGAAAAGAAAAAAAGTGCGAATTTGATGTAGAATTAAGCATGCACTAATTTGTAAGTACCCTAGTTATTTTGAAAGTTTATAAATACTTATTATTTATTCACTCATTTTTAAAAGATGGTATACAATTTGAAAAATATAACTCATATATTTATATTTATTAAAAATATTTAATCAGGTCTAATTAATAAAACTAAAGATGAACTATATGATGAAGGAGATAAATTATTGTAAAAATAATCACATGTAGATAAAATAGAAAAAAATTACATTGACACTCATGTTTAAAATGTAGAGTGAGTAAAGAAAAGAAAAAATTAAAAAGAGAGAGAAAAATACAATGAGAAAACTCATAAATTCGTCTCTTAGATATTATAAATTGTCATAGATTCAAGTCTGTTACTAATAGACACATGATAAATGTTAATTTTTATTAAATTGTCATATTAAGTGACATGCATCATGTACATGTAACCATCACTCTAAAACGACATTGTCTTCAGTGTAAACAGAAGACGCAAACCAACTTTTGTCCTAATAAATTTTTTGTCCCAATTTTCACCAAGAGCCCTCTCCAATATTTGTCTTTAGTGGTTATGATTGACCTTGAATCGATCCAAGATCCTGCCTGAATTTCCTTGAACATTGCCATGACTTGAATCACCGTTGGACACCTCCAATGCCAATCACCAAACGCCTCCAAAGTCGATCATCCAAACAGGAATACGCAACCTTTAGGTGATACAAAAGCTCATTCTCCAAATTGGGGTCTTCCTTCATAAGCTCATGGTCAAAAACATCACTTAAATTTCATCTTGATGTGCTTTTTAACTCATCCAACAAGATGATTATTACCAAAATTAGACAAATTAGTAGGCTCCTCCCTGTTAGCAGCTCCAGCAAAACCACACCGTAACTATAGACATCACCTCTGGTGGAGCATCTAAAGCTCTAATAGTAGTCAAGGGGCACACACCTGTGCCCACCAATGTGCTCACCCTCAAATGGGTATCCATAGCACTCATAAGCCTATCCATTCCAAAATCAGACACATTGGCTTTTAGGTTCTCATCAAGCAAATTATTGCTTGATTCCATGTCTCTATGAATGATGTGCAGATACAATTGTAGTGAAGAAATGCCAATTTCCTCCTCACTGCCCAAGCTCAATTTGATCCCAGGTTTCTTCTGGTCGTGCAAAACATCCTACAAGCTTCCGTATTTCATGTACTCATAAACCAAAAGCTGCAATAGTTAATATCTAGGCCATTGCCGGGGATCCAAATTACTGTGATAAAACCCACCAGACTATTTCCTAAAGGGATTCATTTCCAAAGTGGAAGCTATTAACAATATATAGATGTAAAGGGCATCATTACCAACTCTTGCCATTTGGAAGTGGACGTAGAGGCCTCCAAGGAGCTTCACTAGTATTATCTGTCACTCAAACAACTCTGCGTGTATCATCCAATGCTTTGATCAGAATGTCCATTCTAGAAGTAATAATGATGTTGACGCAGCAGATAAAAGGGGGCGGGCTGGCTCTCTTTTAGGCCAAACCTCTAGTTTGCAAACCTGGTGGACCCAATTTGTTCCATTTTCAGCAACCTAACCAACAATATTATTAAAAAAAAGAACCAGTTATAGTTATAAAAATACCAGAAAAAGACAGATGAAATAATCTGCTGTAAGAATCCAGCTTGATTCTTAGCATTTTGTGTTAAATCATAGGTTCCACCACCTTTTACAATATTTTGCATTTGTATTATCTAATTAAGAACTTCGAAACAGTGTAATTGTGGAATTCATGGCTGCACCAATAGAGACAACTCAAGAGGTGTAAAGAAACTCAATCTGTAAGAATCCAGCTTGATTCTTAGCATTTTGTGTTAAATCATAAGCTGGAGCAAAGTATTGGCATGTTCCAAGATGACAGAAACTTTCAAGTTCATTGGTGGACCCAAGTTACTGCCTCCAATTGAGAGATGGGAAAAAATTGATGTTAGGTATGCAGGTTCATTTAACAAGTGGCCATTTCTCCATCTGAAAGGCTGAAAAACTATCTTGGATCTCCACCCCATTCAAGGAAGGTGCAAAATGTCATAGATCTCACTTATCCCCATCCAGAACATTTGTAAAGGGTTGATGACAGAACACAAAACTCCATTTCAACATATGCAAGAGAATCTCTGATGTCTAACAACTTTTGAAGTGAGGCAAACAATGAATTTAGACTTTGGATCTCTCAGAATACAACAAAATTTTACCAATAATCCCGACAAGAACATAAGCCTTCACTGAAATGATGGAATCTGTTATTATCCCGAATGATTATCTCTCTCCCCGTAACTTTTGAAACAAGTTTTATAGCTTCATGGCAATCGCCACATACCCGAAGGTTTTTAACAACACGAATCACATCTTTGGCACTAGTACTGATCAGTGCAAATGCAACAGCCAACTTCTCACTATGACAGCCAAGAAAGTACTCCTTCTCCTCCTCCTCTATATCAAAGAGCACAAACTCAGTGGTCGGATTATAGCCAGCTTCTCTCAAGTCCTTAAATAAATTTTCAAGTTTCTCATATATCTTGTGCGACAAAGGATGGGAAGTGTCGCCTACAAGGAATTCATGAACGACGCCATCAACTTCAACCCAACTACACCCAGGTAATTTCTGCATCCCTTTCTGACTCAAAGTTGACCTGATTTTTTCTGCCTCATCCCATCGATGACTTGCTGAATATATATTTGATAAGAGAACATAATGTCCTGAATTCCATGGTTCTAACTCAATGAGCTGCTTCAACACAAGTTCAGCCAGTTGGGTATCCCGATGTAACCTACATCCCCCCAACAGTGCCCCCCAAACAACAGCATTGGCCTTCATTGGCATACTCTTGATCAAATTCTGTGCTTCAACCAAAAAACCTGCACGGGCTAGAAGATCCACCATGCATCCATAATGCTCTATAGTAGGAGTTACAGAAAAGACACTACTCATGCAAATAAAATAACGACGACCATCATCAACTAAACCAGCATGAGTACACCCACAAAGTAAACCAACAAAAGTGTTCCCGTCCGGCTGCATTCCAAGCTTTTCCATTTGGCCAAACACTCCAAATGCAGCCCCAACATGTCCATACATAGCCAGCCCAGAAATAACAGCATTGAAGACCACGCGATCCTTCCTCTTCATCATTCTAAAAACCTCCAATGCTTGTGCCACACTTCCACATTTTGAATACAAGTCAATCAAGGCAGTACCCAATACAGGATTAGATAAAAACTCATCAGCATCCATCAAGCCCCTAGCCCAATTTCCCAAGTCCAATGCTCCCAACCTTGCGCACGCAGACAGAACTCCAACTATGGCATAGCAATCCGGTCTCAGATTTTCCTTCCACATCTCAAAGAACAAGTCAAGTGCTTCCTTGGGAAGCCCATTTGATGCATAACCCTGAATCATGGCGCTCCAACAAACAACATCCTTCTCAACCATTCCGTCAAACACACGACGCGCTTCCTCCATGCTCCCACATTTCGTATACATATCAACCAACGAGGTGGCCACAAACACATTCTTATGCAAACCATTCTCACTCATAAACCCATCAATCCACCTTCCACTTACCAAATCCCCTAACCGAGCACACGCATACAAAACCCGAACAAGCATGAAACTATCAGGCCTCAAACCCACCTCCAACAACCCTCTAAACAAACCAACAGCTTCTTCACAATAACCAGACTCAATGTACCCACAAATGATAGCGGTCCAAGACACAACATTTTTCTTAGGAATATCATCGAACACCTTTCGTGCATCCTTTAAATACCCGCATTTAGAGTACAAACAAACGAGACCGGTCTTAACAAACACGTCACAATCGAAACCAGTTCTGATAACAAGAGAATGCAGTTTGAGACCCACGTGGAAATGCGAGAGCCTAGCACACGCTTTGAGAACGAAAGGGAAGGTGAAGTTATCGGGGACGAACCCAGCTTCACGCATGGAAGCGTAGAGCGAAACGGCGTGGTGGAAGCTGTCGTTGGATACCATGCCGCGAATCATGGTATTCCAGAGGAATATGTTTGGGTGGTTGGTTTGGTTGAAAACGACGGTGGCGTATTGCAGTTTGCGGTAGTGTAAGGAAAAGCGCAAGATGATGTTGATGAAGTAGTTGTCTTGGTGAAGGCCCATGCGATAGAGGCGACAGTGAACATGCTTCACTTGCTCGAACGACTTCAACCCTTCCACCAGCCACTTCTTCAGCTCCAAGGCCATCTTGTAATGTGGCTCCTTACCAATTTTTATTTATAAACCATTAAATAATTGTTTTATTCCCTCAAATTATTGTCATTCTAATGACAAGAATTTATAAAATTAAAAATTAAAATAATAAACACATGCTAAAAAGAAATAATGCTCGACATTTATAATTTTTAAATATAAAATGAGTATTTATTCATATATAAACATGCTATTAATACTTCAACCTTTATTTTTTATTTTTATTTTTAATTAACTGTTTACCAAAATAATGTTAATATGACCTTTTTAGGATAATTTTTACGAAGTTTTGTCACATCAATGATGCATATTTATTTTTAAAATAATAAATAAAATTGTACATGTAATTGATAATTTCCATTGCTAGTAGGTTCACTGTTTATTTAATATCAATTTCCTTTTTTAAACTTGCTTGTGCTACATGAGATGATGTACTTTATTGTTTATCCATCTATTTTGAATTTTTTGCACACCAATGATAATAAAATAAAACAAACCATTGCTAGAAACATCACACTGTAAAATTATAAAAGAGAATATATCTTTCACTTGACTACCAAAATTTTGTTAGGGTAAACCTAAATGAAAGTTTATGCATGATAATGCTATCATTTGTTCATGTAAATATCAAATAAACCTAAATGAAAGCTTATATATGTATACTATATTCCATCATTGGCCTGCTGACTGTAGTTTCTCGATCTTTAAATCCTTAAAAGATATTTCTTTTTTTTTTTCTTGCATCCAAAATAATTTAGGTACAGATATTTCTTGTTTTGCATAAGTTTTGGTAAATTACAGAATCACTTTAAACTCATCTTATAATATAAGAGAACCCCCTAAAAAAGTAGTAGTGGAAGAATTGTTGATAGGTTGACACTAAATAAGTTACTTGACTTTGTTATGGAATTTCTTCAGTGTTTATTTTTTATTTGGTTTCATAAATTTAGAGTTCTATTACGGTTTCTGGTGTTTGTTATTTTTTTTTTCTTTCTTCAGTTGGGAAATCTTTAAGACTCAATTTCAGGGTCATAAACTTCAGATGACCTAAAGCATGCCAATTAGCTAAACTTTTAAAGTTCTACACTACAACTTAGAAAGGTTGTTTAGAGAACGAGTATGATGCTAAGACAGCTAAGTCTAAGGAACAACAGATGGATTAACGATAAAAGTGTATGAGACTTGTGCCACGGTGAAGGTCAGAGATCCAAAAAATAAAATAAAATTGCTAGGTCTTCATGAGGAGAATTTTCAAGTCTTACGGTCAATTGTGGAATAATTAAATAGGAAAAAGTATTGAAACTAACAAATAAACAAACATGGTCATTCAAGTATAATAAGTTCAGTTGAACTTCTCTAGTTCTGTAATAAAGTAGCAGCATATTCTTTAACAAGGTAATCTATTGTCGATTTCAGAATATGTATAGATTCGGAAGAGTGAAGGGGTCTTTTCTTAAGTAAGGCACAAGATGTTTGATAGATTCTATACTAATTTATTTCTTAAGATTTACTCAATTATGGAAATTTAGTTGGTGGTACGTGATTATGGTAAGGCACTTGACAGAAACATTTCTTAGGCCTTGAAACTGAAATCTTATGATGTATGGAGCCGCATGTTGAGGAATTTAGGGTTAAGGTGTTGTTATATATATAGATTTATTACATGTATCTAGTCAAGTCTAAATTCATTAAGTTTATGATAATAAGGAACACACATAATAATGGAGAAATTATAAGGGCATTGCTATAGTAACCTCATAATTTAGAGGGATAGAGTACCCCTTAGCTCCGCTCCACTGAATTAATAACGTGTATAAAATATAATTATATCATTTAAAGCTGGAAAATTTTTTAATGATCGTTTTGCCTCAACTATTAACATAGTGTTCAACTTTAATTATCGTTAACCTTGCTCAAATCCATTGCTATCATGAACCACCTTACCATGTCTTAGAAACACTGGGTCAGAAATTGCTTACTATGTCTTTGCCTCATTGGCACCACCATGCAACCCCACCTCATCTTCATTTCTCCGCTGCCAACCACCACAATATAAACCTATCACCATTGACCTCCAAATCGTACCTACCTCCATACACAGTGACATCGTCGTCAACCTCTCAGCAAGAGACGTTACTAGTCATTGCCTTTCTTTGTCCACTAAAGGGTAAGCCACCAGCCGCCGCTCAGGTCACCACGCACCTGAACCATGTGTCATGCACAAAAACCCCAAAATCGTGAAGTTGTATGATCTCAACATCACCACCTGCTACGTTAGTGTTGTTCTCAATCGCAGAAACTCCCATATGAAAGAACACCCTTACCATCCGCACGTCGCCACCAACACCTTGCCACCCTCCTTCCCCTCCCCAAATGTGTTTTACCTTTCAGAAATTTTTAGGTGTTTCGATGAGGTATTTCAAATAATGAATTCATTTTTTTAAAAGAATTCACAATTTTGTAAGTTAAAATTTTCTGTTTGGATATTTAATTTTATAGAATTTAAAATTTTAAGAATTTTAGTGAAAATTTTAATAAACTAAATTCAAAGAATTCTAAATCCTAATAAAAGAGTAAAAGTTTAAATTTATTTTATTTATTTATTGTGTATTCCATTTATATTTTTATTTAGTTAGGATTAATTTAATAATTTAAATTTCATATTTTTAATAAATTTTGTCAAATATAGTGATATTTTTTTTAAGAATGTAAGTAATTTAATTATTTTATCTAAACAAAATATTTGAAATGAGGGAAATTCAATTATTCTATTCAAATAAAATATTTTAAAAAACATAAATTTAAATGATGTAATTTAAAATTCTGAAAATTTAAAATTCTACAAAAATTTTAACTACCTTATCCAAATACAACATTGTTGATGTCTTATTTTTTTATTTATTTAATTTGAGCAAAAATTGGGTTTTGCTCTTAAAAATTATTTTAATTAGCTTTTGCATGTTTTGTTTGGTTATAGATAAGACAGTAGTAAACTAGAAATAAGAAAAAGATTATTTTGCAAAATTTAGTATATGATTTATAGAGATTAAACTGAAAATTAAAAGAATTTATGAAGCAAATAGTTAATACCATGACATGTTATTATTACGAAACAAGTTACAATTTTATTGGTCGATAATAAGAAGTTTCTTACCCATGTGTCCTGTAGATGATGTGAAAAGTGAGTCATCCTTACCAAAAAGGATATTACAAATCTAAATGATACAAAGGTTATAACTCGTGATCTTTCTTTTTAGGATTAGAATCCAGACAACTCCTTTTTAATTGATGGAAGTGGACTCTTACAACATAAATAATTTATCTCATATGCTTACCTCATTTATTCTAATAATAATTCCTTTCCATTTTACTCCATATTTAACCAAAATCTCGTACATATACTCATAGATTGGCTAGGTCAAGACTTTTTAAGACCTAGAACCTGTTCACTCAGCCATTCACCCGAGCTTCTAGAAGGAAAATTCGTTCCTTTGATCTTAGCAGGGCCCAACTAAACAAAAATCATACGAGAGCATAAAATATTCGTATAAATTGTGTGTCTAGCATCAATGTTTGGCTAATGTATGTGAGTTAGCAAATCCTTATACCATTTTTGTGTAAAATGTGGTTTACCAAGGAACCTGGAGTCCACTTTCTGCATAATGTAAGTCCATAAACTAAGGATTAATGATATAGTCTTGTATTGGACGATTTGGAGCTTAAATTCTGCATAATTTAAACTCATAATCACAAAATCAAGAGCATAGAACGAATTGTACGAAATTAGAATTGCATACGACAAAAATGTGGTTTTGTTTGGCAAAAATATGAACTCATACAAAGGCCAAAATCAGGTGATCAATTTTTCATATAGCACCAACAATGAAGGCCATAGAAAATCATGTGAATATAAAACAATAAACATGTCATCAAAGCAATCACTCATATAAACATGTAGAAAGTTGCAAAGGAGGAAGTTAACAAAAGAAACTAATAGAAGAAGAATGTGTACGTTTGAAAGCATAGTTTTGACTTTTTACCTGACTCAAAGTTGTTGCAACCACAAAGTTCTTCTAAAAAGGAAGAGAGCGATCTAAAAGAGAGCTTCCAGTTGGGAAGTGCAAGAATGGATTATTCTCTATTTCAATTTGTTCCTTTTTTTGTAGATATTACATGATTCCTTTGGACAGAACCAATGAATCGGGTTGGTCTATTGTTTCTCTTCTTATGATCGACTTTTCCAACACCAACATGCTTTGTTTGATTTCTTGCTAAAGAAATTAAAAAACACAGGTGAAGCCTCTATATATTCCCGATAAGCATCAAAATTGAAGGCCAATTTGTTGAGTGGTCAGAATTGGCATTAGTTAAGCGGTATTGTAGAGTATTGTCGAGAAAGAGAAACAGAAGGAGATAAAATAATTTTATCAAAATTATTACTTAGTTATATATAATATATGTGTGTAGAAGAGACATAGGCGTTTATTGTATCCAGAGAATATGGTTATTCTTTAGTGAAGAATGTTATGAGTTTTGAGCAAAAAAGAGCATACAAGTGTACCTAATATGTACAAAAATGATTGAAGTTTCATTTCGATTAATAGTATAATAAATATTAGTGTCAAAAGTCTACTTAGGTTTTAAAAAATAACTTACTGACTTTGCAACACATTGAATGAGTTTATGTGAGCTTACATAGTATTTTAATATCAAAATGAAACAATTACAAGAATAAAAAAAATATTGAGAAAAATATTAAATGAGCTTATGTGAGAGCTTACATAGTATTTTAATATTTATAATCATACATGAATATAATAAATCACATGTAAGTAAAAGAAAAAGAAGAATCTTGGAAGAGAAAGTATTATGTAATTTCAATTTCTCTTTCAAATCCTTTTAGAACCATGAACTTCTTTGAATCTGTTAATTAGTAACCTTTATTTGATTTATCAACTAAGGTAATTCTATTTTAATAATTGTGTCAATTATTCATCTTTAATATATATCATGATTCTTGCTTTGACAATTAATAAGTTGTAGTAACGAATCACAGCTCATCTATGCCAAAGTTATTGTTAAAAACATAAATTATCATATTATTTTAGTGTCCAAATTTTAAAATAATTTTTTAATATACCGGATTCTATAAAGATATGAAATGAGATCTAATAGACCTAATTCAAAACAAGTGGCATTTGTCTTTAATAAAAGAAAAACACATGCACATTAAAGAAAAACATTGATAATAAAGATGCTGATTGGATATGCCTACATTACAATAGATTAACCAATATATTACTAGTCACTTTTATGTAATTGGTTCTTAGTCTTTGAAAAATGGTAAAAATTTTTATTAATACATATTATCTCTCAGGTTAAAAAAATAAGGGGATCTCTATTATCATATTATATATTATAGTGTCTAAATTTGGAAATAATTTTCTTATTGTATCCAACTCTATAAATACTTGAAATTGAGATCTATCTAATTCAAAATTAATAAGTGTACGTGCATGTAACAAAGGAGAAACAAACGTTAAAGAAAAATATTGACAGTAAGTATTCGACCATTGGAGATGCCACATGAAAATAGATGGAAAAAATCAGTCTCAAACTCCATTCGAGTTTCATTTTAATTGTTTCATCCAATCAAATTAATAAAATAAACAAATTTTTCTTTGAAATAATTAAATAAAATTCACAAAAAAAAAAACAATGAAAATTCGAATTCTTTTTCAATGGTTACGATTTCATATGTCGCTTCCATGAGCACAACCTCACAAGAATACAACCTACACTCTCAGGGGTCAAGAATAAAAAGTTCAGTTTGGGCAGCAGTTTAAGTTTCATACATTTTATATATGTCATAATAATTTAATAAGTATACTGAAAACTTATCTAACAACAGCGAATTGAGAATATAGGAATGGAAACAAAATAATTTATTATCAAAAATAAATTTCTTTGTTCTGATTTGACCGATAACATCCAAATATAGTTTGTGGGATTATTTGGGAGATTAATTTTTATCAAAGGTTTTAACATATTCACATGATCTTCGGATGAAATTTTAAAATAACTTTAATTAATGAATTTAATCATATAAAACAAATTTTGTTTCTGATTTTAAAATATATATTCGTCTCCAATTACTGTCTTTTAGTAAACATTAAGAGTATTATTAAAAGAGTTTATTTTAGTGTACTTTTTGTGTAAAATAATTACAGTGTAAATATAATTTTATATTAATTATTATAAAAATTAATAACTCTTTTTAAAATGACAATCCATGATTAAATGTTTTCGTGTATTAAAATTAAATTCTTATTTAAAAAATTAAAGAAAATAAAGTAACAAACAGTTATTTTATAAAAGTTCTTAATTTGTCTGTGAAAAATTAAATTATAATATATACTAACACAACTACATTAATAATTAATTCACATGCTCAAATATACATTAATAATTAATTTTAAAATTATATTTAAAATATTATATAATAATTTAATATAAAAAATAGAAAATTAGAAGACACATGTTATAAAAGTAAAAAAAATAAATAAAATAAGATATATCTTAATAGTAATAAAACTTTTACTTATATTTGTATGATCACAAATGGATAAATAAGTCGTAGAAACTCCATGCTTATCTTTTAAAGCGTTTTTTAAATCATATTATCAAATAAAATATTCATTTAATATTTTTAAAAATATTTTCTACCAGTATTTTGTTGAATAATTTTAAAGAATGAAAAATATAAATAAAATCAAGACACTTTATATTTTGTATTATCCCAAGAAAAATATTGGTTAATCAACTATAATATTATAAATAAGAGTAAATTATTGTGAAGTGAAATATTCAATAAAACTACTCTATTTCACAGTCAGTTACATGTATTATTTAAAATTAAAATTGACTTAAATTTTTTCTACAAAAATATACGTTACATACTTTTTTTAATTATATTTTAAATTTTGAAAATAAAAGTTTGTGACATAACTTTCTCTTCTTACTAAATATAAATTTTTAGATCATAAATACCTTATATGAATTTTCAAATTTACCATAAATACTTATACTTATGTTTACTTTATAAAATTTGCAATATTTACTTTATTATTTTGAGTACAATTGGTTAAAATTCTTAGTAATTATTCATGTTTGGTTTCGTAAAAAAAAATATTTTTCTTTGCTAAAAATTACAAAATATATTACTTTTATAAAAATTTTTCCTCAAAACTTACACTGTTCTTAAATACTCTTTTTTTATAATTTTTTTCAAACAAAAAAGTCATATGTATATTTTATTATACCTAATAACTATTATTTAAAAAAATTTAAATGTAAGGAAAATAATTTTTATAAACCCTAAAAAATTCTCTTAAATTTATGTTTTTAAGTTCTTCCCATAAAAACTTTTGTATTAATCCTCCTTTTTTCTTCTTTTCTCTCTCCTCACTTATTATTCAAACCTTTTATTTTTTTCCCTTTTTAAATTCAAAGCCTCAAAGTTATGCCTATTAATATATATTAATTATTGACATATTTAATTAAACTTTTTAGTATTATATAATAAAATTTTATTTTAAAATAATTTATATTTTACAATTATTGTAATTTCACTAAATTATTATTATTTTAATAACTATTCATAATTATTGAGTTAAGTTAAAATAGTTTTAAAAAATTATTTAAAATAATTTTATCACATATATTTAGAAAAGTATAAAGTTGTTTTCTTTAATCATTAAAATGTATATATATTTACTTAAAAAAAAACAGTCGTATATTGCACAGGCTATTAATTAATTCAACCTAACCTACATTAATTATGTTTTACTCCTTCTAATTATTTTTATAAGAACCTTTAAACTAAATCATACATATTAACAAAAGCTGTTAACAGTAGTTAATGCATAATTTTTTCAAAAAATTAATTACAGTATTTTAAGTTTACCCTCAATTAAAATTAAATTCTATTATTATATTAAAGTTATAAAAGATATATATATTAAAAATTATTATTATTAATTGTTTAAACTTAACCCTTAAGGCTGAAATAAAAAATTTAATTATATTAATTGTTAAGAAGTTAGAAAAAAATTAATAATTAAAGATAAATATATAAAACAGTTAATAATAAATATTCTAAAAACTTTATATAAGGTCTTATATATTAAAGACTATTAAAATTTATTGATTTTCATTAAACATTTTTCTTTGTATTCAGTCATATATCTTCATCATAAATTTTTTTCTTGACCTAGACTTAAATGTTTTAGGTTGAAAAGGGAATAAAAATTTAAAGCCTAAAAAAAGCTCCAAATGTTTAGAAGAAAAAAAAATTAAAGATTTAAGTGACAAAAATTAACAACCAAATTTAATTGCACTAATTTAAAATTTCAAAAAAATTTAAATTCTATTAAATGTATTTAATTTTCGACATATTAAAAAATAACAGCACCAGTATCCATTATTTGCAGTTAAAAAAAATACAAAATTAAATAAAAAATGGTTTTATTAATTTTTTAAAAGCCCAGCCCACGTGAATTCCTCTCTTCTTCTCCACTCTCCACTCTTGAGCCTCCATATAGCCGTCACCCCTCTCTCATTTCCTCGACAAAAACTAAAACCTCATTGTTTTGTTATTAAACCCTTCATTTCCTCTTTCTCCTGCGATTCTCAGGTTCACTCCATACCCTTTCGATTTTACTTTCTTTATACGTAACGTTGTTTTTTTATTATATGTAATGTGAGTCTCTTACACGATTTGATTGCATTGCATTGTTTGAATTCAGAAATGGCAGGAAAAACAAGCAAGGGCAGGGCTCGAAAAGGTTCTCGTGGTAGTAATCATAATAACGTTAACAATGGGAGAAGAGGTTCGCGTAATCAAAATGATCGTAATAATGATAATAATAATAATGGGAATGATTCTGAACACGTCCCAACAAAGGAGAGCACAGAAGTGATCGCAAATGTAATGCCATACACAGAGACCGGAGAAAAACAAGGTTGCATGATTTTCATTTTAAACGTATAGTCAAATATAGTCAAATATAATAATAATAATAATAATAATAATGTTAATATTTTTATGCGGCTTGATCGTGCAGAAGATCCTCCGTATTTGTCTTCATTCATCAAAACGATAACAGGGGACAAGCTTGACGTTCAGGTGAGAGTTTTGACGTGCGAGCTTCTGCATGTCGTTTTAATTCGCGGCGTTTCTCAGTTTCTGAGTCGTTTTGGTGAATTTGTTTTTCGTAGTTCGGTTCAGGGGACGCTGTGGTGGACATAAAACAGTTCCTTATGGATTCGAAGGACACGTGTTTTGTCACGTCATATGAATTGATCCTACACACGAAGGATGGACGCACCCATCTTCTTGAAGATCACAATGTGATTTCTGAGGTGGCTGAAATTACTTCGGGTGATTTTTCCTTTGAAATGGTTCCAGGTACGATAGTCCAGTTCAGTAAGACATGCAAGTTAAGATTCTAGTTCTCACTCTTTCATCTAAATTTTTACTAAAAAAGGTGAGTCACTGGGATTTGGGTTGCATTTCCCTACTCTAAGAGTTTTATCGGTTTTTTTTAATGGATACTCCACGATAAGACATCACTGAATGAAAAGTTACTTTTTTTATTTTTGAAAATTATAACATTTAATGTCTCTGATTTTCATAGAAACTTATAGGTTTTTATTGCGTATCTTTAGAAACTTTTGAAGAATAAATATTTTTTATTAACTGAAGACTTTCTGAGTTCCTATACCTTTTATTGGGATGCCTTAGTAGGCATGACTTCAAGCTAATTTCCATATCTTAAAATTTTAATCGGTTTTTCTAAACTTCAATTTTCAATGTTGAGTTTAAGGAACTAATAATACTACGATTTTGTTGGAAAATGAAGCATTTATTATATTTGATATAAATGTTTCCTTTGCCAATAAAATCTTACTATCATTAGTACTTAAACACGGTCGAATTTAATTAGCAATTTTAAACAAAAATTGTTTGGGCATTTAAAGTTGGCAGATTGTAATGTATAAAATTTGTGTTTGCAGCATTGTATGATGATAAGTCCATAAGGCTTCATGTTCGACGTACTAAAGAGTTGCTTACCCTTTCTAACATCCCTGCTTCATCATTATCCTTCTCACTTGCCCTGGAGAATGAGAAGGAACAAAGTAAAGTTGCGAATTTTGGAGGTACTCTTCCCTATCCTCTTCACTTCAATGCTGTCTTACACCTTGTGCTTTTTTATGGTTCAGCAGACCTTATTGGAGATTTTGGGGTTGATTGAGTTATGCTTAGCTGGTTACTATTTTGAATGTATAGTTATTAGTCTGCTTTGTCTGCATTTCCTGAAATATCAGATGCCATGAAAAATGAGGTTCCTGAGCTGGATGGACTTGGTTATTTGGAGGATGTCTCTGGTTTCTTGGGCAATTTACTACCATCCCCATTGAAGGATGTAAAGTGTGTAGAGAGCATAATGTTTTCGTCATTCAATCCTCCCCCAAGCTTTAGAAGGTAATTTGAGAAAAGTCTTATTCAGTTAATATCATTTGTGAAAGGAATTGGTAAGGTTTTCAGTGTTTTTCAGGCTTGTTGGAGATCTGATTTATTTGGATGTGATAACTCTGGAGGGTAATGAGTTTTGTATAACGGGAAGTACAAGGATGTTTTATGTTAATTCGTGCACAGCAAACACTTTTGACCCAAGCCCAAGCAAAGCTACTTTTGAAGCAACAACTCTTGTTGCTCTCTTGCAAAAGATTAGCCCGAAGTTCAAGAAAGGTAGTGAAGTATATTTAAGTACTCATTGTATAAGACTTGAGTTAGTCAAATTTGGGCATTGAGTACCAAAACTTATATCCTTTCTTCAATTATGAAGCTTTCCGTGAAATTTTGGAGCAAAAAGCTGCTGCACAGCCTTCCGAAAATGCGCAGTCTCCATTTTTGGCTAATTCGTGGCTTGGGTTATACCCAGTTCCTGGTGAGCCTTGTCTTTGGCAATTTATTTCGTTAGTATTATCATTTCAATGCTGTAATAGTAAATTGTACTCCTCAGGTTGGATAATCAGTTTGCTCTTCCTTTAGTTAGTGGTAGGTTATACATTTTCTCATTTTGTCATCTGTGAGATCAAATTCTGAAATGAAAATCTTGCTTTTGGCATTTCCAAAACTTGGTGTAGCTGGGTGGTTAGTTTACATGCATTCCTCTTCATATTGACTTTGTGTCGTATATGATACGTGAATGATGTGATGCTATTACCAAATATCGTTTGATGAATACATTTTAATAACTTGCATAGTATGGAGAAATGCTACTTGTACTTTTATAATGCTCATCGGTATTGGGTATTTTATTTTATGTTAATACTTATTCAAAGTATGTGTTGTGTGATAAAGGCCTTAATTGTTTTTACTAAGAGGTGACGTGAAAATCTCTAACCCCATTAACATTAATATCCCTTTCCAATTGAAAAAGCGAGCCACTTCAACTAGCAGAGCGCCCATTTTACGCTATCTTAATATCTCACAATTGATGTTATTCTTAAAATATAAGTGTTGACACCATTTCAGCTGTTAAAACAATAGTCAACTTCTGGAGCCTTTATGATAACCTGGTTGTTTTTAAGTTATTCTTTGGTCACCACACCGTGACCCAGTTTGGATTAGGTTCTAGCTTATGAGAGCTTTTCAATTATGAAACTCTATTGTTAAGGGGTGTTCTAAGGCAAGCATACCAAACTCCATTGTGTGAGAAGTCCGATTCATTTTACCTTATCCTTTCATTTTATTTTATTCTATAGTAAGTACTTATTAAGAAGTTTATCCAAACTAATTCTATAACTCCTAGTATGGATTTGAAATGTAATTCAGTGCTGATGAAAAGTGATTGAGATTTTTTTTCCTAAAAGCTAAATATCGAGAAATTTGTGTTAGTTTGGCGTAGTTGATCTTTATTAATCCATCTGTATCACTTTATATGACTTGAAGTCAGCTTTCAGTGGCATGAAATATTCATTTGATATGACCTTTTGAATGATCTCTCTTTTATCCTTGCCAAGAAAACAGCAGTATGGTTATTGGCAAAAAGATTTTGTGGTTTCATTTAAATGGCTGTGTTTGTAGTATTATGAGTGGATTGTAATTGAGAATGCAGTCCTGATCTATTTTGTATTTATGTTTCTGGTAAGAACCTTGGGAGAACCACACCACATAAGCTAGTTATTATAGTTGGAGAGCCCAAATCCTTATAAACCCCCCATTAGAATCCCATATTTCCAACTTGGGACTCAAGTCTCAAACCTTGCAATTGGATCCTAACAGTTTCCTTCAATGACAGACCACAGACGTGATTCAGCCAGGGCTGAGAATTCCTGGACACTCCTGTATGGAACTGAACCAATTGGCATGCAAAGAGAGTGGAACGAGGAGCTGCAATCATGTCGAGAATTACCCCGCACAACTCAACATGAGAGGTACCCTTTATTTGCTCATCCATAGCTTGACGATTTAGAAGTACGAATGTTCTTTAGTTTTTTCTATTGGTGTGGGTTGACTCATTTATTAGCTTTGCTTCTTGGCTGAGTTTTCCCTTACTGCAGGGTTGTGCGGGATAGGGCACTTCATAGAGTGACATCAGATTTCGTTGATGCAGCAATTAGTGGTGCTATTGGAGTAATTAACGGCTGCATTCCTCCAATAAACCCAACTGACAGAGAATGTTTTCACATGTTAGTAGGACCTTCCACTGTAAAGCTCAGGCAATATATTTCATATATAATTGACTTTCTCGAAATTATAAATAGTTTTTCCAGTATTATGATATTTTATGTATGTACCACTGTAAGCTGCATTTTGCTTTGTTTTTTGGGTGTTGGGGGTTGAAGGTACTCCTCCCCTGGCCTATAAAGATTCCTTGAAAAGGACATATTATTACATGCCTGTCTCAATGTGCTCAACAATTACAGAAAAAAGTACGGTTCATAATGTTACATTGTTCTCTCTTATGTTTATGAATCTGGTTCAAAATGTCAATGTTGTAGCTGATTGATTACTCTTGTATTATTACATTTGAGATTTCCCCTTCCTCTCCACAAAAAGCTCCCCTTTATTCATGATAAGTTATAGGCCCATAATTTTATTTCAAACTTTGTTTTGATGATAGGTACCTGCACAACAATATATTCTTTAGTGTTGCTATCGATACTGACCTTCAGAAGTTGTCAAAGAAATCTTCAGATGCTTATTCAAAAATGTGCAGCACAGGCGACCTGCACGTTTCTTCTGAAAAATCTGCTGACTTCCAGTTTCCAAATGGGGTGAAAAATGATTATTCCAGGTTAGAAGATTGTACTAATGGCTTGGAAGACACTGAAGATCTTCCTTCTGAAGCCCAAGACGTGGCCACATATGCTTCTGTAAATAATGATATGAATGGCACAAAGGCTTACCAGGAAGCTGATGTCCCCGGACTTTATAATCTTGCTGTGGCTATAATTGACTACAGGGGTCACAGAGTGTTAGCCCAGGTATTCTGTGAATTTGAAGTTTACCTATTTATAAATTCTTCCTTTCTCCAGAGAATGCAATTAATTGTAGGATTAGATTTGTTGTCTAAGAACCACATATTGCTGTTAGGGATTTTATTATACTTTCAGATATTGATTTGCATGAATTGAGTGATTTACACTTGTTCTCAATGTTTTGAAATGCAATGTAATGCATTAGAACTTGTCAAAAAGGCTACAAAATATTATTATAGTATGGGTGCGTTGAGATACCAAGCTTAACTAAGTGTGTATTTAATAAATTGTTTTATACAATGCTTATGAGATAAATTTAACCTTTTAACTTACTGAGATAAATTTATAACTGTTTACTTTGATAAGCTATATTAACAAGCATAAATAAGTTAAAAAGAGCTTACGAGAGTCATAAGCTACTTCCATAAGCTCTTCCAGACGGACCTTATATTTGTTCCTCATGACAGGGTACAACTAAATTTATTGCAGTAGTAATCTTTGTTCACAGTTAAATTTCTGCCGATTTCAACTTGTATATTTTGTTGCAGAGTATCTTACCAGGCATTCTTCAAGGGGACAATTCGGACTCTCTCATCTATGGCTCTCTTGACAATGGAAAGAAAATTCTCTGTGATGAAGAGTTCCATTCTAAGGTACAGAAGGATGCTAAAGTTTTAATTTATTATAGTGAGAGGATCAGATTTGAATTTTAAGCCTTATTCAAACTGCTTGGCGAGTGAAACTATTCTTGCCGGGGTGAAAATATAAGCAAAATTTCTTTCAAGGAAAATTATTAATAATTTTATCTCTAAATTGTAGATAAGCATTCTTTGAAGTGGTTGCCATTATCTGTATTCTCTATCCAATGGATTTCTTTTGAATCTTGTGTAATTTTTTATTATTTAGGTATTGGAGGCTGCCAAACATCTTCATTTGAAGGAACACTCAGTCCTTGATAGATCTGGAAATGTTTCCAAATTAGCTGTGGCAGTGGAATGCAAGGGCATTGTTGGCAGTGACAAACGGTAGTTTTATTCTTTTTGGGCTGGTTGGTTACTTTTATACAATCTGTTTGCTTAGTTATTGACTTCTTCTCAGCTGATTTTCTAAAGCTTCATATGATAAGGAAGTTAGGCACGATTTTCTACTATACTTAAGATTGTGATCTGGACATTAGTGATATATGTAATTTCTTTCTTGATTTCTTTTGCATGTCATTTATGGTTGAACTGTGTATTATTAAACATTAATGTTTATAAGTAACATAAGCCCTCCTTGGGTAAACTTGTGGATAAGTCCTTGTAAGAGAAGAAAAACAATATAAAAAATCAATAAAACTCCTTCCATAAGTTAAAATTAACTTCTCTATTTTTTAGAAGCTAATCTCATTTAACTTCTATAAAACTTGAAGAGATAAGTTATTTTTAACGTATGGAGAAGTTTTATATATACTTTTTTGTAATTTTTCTTCTCTTATAAGGACTTATCCATAAGGTTACCCAAACAGGGCCATAGCTCAAGTTTAGTTTGTTACACTTAAGATTGTGATCTGGGTATTTCTTATATTTGTAGTTCCATCATGGATTTCTTATGTATGTTATTTATGGTTGAAGAATGCGATTGAAGGCTGAATACTGATACTAAAAGATTTCATCAACCAATGTAATTAGTTACAATGTTCAAGTCACACTTAAGATTGTGAAATGGACTTCGCTAATATATATTGTTGCATTTTGGCCTTATTTTTATTATTTAAGGTTGAAGTGTTGGGACCAGAGTAACGGTATAATAACACACAACTAAAATAAGAGATGAGAAAAAATAAGAGCTGAAAGAGAGATAATAAAAGTAACAGAAAATTATCACAGAATAAAAATTATACTATTCTTCTCTATTAAAATTTATCCCTCAAAATAAAGAACCACCACTACTAAATATATATGATTAGTGTGATACGAGAGAGGGAGAGAAGAAATTTTGGGATGATTTTAATTTGATGGACCCTTACCCTTTGTATAAGTAAAGGAGGGGCCCCCACTTGAAGTTCCCACCGATGTGGGACTTCATTCCTAACAATTCTCCCACTTGAAGATTATGATTAAGTTAATCATATCTTCACACACATTCCTAATACATTACATGTTGCTTATATTTCTAATAGGCCATACAAGGACCGACACCATGTAAACTTGTCACTATTGACTGGCTTTGTCATTATATCTGCTATGTTTTCTTTAGTATGGATCTTCTGCATATCCACTCTTCCTTCTTCTACTACTTCACGGACAAAGTGGTATTGTATACCTATGTGCTTTGTTCTAGAATGAAAAGCTGAATTCTTTGCAATATGCAAAGCACTCTGACTATCACAATACACAATAGTATTCTGCTGCTTGTGTCCAAGTTCCTCCAATAGCCTTTGAATCCAGATTGCTTCCTTACATGCCTCGGTAGCTGTCATGTATTCAGCTTCTGTAGTAGACAGAGCCACAACAGTCTGTAATTTAGACAACCAGCTTACTGCTCCGCTAGTAAGTGTAAACACATAGCCAGTAGTAGATTTCCTTTTATTTAGATCTCCTGCAAAATCTGAATCAACATAGCCTTTGACAATAAATTCTGATCCTTCAAAACATAATGCAACATCAGAGGTTCCTTTAATGTATCTAAGGATCCTCTTTACAACATTCCAATGCTCTCTACCAGGATCTGCCATAAACCTAATGACTGCTCCCACTGCTTGTGCAATGTCTGGTCTAGTACAAATCATGGCATACATAAGGCTTCCCACCGCTGATGCATACGGCACTCGCGACATTTCCTTCCTCTCTGCTTCATCGTTGGGACTCATACTTGAGGATAATTTACAATTTACAGGAAGTGGGGTAGAAATTGGCTTACAATCTTGCATATTGAAGCGTCGCAAGACTTTCAGTAAATAATTCTTCTGAGAAAGCCAAATCTTCCTGTCTTTTCTGTCTCGGTGAATTTGCATCCCTAAAATCTTGTTTGCTGATCCCAAATCCTTCATATCAAACTCCCTAGCCAATTGTGCCTTTAATTCTTGGATCCGATCTTTGTTAGGGCCTACCACCAACATGTCATCCACATACAACAACAAAATGATAAAATCATTTTCATCAAACTTATTGTAGTACGTACAATGGTCTGACTTTAGTCTGTTGTAACCAAGGCTAATAATGAAGGAATCAAATCTCTTGTACCAACATCTCGACGCCTATTTTAAACCGTACAGAGATTTGGTTAATCTGCAAACCAAGTTTTTTTTATCTTGTTCTTTAAAGCCTTCTGGTTGGAGCATATAAATTTCTTCTTCAAGTTCTCCATGGAGAAAAGCAGTCTTTACATCAAGTTGCTCAAGATGTAAATCATGTGCAGCACACATTGCCAGAACAATTCTGATTGTGGTTAATCGGACAACTGGCGAGAATATCTCATTGAAATCAATGCCTTCTTTCTGAGCATATCCTTTAACCACCAATCTGGCACGATACCGCTCCACTTGATCATTGCCATCTCGTTTGATTTTGTAAACCCATTTACAACCAATAGCTTTTCGACCTTTTGGAAGCTCAACAAGTTCCCATGTATTGTTTCTATGTAAGGCCTCAATTTCTTCCTGCATTGCTGTCATCCATAAAGAAGCATCTGAACTTCTCAAAGCCTCATGAAAGGTTGATGGTTCTCCTTCTTCTGTTAGAAGGCAATATGCATCATGACTTGCCATAACATAGTCTGAGTGCCAAGATGGTCTTCTTATCTCACGTCTTATTTGTTGAGATTCTCCATTATTGGCATCATTTCGTTCTTGTTTTTCATGTTCTTGTTCTACTTCAGAGGTGTCATTATCATTATATTTCCTTTCTATCACTACTGAAGTAGTGTCTTTAACAGTACTGTCATTTTTCTCCTCCTTTTGCAGCTCATTTTCTGCAAATACTACATCTCTGCTAACAACTACTTTGCCGGCAGTGGGATCCCACAAGTGATACCCCTTAACATTGTCAGCATAACCCAAGAATATACATTTCCTGGATTTTGGATCCAGTTTTGTTCTTTCTTGGGAATTGTACATTACGTACACAGGACATCCAAACACATGTAATGAAGAATAATTAGATGACTTTCCATTCCATATCTCCATTGGTGTTTTCAAACCAATTGTTGTTGATGGTGATCGATTTATCACGTAACAGGCAGTTTTAACTGCTTCTGCCCAGAAAGATTTGGCCACTCCTGATGTTCTCAGCATAGCCCTTGTTCTATCTAGGAGAGTTCTGTTCATCCGCTCTGCTACACCATTCTGCTGAAGTGTATAAGGTACTGTGAATTGCCTTGAAATACCCTCTTGCTTACAAAATGCTAGAAAATCACCATCTACATATTCTCCTCCATTGTCTGTCCTTAAGCACTTAATTCTTTTCCCAATTTCAAGTTCTACTTGTGCTTTGAACTTCTTGAATACTGGAAACACATCTGACTTCTTCTTGATTGGGTACACCCACAATCTCCTAGAGTAATCATCAATAAATGATACAAAATATTTTGCTCCTCCAATGGATACTTCTGGTGATTCCCATACATCAGAATGAATCAAGTCCAGTATGTGTTTGCTTCTTGTAGTCACTTTGGCAAACTTCAATCTATGCTGCTTACTTGTCACACAGTGTTCACAAAATGGTAAGGTTACCGTTTTGAGCCCTGGTAAGAGATTACGTTCCACAAGAATTTTCAGACCTCGTTCTGACATATGACCGAGTCTACGATGTCACATCAGTGTTTCATCTTCTTGACTTGTTGCAACTGATGCATCTACTTCTTGCAACGTATCTCCCAAAAGCATGTATAAATTGGTTGTGATATTTTCTGCTTTCATCACTACCAAATTGCCTTTAACTACCTTCATGATCCCACCTTCAATGTGGATCTTGCACTTGAGGTCATCCAATTGCCCAATGGACAATAGATTCTTTTTCAAACCCTTCACATGTCGTACCCCTTGAATTGTTCGAATGGTACCATCATACATTTTCAATTTGACAGTACCAATTTCAGCAATTTCTAGGGCATGATCATTTCCCATGAATACAGATCCTCCTGAGATAGGTTCATAAGTAGAAAACCAATCTCGGCATGGAGTCATGTGCCAAGTTACACCTGAATCCAATATCCAACATTCATGGAGTTGTCTTCCGCCTCTAGAATTTACTACTTCATTGTATAGAATTTCACCATCATCTGAGGTACTAGCAACACAACCTTGTGAGGTTAATGCTTCCATATTCTTCCTTCCTTCACTCTTCCTGCTCCAACAATCTTTCTTTACGTGCCCTCTTTTGCCACAGTTGTAGCATTTGAGGTTCTTCCTTCTCTGAGATTTTGATCTACCATGATTTTGGCTCCCACTGGAACCACGCTCCATTGATCTCCCTCTCATCATCGTCAAAGCTTCTGCTTGTTTACAATTTTCCAGTCTGTCTTCCTTATTCTTTTGCCTGGATTCTTCTTCAAAAACTGCTCCGACAACATCATCAAAGGATAGATGACCAATGATGTTGTTGTTTGTAATATTGATGATGAGTTGATCATATGAATCTGGCAAGCTCTGGAGTAGAAGTTCTGCACGTTCATTTTCTACAATGTTGAAATCTGAAGCTGTAAGTTGAGCAAACAGCGTATTCAGATTGTTGATGTGGTCCGTCACGGGTGTGGACTCACTCATTCGAAGAGTGTAGAGTTTTCTTTTTAAGAATATTTTGGTGTGAAGTGACTTGATCTCATACAATTTGATCAGTGTGTCCCAAATCTCCTTTGCAGTCTTCTTCTCTGCAACACTAGATAACACCGAATTTGCCAATGCCAAGTGCAAATTGGCAACAGCATTGTTATCCATTTCTCTCCATTTTTCTTCTGAAATATCTGCAGGTCTGCCTTCAATTGCATCAAGACAATTGTCTTTTCTCAAAATTGCTCTTATCTTCAATTTCCACAGGGAGAAATTACTCCCATTAAATTTCTCTATCTCATATTTTGCTGCCATATTTTCTCTCTTTATTATACCGACTTATGCACTTCTCACTATGAATAGTATTGTCTACTGGAATAACACAGGTAGACCATGAACTAACACACCAAAAAATTCCAGGAAAGAGAGGTGGGTCACTATAGACACTCTTAAATACCAAATCTTTCCTAGCCAGAGCTTTCTCATATAGCAGTTTCACACTACCAAACTTTTCCAGTAACTACTCTTTTTTTATGTGAAAGATCGGATTAAACCGCAATCACAGAGCATACTCAGAATTTTACCAACACTATTCTAATGACAATAGTAGCGGAATAAACTAAACCAATAGCTCTGATACCATTGTTGGGACCAGAGTAACGGTATAATAACACAACTAAAATAAGAGATGAGAAAAAATAAGAGCTGAAAGAGAGATAATAAAAGCAACAGAAAATTATCAGAGAATAAAAATTATACTATTCTTCTCTATTTAAATTTATCCCTCAAAATAAAGAACCACCACTACTAAATATATATGATTAGTGTGATACAAGAGAGGGAGAGAAGAAATTTTGGGATGATTTTAATTTGATGGACCCTTACCCTTTATATAAGTAAAGGAGGGGCCCCCACTTGAAGTTCCCACCTTTGTGGGACTTCATTCCTAACATGAAGGACATTATTGAATATAGAGATAGGAAGCTTGTCAAGCATATGCTGTTAGTTACAAGATTCAATTTCAGTTCAATAAAGGCTTGAATTTGTTTTGATTGTCCACAGTTATATGAACTCATGTTCTTTTCATTTGAAATAAAATCAGGCATTATCTTCTGGATTTAGTGAGGGTAACTCCTCGGGATGCAAACTATACTGGCCCAGATTCTAGATATTCTATCTTAAGAGCAGAATTAATTGCTGCCTTTTGCCAGGTAACTACATTATTCTTACACAAACAAGATTTTGGGATTTCCTTTGTATATTCACTTTCAAATAGCCTTTCCTTTGATGGAATAGGCCCAAGCAGCAGATAAATCAAAATCCAAGGAGGCAGATAACATGGCCAATGATTCAGAAAATGTTGCTAATGCTGACAAGCCGGTAGGCAACATTGTATTTATATAATATTGTCCTTAAGTTGTGTTTCTATGAAACATTCTTTTCTTCACCCATTCCTGCTGTCAAGGATAATCTGGACTTCACATTAAAAGTTTGTATTGTGTGCAATACTGCAATTTGTTTATTGGAGGTCTCTATGTGTTAACTTATGACTTGGATTTATATCATTACCAGCTATGTCATGTAAATAAACTACTTGGTTCAACTTCATGTAGTACTTGTCTCACTTCTTTGTCATGCTTAACTACCCAACGTTGGTTATATTGTGCTGATTCTGTATTTTAATTATCATTTCAAATAACTTAGCTGGTTATCAGTTCAGCACAAGTTGGAATAAGGCATACTTTTTTTGGAGATTGAGTTCCAATACTATACCTATAAACTGTGGTGATGCACTTTGATACCTTTTTGCAGGATTTGACAAAGGAGAAGAAGACTGAGGATGCAAAAGAACTTTCTTCTGCATCTGCCGAAAGCTCAGACCGTTATGGTGAAATAGTTTTTAACCCTAATGTTTTCACTGCATTCAAGCTGGCTGAAAGCCCAGAGGTTCCTTCTGAATCTATATTGCTTTTATCTATGCCAAACAAGTCTTTCCTCTTTCTTTTTGTGTATGTCTGACTTCATCTACATAGTTATGTATCCACTCATTTATCCTTTCCTCTGCTCCTGGTGTTTGTGTGTGCTCTTTCTGTCTGAATCTTCATTGCTCACTCTTTAGCACTCACGATATTCTTATATTGATATATTTATCATGTTTACCAGGAAATAGCTGCTGATGAAAACAATGTGCAAAAAGTTAGTCTATATCTTACTGATGTTGTGATTCCAAAGTTTATACAAGATTTGTACATGCTTAAAGTTTCACCCATGGATGGTCAAACCTTAACAGAAGCACTCCATGCTCATGGAATAAATGTTCGCTATATTGGCAAAGTAGGCACTGTCTTTTCATTTATACTTCTGTAATGAATTAATTCCAATTATTTGGTTTTTGGTGCTTGTCATCTGGTATTTCTTATATGCCCTTTTTTCTGTTATTCTGTTTAAAGGTGGCTGGTGGGATTAGACATATACCTCATCTGTGGGATCTTTGTACTAATGAGATTGTCGTCAGATCTTCCAAGCACATTATCAATGTAATAGAATCTTTCTCGCCCACTTAGCCACTGCATCATTTCGTTTACCTCTACTTTTTCTGTTCTCTGATTTAATTTTTAAAACTGGAAGTGTTTGTATCCTGTAATTTTTGCTTGAAGAAACAGTGTAAATGGGAGTATTTTCTAATATATCCAAATAACTTTTTATCTGTGTAGTTTTACATCAGTACATGTGAATGCTTGAGAGTTTAGTTTGCTTATTTTTTGTTAAAGCCCCATCCTATTAGCACCAAATGCGTTTAACTTAGGATCAAGAAATATTATCAATTACTTCTTAGTTATCTCAAAGGTGGCCAGTTCTAACTCGTCTCTATCGTAGTGAGCTTGCACATAGCCCTTATTCATTTTTTATTACACCTTGGACACCTCAAACTTTTATTATGCTTGTCTAGATAAATAACCGTCTCATGCTCAACATCATATGTTCCTACTGTTTGGTATATGTAGATGCTATCATTACTGAATTGATATAAGATATTGCATGAGCATCAAGAACTAAATATACTCTCTCTTGTGTTGACTATAGGCCTGTACAAAGGATAAACCAATGTTTGAAAATTACCTGCCCACTTAATCCACTTGCACCTGTATTATGCTTCTGACATTCTATGATTTTGTTTGGCAATGAACTACAATTCAGGATGTATTGAGAGACACTGAGGATCATGATCTTGCACCAGCTATATCTCGTTTATTTAACTGCATATTTGGAAACTGTCAAGCTCTCAGTGGAAAAGTCGCTAATGGCACACAGTCCAGAAGTCCAAAAAAGGTTTGCTTAATACGGTTGGATCATTTTGAGATATCTGCCAGTAGATCCAGCTAACATGATAGATTTTTTTATTCTATAGTTCTTTGAATTTCGTGAACTTTTCCTTATGCAGTAAAACTAATTTTCACTAGCATTTTTGTTTTCCTGTCAAATTCTATATTAGAAAAGGGTTGGGCTTAACTCAAACCCCACAAGCTAGATCAAGTAGGGGGTAGACTTCTAAAGCCCTATAAGGAGTACTTTGACCACATTCCTATGTCCATGTGGGACATGTTAACATTCTATAAGCTATAAGCTATATGCTATATAAATTTCCAGCTGCTTAGTTTGTAATGTAAGGTGCCTACAAGGTCCGTAGAATCATTATTTTCCTTTTAATTTACAGGAACATTCCAAATGGCAACCACGAAGGGGAGACAAGAAATCCTTAATAAACAGTCAACCTTCGTACATGAGCCTTGACTCTGAATCTCTTTGGTCTGACATTCAAGAATTTGCAATGATCAAATACAAGGTATCGGTTACTGTCTAACTCCTAATCTGGTTTAAAGTACACATGAACACATGTACATTTTGTTTTTACTGTTTTCAGTTGAATGGGATGTGTGGATATGGCAGTAGTCCTTATAGAATTTGCTTAGTACATCCAATTTATATGCTGTTGCATTCACTGCTTGGAATCTAAACAAGTATGCATTTTAGTACTAAGAAATTGGACCTCTGTGCGCATACTAAGTATGTTTCATTAGTTCTTTGTCTGTGTTCCAGTTGTTTTATATATGAACTAAAACTCAAAATTAATGCAGTTTGAGCTGCCCGAGGATGCAAGATCACGTGTGAAGAAAATTTCTGTTATTCGTAATCTCTGCCTGAAGGTAAGTACAATTATCATTTGCTGTTCAGTTAGTTGATAACTTGATATTAGAACTTGTTGGCGTTGTGGTTATGCGATTGAGTTTTATTGAAATTTTCTAGGTCTGAATTTTCTGTTGTTTTCAATTCTTTTGAATTGACAGCATGAATGTTTTAAATATATATTCATACATACACAGAGAGGAGAGAGAGAGTCTAGATTTATGGTCACTCGGTACTCTTTGCATTATGTAAAAATACAATAAACATTTTTCAGGTTGGTATCACCATTTCAGCTCGTAAATATGATCTTAATTCTGCAACACCCTTCCAAACATCCGATATCTTGGATCTGTGGCCAGTTGTCAAGCATTCAATTCCAGTGAGTTCAGAAGTCAAGGAACTTGTGGAAGCAGGAAAGCTACAACTTGCTGAGGTTATTACCACATTTTATCTTTTTAAAATGTAAAATGAAAAAATTATGTACGGGTTGTGAATTACTTGGTTATTTGTATCTGTAATGGTACGGAATTGCAAATGTGACCACAACATCAAGGTTTTTTAAGGCTTTTATAGTTTGATTTGAAAGGTAAGGGAGGAGAGGAGAAGGGAAGAAGGATGGTTAATGCAAAATACCTCAAATTAGGATAACTTAAAAACGTGATTTTGAGGGCTTTGGAGGGTTTATAAACCTTCTCCCTCTCTTCGAAAAACTCCCAAACAAGGATATCAATCATGTAATTGCAACTGTTGTTCACAACTCTCTGTAACATCCTTTGAATATTAAGTCATTTGGCTTTGTTTTCTTCTTTTGTGTGTTGTGTAATGATTCGCAAAACGACAAAGTGGTACACACATACTAGTACGATTGGGTTATTCTCATGAGGTTGAACCTAGGTAAATTAGTTATATTTACTAACATGGAATTCTCTTTAATGCATTCATTAACTGAATGTTTGTGGCATGTTTTATTGTAATCTGACAAAAAATGTTAATTTGGATAATTATTGTTCTGACACAGGATATGCTCGGTGAAGCCTACACTTTATTTTCAGAGGCACTCTCAATTTTACAACAGGCATGCAATTCCATATTGTTGTATCTCTCTTAGAGGAGTTCCTTGTGCATATATAAAATATTGTTGTATGATGGCTGCAGGTTACCGGTCCAGTGCATCGGGAGGTTGCTAATTGCTGTCGGTATGTCATGGTTGTTTCTGTCATATCGTATTAGTTTTTTTTTTTTCATTTATTCATAGTTAAATCTGCATGGCATGCAGCTTTATACTTGGGTATAAGACGTGAAATAAGTCTGACATATGATTGGCAATCGCCTTGCCTTTAAAATTAAAGCCAATATTTGAGTCATTTGTTATGAACTCCAGCAAATGTATTTTTTAGAGACTCAATTGGATCCCAGAAAATTTTCGAGGTAGACATTATCTTGAAAACGTAAAAATTTCATTTTAATCTCTAAAATTAACAAATTCGTTTTCAGGGACATATGCCTTGTATTTGTTATTTTTGGGGACTAAAATGTCCTCTCCGAAATTAAATAGAGACAGATGTAGGTATTTATTCTATTTTAATATTGTATGTATGCTTCATTTCAATTTTTAAATTTCAGGTATCTTGCCATGGTTTTGTATCATGCTGGAGACATGGCTGGGGCTATTACTCAACAACAAAAGGAGTTAATTATCAATGAGCGTAGTCTTGGTCTAGATCATCCTGACACTGCTCACAGGCATTCCCTATTCTATTGATGGTTCATTTGTTTAATACTCTGGGATTCAGTAATCTTCTGCATTCTTATATTCCCATATCATTAAGTTTATTCCAAGCCATGTATTGGAATGTTAAAATGGGCAAAGAAACATTATATAACTGTATGCTCAAGAATATTCCATGTTCTTGTTTATTGTTGATGCAGTTATTGCAATATGGCTCTATTCTATCATGGACTTAACCAAACAGAACTTTCCCTACACTTCATGTCACGTGCTTTGCTCCTACTAAATTTGTCATCTGGCCCTGATCATCCTGACATCCCGGCAACTTTCATCAATGTTGCAATGATGTATCAGGAACTAGGAAAGATGAACATAGCTCTTCGTTACCTGCAAGAGGCTTTAAAGAAGAATGAAAGGCTTCTTGGTGAGGAGCACATCCAAACTGCCCTAAGTTATCATGCTCTTGCTATCGCATTTAACTGCATGGGTGCTTTCAAACTCTCTTACCAGGTATGTTCAGTGGTAAAGGTTGATTTCTGCTTTCTCACATTACCATTTTGTGGTTTAGACTTTCTGCTGTTTGGTTTGGCAGCATGAGAAGAGAACATTTGATATACTTGCCAAACAACTTGGTGAAGATGATTCCAAGACACGAGATGCACAAAATTGGATGCATAAATTTAAGATGCGTGAACTACAGGTATCTTCTCTTCACTGTTTCCCTTGGTTGATGCAATTATACATTCCCATATGGCATCACTTAACTGGGAGTACTCACCATCCTCAAGTATAGGCTCTTAGGGCTTTCCTTTATTTTGTTTTGTTTTGTTTTTTGGATTATTTAATGGTTGTGACTTTCTATGAAAGTGAGCTTGAGTGTTTGGTCCAGCATTTCAAATTTCAATTCTCACGAATTTGGCATAATTTTCTGAGAATTATTATGTTAAATAGAAATAAAAGCTGTGCATAACAGCTTAACATAAATCCAGTGCTTAAAAAAGTTTAGATTTTCTCTTTTAAGAAATTAAACCAAAAACTTATCTTGTGACACATTTGAAAACCTTCATGAATTCTGAGCGTGTGAAATTTTAGCAACAGCGAGGACTTGGATATATTTAGACTAAGGTTTGACACATTTAGTAACTTATCTTTATAATCTTCATTAATCATAGTGAAATTTCTGTCTGTTACACAAGAACATGGGTCATGGATTCATTGTAGGTTGAACTATGTTAAAATTAATTATGTTTCATTGTAGTATTTTCTGTTGGCACACCTGGTTATTCCTGAAAACTTTTACAGTAGTCATGTACGATTCACATTTCACATCTTATTGTGACAGAAGAATGCTCAAAAGCAAAAGGATCAAGCTCTGAATGATGCTTCTACTCAAAAGGCCATTGATATGTTGAAGGTTATTCCTGAATCCTGTTCCTTTGACGCATGTACAATTTTTTCATGGAATTAGTAGTTAATACTGAGATTATACTTTATGCCTGTGTACGGTAAGAATATTGACAATAACTGGCAAAAAGGCATGGACATATTCAATTGGTTGAATTGAATTCATCTGTTTCTTTATGCTTGATTGGTCATATATAATTTGACATATTGATTTCATGTGAAAGCTTTTCAATTTGTCCATCGAGATTCCACGTTGGTGGTAATCTTCAGTCTTATACCATCTTGTCATTTTATCACCATTTGAAGAGAGAAAAAGACTGTATAAGCTTTTTAATTCAGACAGAGTTGATTGCATGTTGTTATTTTTCAATCTTTTTCTCTTGAAGTGTGCCTCGTTCCATGTTTTTTGCATTTATCTTGTATTTTCTTGTGGAAATTGAGAATTTTATATAATGGCAGGCACGCCCTGAGTTGATACATGCATTCCAGGCTGCTACAGTTGCTGGCGGTTCCGGAAGTTCAAGTTCATCTGCAAACAATTCCCTCAATGCTGCATTAATTGGTGAGACTCTCCCCAGAGGAAGGGGAATTGACGAAAGGGCAGCACGTGCCGCTGCTGTAGTCAGGAGGAAGGCTGCAGCACGGGGTCTTTTACGTCCTCATGGTGGACAACTTCAAGCAATGCCTCCGCTTACACAACTTCTCAATATTATAAATTCAGGAATAACTCCAGATGCTGTGGAAAATGGGGATGCAGATGTAGCAGTAAAGAAGAAAGACATTTCAAGTGATGCAACTGATGCTAAAAATGAAACATCAAAGCCTGTTCAAGAACAAGTTCCAGTGGGCAAAGGGTTGGCTTCAACTGATGCCAAAAGTGACCAATCAAAGCCAGATCAAGAACAAGTTCCAGTTGGATTGGCCAAAGGGTTGGCTTCAGTTGATGCAACTGATGCCAAAAGTGACCAATCAAAGCCAGATCAAGAACAAGCCCCGGTTGGATTGGGAAAAGGGTTGGCATCATTGGATGCCAAGAAACGAAAATCAAAATCAGGGGCTTAAACAAGCACCGGTTGGTTTATTGAAGACATGATTTTTTCATATATTTAGATTGGGAGTGATGGGGAGCGATTTCAAATAAACTTGGCCTTTTTTTTCCTCCCTTTGCATGTAGGCCTACATGTTAAACATCCTGAGAGTGAATGCAGGTGATTGTGATGCAAACATAAATATTTTGAGGAATTTTAGGATAATATAACTTATGTTTATGTTTTAATATTATCTGTTAACGTATTTAATTGCTTTTTTTTTGTATGAATCTGCGTTGAATTGCATTCTAGTGACACAAGAAAGTAATAAGAGTGAATAGAAAACAGGTCGGGTATATTTTGGCCAGTTGGCTTTGCATTTAACTTCTCCTCACGCTATGGAACAAAATAATGACTTAGCAATTAAATTAAGTCAGCCTCATTGGCTATAATTCTCTTTCTCTCCTCTCAACAAAGAAAATAGTTTGAAAACTATTAAAATAGTGTTATAAACATAGCACAGCCACAAAAATGAGGGTTTATTTTTGTTTTTTAATATTTTTTTACAATTAATTACTAAAATAATTTAAAAATCATTTTTTATATTTTTTATTAAGTTGTATCTAAAAAAATATTTTTATATTTTAATTAAATTTTATCTACACAAAAAATTTTAAAATATTAAAATATAACTATCAGTGAAATAATAAATTATAATCTATTAAATATAAATTAAATAAAATAAGAAAATCATGCTCATATATATATATATATATATATATATATATATATATTAATGTTCTATTACTAGTGATCACCTTTACAAGAGATCCCATGTATCAATCGTGTAACATTTATCTTTAGGATTTAACTATAGTGTAAAGTAAAAAAAAGAAAAGTATATTTAAAATTTTGATAGAAAATCAAAACACTTGAATTTATTATATACTGTACTGGGTATAATTTGTATGTTAAAGTGAAAAATAAATGAAAAAAATAAACATGTAATGAGTTTTGAATTATTTATTTTTTTATTTAAAAGTGAATTAAATATAATAATATTTAAATTTAAATTCATAATAAGAGAGGATGAGATTATACTAATATAAATTAATTTAATATAAAATATATTTTATCAATTCAACTGTTATCATTACTTGTCATATGATTGTATTTACAATCATAATTTTCATGCATCAAACTTTATTATTATTTTTTAAATACTATTAATCTATCTTTGATTGTTTAGACGTGTCTCATAAAATTTTGAGGAAATATAATCTATATAAGAGTAAAATAAATAAATGTCATATAATATTTAAAGAGTAAACATAATAATAACAAAATCTTACGTAATTCTAAAAGTTATTAATTCAACTTTTGATTTTTAAATGTACAGTCATTAAAATTATTTACGATGTTGATAATACAAATGATAAATTGTGGAGACTATCATTCCAATTGAAGATCTGTAATGTCAAATTATAACATGTATAAAAAATAAGAGATAGGCCCAAACAATAATGTCTCTCCTTCAAAAGTATCAAATACAAATGAAAGAATATAATTATTACCATTTTAAACTGTGACAATTTGAAGTTTTCCACGATATTTTTAATATAAAAAAATTCACCAATCTGAATAATAGGTTAGTAGAAATTAAAATCACCCTCACATTATTTAAATGTTCAAAATATTAAAAAACATTGAAATCAATTCTCAACTTAATTCTAAACATCATAATTATTAGTCTCAAGTTTATACATGTAACCATATGCAAATTATTGCACATGCCGCAATTATCTTAGTAAAATTGTATAAGACTCCACTCAATCAGCAAACACACAAACAATAATCAATAAATTTTTTTTTTCATATCTTTTTTATAACACTTTATAATTAAATAGACTAATAATTTTTTCTTATATTAACTCACCATCTCTTAAGAAATATAAAATCTTAATCCACTAAAAATTAATAATTTATTAACAAATAATTAATATATATAATATTATGAATAATAAAATGACAAAGTTTCAATTTAAACAAACCTAAAATGCTTAAGATAAAATTTGAATCCAAATATTATGAAATCACAACATTAATCGATCCAGATCCTCAACAATTTTGATGGGAACTGCGTCCTGTAGTGCATTTTTGTTTAATCGAATTTTATCAAAATAATTTTTACTTAAAGAGAATTTAGTAAAAAAAGTAATTTTAATTTAAACCAAAAAATTTGCTTGAGTTAAAATTACAAAAAATTTTAAAACTTCATCTTCTTCTCTAAACTACAAAAAATTCAAAAAACTTTTATTTTTTATCAATGACTATCTAGTTATCAAATACATTTACATATTTTATCTTACCAAATATTTTAAATATATTATCTAGTGTATTACTTGTGTTAAATATTAATTAAGTAAAATTATTTAAAATTAAGTTAAATTGTTGAGAATAGTAATAAAAGTTATAAAAATAATAATTTTAAAAAATTAATTAAAAAATAGTTGAATTATTACATGTTTTAAAATAATTATATTTTTATATTATGACAATAAAATGAGATTATACGATCTTATATAAATATTTTTTAAATTTTTTATAAATTAAAAAAAATAAAGTTTTAACTTAAATAAAAATTACTTTCTTATTAAATTTATTTAAATAAATTTTTTTAACTTAAACTAAAACTACTTTTTATTAAATTTGCTTAAACAAAATAAAATTCCATCAAGCGAAATGCAATTCGGTAAAAGTATCCTTTTAGATGATTTTGACATTTGACGTCTGGTACTGGGACTTTTGATTAAAGTACAATAATGGATTTTTCTTACAGAAGGAGTTGGATAGCTGAATAAAGGTTTGAGAAAATTACAGAACCCAAACTCAGCAAAGCCATGACGGAGACACTCATCTTCATCTTCCTTTCACTCTTAACATATATATTCTTATCCTTTTTAAACCCCAAAACGAAGACCACTGAACACCACCATCCCCCAAGTCCACCGTCCATTCCGCTAATACACCATCTCTCTATAACTCCTTCCAAAACCTCTCATCCAAACACGGCCCTATCCTCCTCCTCCGCCTCGGCCCCTCCCGCCGCCTTCTCCTCCTCTCCTCAGCCGCCCAACTCTTCAAAACGCACGACCTCGCCTTCTCTTCGCGTCCCGTTTTCGCCTTCGCCGAGAAGCTTCCTTATGGCACCTTTGGATTCATCACTGCTTCTTACGGTCCCTACTGGCGCTTCATGAAGAAGCTCTGCGCCACGGAGCTTCTCGTGAGGAAGGAAGAGGTTGAACGTTGCCTCCAAAGGTTGTTGCAAAATGAACGTGGTGGCGTTTCCCTTGACTTGGGCTCTGAGCTCATGAAACTCACCAACAACGTCACTTGCAGGATGGCCATGAGCACCAGGTGTGATTGTGTGATGTGTGCGTGCCTTTTCTTTATTTCAATAAAGATTAATGATATCTTAACATGGTAATTAAGATAACTTTTTTTTAATTTGTAAATTTGTATAAGATGTTAAAATAATATTATTTTTGTTAAATTAACCATAATAATTATCATAAAAATATTATGTATGTTAATTTTTTTATAATTATAAAAAATATTTTAACATAATGTATTTATTTATATAAAAATTTATCATCTTTATTTATTTTTGAAAATTTCAAATTTGAAATATTTTTTGCGGGTATTTAATTGGTATAGAACCATTGTCTCAAATTTTTATTTTTATTTTCACTATTTTGTGACGTTTTGCGATAAGTTGTTCGGAGAAATGCGAGGATGGTGAGAAGAAAAGGAAATTGGTGAAGGAATCGTTTGAACTTGCTGCGAAGCTGTGCTTTGGAGATGTGTTGGGTCCTCTGAAGGAGTTGAGCTTTTGGGTTTATGGTAAAAAGGCTTTGGAGGTGAGCAGAAGGTATGATGAGTTATTGGAGGAGGTTCTCAAGGAGCATGAACACAAAAGATTATCAGTTGCAAATGGGAATGGGCATTGCAGTGATGAGAGAGAAAAGGATTTGATGGACATTTTGTTGGATGTTTATCATGATGCTCATGCAGAGTTCAAGATCACAAGGACCCATATTAAAGCCTTCTTTATGGTAATTTTCACCAGCGGATTTGATTTTTCTAAAATTTTGGTTCATTTTAAAGTGAAAAGTAAGTATATTTGTCCAGGAAAATTTTCGGAAATTTAATTTTATTAGTGTATACATGCAATTTATCATGGTTTTGAACGGTTAACTTTGATTCAGTGGCAGTAACCTTCATTTTCTCCTCGATAATAAACTCACTTTTAAGAATTGGTTCAGTTCAAACAATTCAACTCAATAATTCATTCACTATATATAATGTTGAAACGTGGGACTTCAAATCTGGTGCAATATGACTTTCGTAGTGTAAAAAGAAGTGCGGGTTTCTTACACCCAAAAGTAAAATTGAAGGGTGATTTTTTACTTTTTACTTTTTACTTTTTTGGTAAATTCATAAAAGAAATTGTGTTACAAACTTATTACTAAATGTTTAACCTCGCCTGAATTGTATTTATTTATTATTTACTATTCTTAATTTAATGGTTAACTGATTTACAGTAGTTGTCCGCAGAGCTCTTACTAAAACCTATCACGGTTGAAACTTGACATCAACATTAGTATTGCAATCACTAATGGTGTTTTAAAAGAAGTGATAGAGAACGTGTTTTTAATTTTGTTACTGATTAAGATGTTATGGCCTTGATCTTGTGGCTAGGACCTCTTCATTGCAGGCACAGACACCTCAGCAGAAGCAATGCAATGGACAATGGGAGAACTCCTCAACCTTCCTGAAGCATTCCGAAAAGAGATAGTGTTAGTGACTGGGAATGTTAGGGTAGTTGAAGAATCAGATGTGCCAAACATGCCATATTTGCAAGCAGTTGTGAAGGAAACACTGAGACTATACCCACCAGGACCTGTGACAACAAGAGAGTGCCGCCAACACTGCCAAATAAATGGCTTTGATGTGCCACCAAAAACAGCAGTGGCAATCAATTTATATGCCATAATGAGGGATCCAGATTCTTGGGAGGACCCAAATGAATTTCGCCCTGAAAGATTCTTGAAAAAACAATTTGAGGATTTAAGGGATAATTATGATGATTCTAAGACGATGGACTTCAATTTTGTTCCATTTGGAGCAGGAAGGAGAGGGTGTCCAGGGACAATAATGGCATTCAACTTGATGAACACTACAATTGCTGCTTTGGTGCAGTGCTTTGATTGGAAAATTGGTGAAGATGGAAAAGGAGAAAAGGTTGATACGTAATCTGGATCTGGCATGTCTTTGAGTATGGTTCACCCACTTGTTTGTCTTCCCATGCGACATTTTAACCCATTTCACGTATAATTAAATGTTGACAGAGTTGTCCTAAGATTCATCTAATTTTGTTGTTGATGACATGTATAATTCACGTTAAATTATTGTTTGGGAGAAATAAAATTTCCCAAGTTACAATGACTATTTTGTTCAAAAAATATGAGGAAAAAGTTTAAATTATAATTGTAAAAACATACTGGATACTTTTGAAAAATCAGGTGTATTCATGTTTGATAATGTATGCCCATTTGATTTGTAGAAAAAAAATGTTAAAAATCTATATCATTGGTGTATTTTAAGAGAATTATAACTAATTTGTAAAATAAGTTAATGAATTTAACAAATCCCATTATAATTTAAATTAATTTTAAATTTTAATATATAAAATGTTATTATATTTTTTAAATAATTTATTTTATGATGTTCTCCACAATTTTAAAAGTCTTGTTTCAATACACAAGAAACTTGTTAGTTGAATATAATTAAAACCTACCTGAAATTCTATATTACACTGCTATTAGTATAATTTAGTGAAAACAAAAACGCTGCTCACTGTATTTATTCGGCTCTTTTCAAAAATTGCCAATGAATTTTTTTGTACTTTTAAAATATATTTTTTTTTAAAATTGTGAACGAGAATATTTTATGTTTTTATTTTTTGAAAAACCGTTACTAGCAAAATTTGACTTTTTATGATTTTTTAATATTTTTTTGAAAAATTACAATAATTTATAATTTTTCATTGTTCTGTCTCTTATATTTTCGTAAATTTTTCCTAAAAATACCATATTTTAGCATATTTTTTAAGTAGTAAATATATAAAAAAATCCCATTTAACCATTAACCTAGGGATTATTAATTAGTTTAATAAGAACGTGCAGGAATTATAATTTTAAATAAACAATACTTACACTTTTTATATTTATTCTTTTATTTTTTTTTCTCGTATCATCAATTCTTAAATTAAGGCTGCATTCCGATTATTGGAACTGGAAATAGGAAAATCTTAAGTAAATCCATTGCGTAGATTTTTAAAATAGCAAAATTGATGCTGCAGGACCCCAATTATTGGTCACCGTTTATTTCCATTGGGACTTTTTTTGTATAAATAAAATTTAAAAAAATTCAAATGTTTCGCCTTTTATTTTCCACCCGTCCGAATAAACTAGTCTAGTTTGACGTAGCTGAACTTAGCTTGGTCCAAGACTGCAATATGCAAGAGGTTTAATGAAAAATGCATCACTCACAGAACAGTATATATTTCAAGAAGTTCATGTTCAGGTTAAACGAGTGGCCTGTATCAGCCAGAATGCAATGCGTTCACGTCAATAACACACACACCTATTCAAAGCTTAAAGAAATTAAACAGGCGGAGCTACACTGCATTCTAAATCTCACAAGTTAAACTTTAATCATTAACACAGTGCAATGTACTTTTATCAAACACTATCCACTTAACGCACTAAAGAAAAAGTCCTCTTACACATAAGCTGACCATAATGATGAGAGGCTTGATTAGTATATATCTATAATAGTCACGTGTTTCATACAAACATTTCATACCTAGGCCCCATCAGGCTGAATGAAAGGGTTTGCAATTTCATCTGTACCGTCTGTTGGGGACACGAGCATGACAGCAGTTCCCCTACAAACCTGCAGTGTAGTAAATTTCCAAGTGTAATTACAAATCAAAATTTTAGCCTTAAGATTCAAACCATATACTAAAAAGAAAATGATCATTCAATTGTTCAAATGAGTGTTTGTTTTGGTCACCATGTGCAACTCCAAATTTGCAGGAAATGTTTTTATAATACCTGTTTTTAATGAATTACAGCATTTCACCTTTAGCTCCCAAGAAAAGAAGGAAAACTTTTCATTCTCAAGAAACACACATATACAACCATAAAAAAATCAGCTAATCATAATTTTTTTAAAGAAACTTGCAGCTAAACAGGCTACACATTTCTTATCATGCTACTCCTCAACCCACAGAAATTGACTAAAAATTCTTAGTAAGGCCTTTGGCTTTGTTTATAGAATAGGTTACTATGAAGGGCAAAAAGTGAGGAAAATTTATAGTTGCCTGTGTTGTGGAACTCAATGTCCACCTTTCTCTATTTCTCCCCCTACCCTCTCAATCTTCTTAGATCTGAACCAACAAGTTATCAAGAATATGCAGGAATTGCCTATTGTTTTAAAGTGTGGGTAACTGAGATACTCTTTCTATGCTTAAACAAGCAACTAGCAGGTGCAATAGTATTGAACTTAATCAAAAACTAAATTATTTTTTGTATTATTTATCATAAGATCTCTTTTAATAATTTCATCGAAGGTTCTTAAGTCCCCCTTTACTTCTTTTCATCAAAATAACAATCATGCCATTAACTTTCCTCTCAGGTGCTTCTAGCAGTCTTTGCACGTATTTAAACCACCTTAATCAATTTTGGATAATTGTTTTCACAGTAAGTGTTACTTCAATATTCCCTTATATGCGATTATTTCTTATTCTATCATTTCTCGTAATAACCACTTACCCATCTTAACACTTATTTCTTCAACTCCCACTTTTCTTGTGTTGTAGTAATAGAATGAAATTTTTATTTCAGTTTACTAGATACTTTATAATCACAAATAACTCGTAATGTCCTTCTCAACTTTAACCACCTTAGCTATATTTTATGAGTATGTCTTTATTAGTTTCATTCTGTAAAATAAAATCTGAATACTTAAACTTGAAAATTGGTAGTATCACGTTATCTCCAATTTTGAGTTCCAACTTATAATCATCATTTTGTTTCTGTTAAAATTGCAATGCATATACTTTATTTTGCTTCTCCTCAAACAAAAGTCCTTAAATTTTAAAGTTTGTCTCCAAAGCTTAAGATTATAGTTAACCTCTTCCTTTGATTCTTTAAGTAGGACTATGTCATCCACAAAAAACATGTATTTAGGAATAATTGTTTATGTTGCCTATAAGCATATCTATGACTAGGTTAATCCAGTAAATACTCAAAGTTAAGCCTTGATGTCAGCTTTTCACTGTAGAGATCTTAGAATATACGCCTTCAAGAGTTTTCACACTTGTTACCCTAGCATACATGTTTTGTATAATTTGAATACATGTCATGCGAATCCTTTTCTTTTTTTAAGTCTTCCACAACATTTCTCTTGACACGACATTATATGTTTTTTTTTTCAAATAAATAAAAATCATCCGTAAGTATTTTATATATAATAATACTTTTCTATAACTCTGCCTATGGCCTAATACTCAATCACAAACTCGAACAAAGGAAGAGGGTTGTGTTATGCCTTTGGCAGCTATCAATCACAATGCTATTATGAGTATAGTGTCAAATGAGCAAAAGTCGTTACATCAGCACTTGGATGTAGATTTGAGTAAGAGTTCTCACATTTGGCTGGACGAATGTGGGTAAAGAAGTTAGTTCAAGAATGATAATTTGGTTTTTGACCAAGTTTAATGATATTGTGTAATCCATAAAGTTGACTTCACGTAATGGGATAAGACTTGGTAGTTGTATATTGTTGTTATAATACTTTTCTATCTACTTTCTTAAAAAATATATAGCCTCTATTGTAAACCTTTTTAACATAAAATCAAATTGATTTTCTGTAAATCTATGTTCTTTTCTTAATCTATGTTTAATCACCTTTTTTTGTAACTATAATATTTTATTTCTTTGTAATTTGCATAATTCTGAATATTGTCTTTATTCTTGTATATAGGTACCAAAATGTAGTTCCTCCACTCATCAGACATATTCTTATATCTCAATTTCATTATAGAGCTTAGCAAGCTAACAAATGCCTTGTTCTAGCATTAATAGGATCCTAACTATGCAACAAGATAAACTTCCATATTTGAGGACATGAATGTGACAAACCAATATACCCAAGCCCCTTTTTTAATCACTAATCAACATGTGGCAAAGTATCTCTCTGCCAAAGATCGGTCATTCAAATTACAAATCAATTTAATCTTCTAACTCAACATTTGCTTTTCTTCCCAATAAAGTTTGGCAAATCCTTTCCCCTCTTCATCTATACATTTGAATTAACTTATGACAAGCAAGCTTGTTGAGTTAGACAAACAAAACATTTGCAAGACAAGTTGGGTCAACCCTTTCCATATATTCTATCAACAAGTAATCGACATAGTAGTCAATCTCCAATAACAGCCAAGTGCGACTAACCCCAAAAATGTTAATAGTAGATAGCAGGATGACTATTTGTGAAGACAATCAAAACAAAGAAAGAACATAGATCAAAGAGTGATCAGTCACCAGAAAAAGCTCTAACGTAGATGATCTCGCCAAAACACGTCTCACTATCATTAGAAAAAGTCTACATCTTGTCAGAAATATCTTGGATTTCGTTGAAAATGAAAAAGACAACTGGAAAACATCTCTGGTCACATCAAAGATAAGTTGGGTTTTGCAAAAGATGAAAAATGGTGACTCACAGCAGAAAGTGACATCGAAGATAGAAGACAAAGCAAGAGAACAAGTGATGGAGATAGGGTTCCATCTCAACTTGCAAAGATAGAAGAGAAGCATAGAGCATTGCGATGTAAAAGGAGGCCGAAATCTCAAGATTTGCCCCCTTAAAAAGCATTCCAACTTCTAGAAAGGGGCGGCAAATTTTCCCTTTTGCCCTTATTTAATATAGCAGCTGCAATTTTCACCTTTCACGGCCACGAATCATGGCGCAACAGCCAATACACAGAACTGCAACACTGGCCCCAGAATCGTAGGAAGGAGCCGCTCCGCTCCTACGCAATTGTGCCCATTATGTAATCAATTAAGAAAATGACCTAGCAGCTGTCTAATAAATAGACTAGATAATTATTTATGCAAGTTGTTTCCAGCATGTGATATTCAGGTAGTAATTTATGTTATAGACAATTATATGGGAAAGCAAGAAACCTACAATTAAGCCAAGACTTCTCGTCTGATCGGTAGTTTTCAGTGGATCATCAGGATCTGCAGCGCAAAAGAAAATACCATGAATTTTGATTCTGAATTGAAGATATGTTATTGGCATACAGGAACTGTTAACTCTATTCTTATGTATGAAGGCAGTTTACTAGTTTGAGAAACTAAGGGACTGTTTGCTAGGAGAAATTTACCTGATTTCACTTTTAGTTACAAAAATGTTACCTTGTTTTCATTTTATTTTCAGTTTTAAAATGTTTGAACAGAAAACAATGAAAATCACTTTTTTATTGTTTCCATCTAACTTTTGAAAACAAGAAACTAATAGAAAGGTGGGTATTATTTTTGTAATTAAAAGTGACTAAACAACCACTACGCACTACTATGTAAACAAAATATAGGTGTACTCTTAAAATAGTTTTTTTGGGGGGGTTATTTTGCCAATTGTCGGGCTACTGCATCAAATGGTCTTTAGATGACTAACAAATAACAAAAAGTGGTCGAACTAATGTTTAAAATGAAAGGCTAAGCTTGTATGAAAATCTGCATAATGCTGTGTGGTGGATTCATGCTGGCAAATTAATCGTGAAATCTAATTACTATTTCTGGTCCATTTGTATGCATGACTAATGGCCATAGAATTATTTGATAAGGAACATTCACATGTCTCCTTTGTCCATGTAAGTTAAGTAACTGACCTTTCAAGCAGGCAATGCTAAAGATGTTAACATTTTACAAATTGCCAAAACACAGAAAAACATGATCAACTCCAATCTCTGAAGAATTAAAGCAGTATGTATTTGGGTAGTGTCAGTTGTAGGAAAATTCTGTTAAAGCATACCACTTTCAATTCATTATTCATTCATTCAGGTGTTCAGTCTCACAAGTTGAGCAGAAGTCCCTTTGGGTATGCTTGAATAAGCTTTGGGGAAAAAATACTTCTATAATATTTCTTTTTTTTTAAAGAAGCTACTCTATTTAACTTCTGCCAAATGGCAATAGCACTAAAATTGCTTTCTGGGGAAGGAGTGGCATTGGCTTTTTCTTTTTCTTTTTTTTTAAAAAAAAAATTATCTAATAATCTTAAATTTTTTAAAATTAAAAGGTGCTTTCCTCCAACTTCTCATTTTAAAAGCACATATGAACTTGCCCCCAACCCTCCATCCTGAAATACTATCTTATTTCAACATGTTGTAGGAAAGGTGAAACATGGACATAATAGAGGATGAAAGCTCGCCAAGGATAAAACACATATATCATTTGAGTCATTAAATGTGCAAACAAGAACAAGGTTTTGGTACTATTTAAGTATTTACCTCTTAGAAACTCAACAGCTTCATCCAGTACAAGGTTTAGTAATTGGTCATATCCTTTCAGAGTTCCTGTCACTGAAATTCAACAAGTTGAAATATGTTAGACCCCCATTACTAAATTCTTTTCTTTAACCTAAAACAAACCATCGAAGAAGGAAAGAAACTACAATGACTGGGAAGACAAGATATCCTCTGAAACAATCACTACGCCTATCAAAACAACACAAAAGATTCAGATTATTGTTTTTAAACTTAAAGGTGCATTTAAAAATACAACTTAATTAGTGCTTATTTAATAAAAATTTTCTTATATTAGGGCTTATCCTATAGAGTTTTAAATAAAAATTTTCTTATATTAGGGCTTATCCTATAGAGTTAACCATAAAACTTCTTCAAATAATTAAAAAAAAAAGAAGAAAAAGACTTTATTTTGATATACTAAACCAAGAAGCTTATCCATAAGCTCTCTATAAGCTTTTCCAAATGCTCGCTTAAACTCTCTTATAAAGCTGCAAAACATAAACGATTATTTCTTCAAAATAGGCTAAACCGAACACCCTCCTAAAATTACATGACAAGAATATAAAATGCAAACCAATACATGAACCCTACAGCATCCAAACAACCCAAAAGACCACACATATATCAACAAACTCAAAAGTCATAAAAGAATTTCCTAACAAACTTCTGGATAAAATCTTGCTAACCAAAGCAATGACCGAAACGCAACGTTTAACGCGAAGATGAGAATGGGTCACTGACCTTGTCTGCCACCGGTAAGCTTGACTTGAACCCCTTTGTCGACGAACTTTGCCAAATCCAGAACCGTTTCTTTTCTACCCGACTGGTTACGTGACGAAACCAAGAAAAGTTAATTTATGCACGTGACGTGCCTTTGCAGAAGTGGCATATTCGTGTTGAAAGATGCAGAGAAAGAAACTCACCATGTCTCTGTACCTGTAGAACTTGCGCCGGTGAGCTAATGAGCTCAAAATGAAGTTACCCAACTTTAGTGGGGAGCTTCAAAATTCAAAAATTAAAACAAAAAAAAAATCAATTTAAATTGGTGGATCAACCCGCTTAATTTCATTTAAATAAAAACAAAAAGGAGGTTGAATGTAATTGCATTTTGGATCTTACTGAAGAAATGAGTAAACGATGGTAGATGGATGGAGGGATGAAGCAAACAACGACGGTGCACTACTCTGGCTATCGCCACCGCACCACTCTTCTGAATTGACACGACACGAGATAGTGAATAGGGTTCGTAATTTCCTATCTGTTTCTTTTTTTTTTTTTTTTAAGACAAATAATATATATATATATATATATAATTTTATTAAAAAATTAATTTTAAAGAAAATTTTAAAAATATTATGAAAAAATAAAATTTTAAACAATAAATTTAAAATATTAATAATAAATGATACGAATAATATAAACAATGTTGATTATAAAATAATTAAAATATGTGTATAAATTAATTTTTACTTTATGATTTACATGTTAATATAATTTTATGTAAAAAAAATTATTTGTGAAAAATAAAAATTGTTTATGTCATGTATAACTATACTTTAATATAAATACAAACAATTATTACTTTAATTTAGATATATATAATTCTTACATCATTTATTATTATTATATAATATAAATATATAATCTTTTAATTTAAATTTTAATTAATTTTTAAAAAATTCTTTATTCTCATAACAATCATATAATAGTTAAATGTATTAACCTGATTTAATAATATAAAAAGATTAAATAACTTTTTATTATTAATAATTTTATATGCTAATTTTATAAATTAAATATTTATATTTGATATAAATATCTCTTTTTAATTATATAAATATTTAAATATTTGTATTAATTTTTCAGTCTCATTATTTTGAATAAAAAATATTTTTAAAAATATAATTATAATTTAAAAAATATAATGGCATTAATCAAAATAGAAAAATTTGTCTCAAAAAATAAAACGTGCTCGCATAACAAATTTATCCACTAAGGCTATCTAATTAATAGTTTTGAATAATCCATACAAACCGTTTTCATATATAAAATCAATCTAAAAATTTTAAACTGATTAGACAATAAAAAAAAATGCACTTTTTATACGATTCGGTTTGATTTTGGGTTCTCATGTCCAAAATCAAATCAAACATAAATTTTTTTATTATATTGTTATATAAACATGATCTGATAATATGTTTACATTTTTTTTAAAAAAAAAATTTACTTTGTAATTTATACTTAAGTTATAATTTGATAAAAACTCATTACTAATATAATCTTAAATATTCTTCTTCTTTTTTTAACTTACTATCTCTTAAGAAAAGAAAATCTACCTAACATAAAAATTTGGTCCAAATAAATAAAGAATAATTATAAAAGTAACAATAATAGATAAAAGTTTAAAAAAAAAACTCGGGCCAAGTGTGCAACATTTCAAAAATTTATATTAAATGAAAATAAAAATTATTTAATTATATTTTTATTATTATTCAATTTTTATAATATTTGATTCAAGCAACTTAAACAGTTATAATTTAATTATTAAATCATTACAAATCTTATTTTATATTAAATTATAAACGATGTAAAAATGCTTTTGACTAATATATATATAATTTGGATTCATTTTCATATGTAATATCTAACTTATAATAACTTAAAATATACAATACTTGTGGAGGCTTAGTTTTTTATATCAAAGGTTAGTTGTTAAGTAGATTTAACAATAAAATCAGTTCTTGCTCTCTCATAGAAGCTGAATTATGGAGTATCTATTATGAGACTAAGTTAGTCTTAAAATCGAAAGTGGTTATAAACAGATTGTTTGACTCATTCAAAATTTTCAACTTCACTCCCATCCTTTGAACAAGGTGATTAAAGAAATTAGGAGTTTGTTAAGAAATATTAAGTACATTAGGTAAGAGTATATTTGCTGGGAAGCTAACCATTATGCCGATAGTCTAACCAAACTAGGCATAGAAGAATCTCTTTGCACGTGGCTCCTACAATATACAATGCTCATAGCTCATAGATATATACAGTTATCGGAATCTTTTACCAAGAAATAATTAATTAATCGAAGTTCGATACAACTAATTAGATCATTTCATGTACCATATATAGGACTAATGTTAAACAAAAATTTGAATAATATAAATAAGTTAATGTTTGATCATGATTTTTTTTATGTAAAAATAATGATGATGCTTTCTGAAGCCAGGGAGTAAAATCCATACGCGACAACTTCATGCCTGAAATGGCAGCTAGGAAAGAAAATTTATTCACCATTCTATTCCAATACGTAACTCTCAACTAGAACTGAAAAATCACCAACATTGAAACGAGAGCCCCCAGTTAAGGATCATCCATTTGATCATCTACCTCTTCCTAACCAAAAGACTTTAGCCAAGAGAACAATCAAAGTTATTATTTAAGCCAAACGGGAAAATCTATGGTATGCATGTGTTAGGGGCCTCACAAGTTAGGTGAACTTTGAACATGCTTTTTGTCTTAGTTTCAAGTTAGAGGACTTAGTCACATTTTCTTTGATTTTAGTTAAGAAAATTCCGGACAGTTTAGCACCTGAAAAATAAAACATTGGCAATCTGTTGATTCTTTCAAATGTGAAAGGTTAAAGTTGTCGTAATATGAAGCAAATAACTTCACCTTGTTCACATTTTATAAGGATTGTGTTTGATGAAGCTGCTAACTTCCCTCACTTATAAGTATCGCCTAGTTCATGCAAGTCATAAACTATGACAAAATCTAAATTTAACAAATCAGAAACCTCAAACGGACACTTCTTATGGCATTGAAACAGCCTTCGCTTCTTGTCATGCTCTTCACATTAGGTAATGGTAATTACACATTCTCTTCAAAAGTGTTTGGTTTCACATTTGAATAGCCATGTATCTATGTTTAATTCAATGCTACTAGTTGTAGCTTCTGTGTTGAATCTACATTTACAGGTTTTTTTTCAACGCAAATCCATAAGCATTTCAATACGAATCCAAACATGCTATTAGTGTCTGGCTTCTAAAACTGTTTATAAACTTATAACATAAAGCTATGGCAATGTATTATGTAGCTCATCAGATTTTTCTTCAATTTTCAGGAGCTGATGCATCTGTTTTTACTTTGCAAAATAAATGTAGGGACACAATATGGCCTAGGATCCTAACAGGAGCAGGAAAACCTCAAATCAATGAAGATGGGGTTGAGCTCAAACCTTGTGGGGCCATAAAAATTACTGCACCGAAAGGGTGGTCTTGCCACATCTAGGGGTGGCATGGATGCAAATTTGATAGCTCCAGTAGTGGCACAGGAGACTGGAGGCAAACTTAAATGTGGTGGAGTTGGAGGTGCGCCGCCAGCTTCAGTAGCAGAGTTTACACTAGACAGCCTGGAGGGAGATTTTTATGATGTTAGCCTTGTTGATGGTTACAACATACCGTTATCAATCTTCCCCTCCGGAGGATCTGGGCAGTGTAAGGCAGTTACATGCTGTATGGATTTGAACAGAAACTGTCCCAGTGGATTGGAGTTGAGAAACAAAAGTCACACTGTTGGTTGTAAGAGTGTATGTATGGCTTTGAACAAGCCAGAATATTGTTGTACTGGTGATTTCAATAGTCCAAAGGAGTGTCAGCCAACAAGTTATTCAAAGGTGTTCAAGGCTTCTTGTCCTCAGGCTTATAGCTATGCCTATGATGATGCAACCAGCACTTTCACTTGCCAAGGAGCAGATTACTTAATTAGGTTTTGTTAGAGAGAGCAGGTTACTTTCATCTCTCTGTTTGTCTGTATGTGTTTGTGTGTGTGTGTCTTTTATGAATTGATTTGATCTCTTTCTGCAAGTTTATAGATTTTCCACAGAAATGTCGGATGGCATATACAAGAGTTTATTGTGAGAAGTATAAGGGACATATCCTAACCATTGAAAGCTAGGAAACCCATGAAACCCAAATATATGAACATGAATTCTAGAGGAATGTAAACCCCATTTATCTACAGCAGAGGAACAAAAACACATCTCAATTTTAATATTAATGATGGTAACCTTGTTTTTGTCCCACAAACTCCTTAGAAGTTTCAACTTCTGCGTCACCTGTTTGCATCTAGTAGGTTAAAGGATAAAAATTACCACTATATAGCAATGAGGTTGAACCATAGAAATGTGTTGAGATCCTAAATGGAAATTAAAAATTCACATAAATGAGAATCTGTCGAGAATCTTGAGATCAATCCAGTACGTGATGAAAACACAACACTAAAAATCTAGTGCCTGGAAACAGGGATGACTTCTTTAGCAAGGAAATGCTTCAGACAAATATAACAATCCAGATCTTTAAAACGGATTGTTTATCAGGCTTTTTCAAGAGCATGTTTATTCATAATATTAAACAAAGGCATTTTCCCTGTCATGTATTACTAAGAGAATATGTCCTATTTGCATTCCTGGGAAGCTGCTTTGAGTAATAGTCATCTCAAAGGAGCTGCTTCTAGATACATTGAATAGACTACTCAAATTCATCATATTATATTCCTTCAAAACTATGCCCAACAAGTATCTCCTAAAGGGTAAAGTACAGAAAAATGAGAAAGTAAAAAAATTGAGGGCAAAGTATACATAAAAATCCACAAAAGCACAGGGAGGGAGGAAATAGCCCTTACCCAGACAAAGGTGGGTCTAGGTGAAAAGAAACTTTAAAATATATTGCAACAACTGAATCTCCTTTTAGCATTTTGGCATCCAGGTTCTTGGAATGGGACCTTAATTTTTGTTCCTTCAAGTTCAAGGTTTACTTTATCCCAATTTGATTCCGGTGCATCCACAAGGATGTGCTTCTTACTGACAGTTCTATATACTTGCGAGAGAAGACCAAGGAAAGCTGATTCCACATTGCTGGAGTCAAGTGCTGAAGTCTCAATGAAGAAAAGATCCTCCTGCTGCGCGAAGTCTCTGGCTACCTCAACAGGCACTGCTCGACTAGAACTCAAGTCAGATTTGTTGCCAACAAGCATGACAATTATATTTTTATCCGCATGTATCCGTAGCTCATCCAACCACTTCTCAACATGGTCAAAGGATTGGCGCTTGGTTATGTCATATGCCAGTAAGGCACCAGTTGCACCCCTATAATACGCAGTTGTAATTGCCTGGTACCTGTGATGAATGCCAACATTGTCACAGGCAAATGAAATAGACATGCATTTGAAGGGCACCTTTGGGAACCAAATCAACAACATCATAGATAAGTAACCAATATAACCCAGAATCAAGAACAATTGGCAAACAACTTAAAATCCATCACACACTTTCCCAATTCTGTAGGCTCACAATTCATTACTAGCATCTTTTGGCTTGATTACATTCAGAAACTATACTGGTTTTTGTTTCTCAAAAGATCAGATCTTAACTTCTAGTTCTCAGATCTTAGGGTATTCTTAGTGCCTGTTTGGTTTACAATTGAAAAATCAATTCTTACACTTTTCAACAACAACAAAAAAAACACGTTCGGGTAAAAATCTACGGTTAAAAATTTTGGCATAAATCCCAATTACGTCCAACAGTTCAAAACTAATTCTATCAAAATCAATTCAACTTGACTTTAAAACAAAGGAGCCCTTAATTAGTATCATAGAAAAACGACAATTTAGCTCAATATAACAAAGATACGCCCAATGAGAGAAAAAAATTTTAAAATAAATGTATAGGAGAAAAAAATTGGACCTTTCTTGACCAGCAGTGTCCCAAATCTGAGCCTTGACTAGTTTGTGATCCATGACCACGGTCTTGGTGAGAAACTCAACCCCAATTGTGGGCTTTGATTTCATGTAGAACTCGTTCTTCACAAACCGATTCAAAAGCTGAGACTTTCCAACACCAGAGTCCCCAATCATGACAATCTTGAACATGTAGTCAATACCCTCATCCGAATCACTCTGCCATTGAGCCATTCTCCCTCAAAGGTTTTCAAATACCCTTTTGGAAGCTCAACGCAGCAAGGTTAACCCAACTTGGATTCCCACTGTTTTCTGAACAAAAATGTGGTATTTTTTCTGTCAGTTTCTGTGAGCACACGCTTTGCGTGCCCCATGTAAAAGCATTTTATAGAAGAGTGAAAAGGGGTCGTTGAAGAGTCATTTTGGTAAGTAAGGGAATGAAAAACGCAAAAAATGGCATGTCAATGTGTTCCTTTCATGTCTGAATCACGCTTCCCTATTTTATGTGACAGTGGTTGCTACTGAAAGCGTTCTCTTTGTGAAAGCAGAGGAAACAAGTTTGCAGTTAGGAATTTGGAAAGTAACTTGGGACACACGACAAGAATGGAAGATTTCGATATTGACTCTTTTTTAACAGAAAAAAAAAAAAAAAAAAACTAGACGTGAAATCTAAAATTGGTACACCGTATCATATAAAAGGTAATAAACTGAAATACTTTGTCAAACGTATTTTAATTTAAAATTAAATTTTGTATGTGTAATTGTATTAAAACTTATAAATTAATAATATTTTGATTGATATATTATATTATATGCTCTAAAAAATGTATTGAATTAAAAAATAATAATTTTAGTGAATTAGAAAATAAAAATATTGATATACAGAAGAAAATCATTTTACTAAAAATTAACAAAATTTTTTAAAATGCTTTGGATAAACATTAAACAATTTATTTGTACACTTATTTAATAAATTTTTATCACATGAAGCCTATGATAGTGTCATGATCATGAAACTAATTGAAATAAACTTTAAAAATTTAAGGGAGTCATAAATTATTTTTACAATCATTGTTTTTAATGTCACTTTAATGAATTAATTTTACTAACAATTAAAAACTTATTAAACAAAATTAATGATATTAATTTATTAAATAATTTTACATTATAAAATATTTAAAAGATATTTTTTAATAAAATTGTAACAATTTTAATAAAATAACTTTTCCCTAGAAGGACTAATATTAAAATTTGTTTTAGGCCTAATAACACGTTGGACTGACCTGCCTTGGACTTCTAAGAATAGAAAACTATTTAATAGTGTTGGTCTAATAATGCTGCATGAAATGTAAAATTTAAAGAGCATTGTTTTTCTTTAACTTATTTTGAGATAATTACAAGCGTTCCCATGAGTAATATGGAACAACGATCAAATTTGACAGATTGTTTTTTTGCCATATTATTTTGAAAAATCTTCATACATAGTGTGTCGAAAATATTTTCATCTTTCCATAAATTTTTTTTTCCTTAACTCAAAGTTGTAAGCAATAAATTGTAAAAAAAAGAGAGAGACAGTGACTTTGTAAATTGTCCTACTGCACAAGATTTCATATGAATAATAGATAATACATTTGCAAAGAATATCATAAGCTTATATATAAGTGCAAGGCGTTGTCATAGCCAATGTATAATAGCCATTCAAATGAAAATTGATTTAGGTAATTTTGCAATCCACCCTTCTTTATCAATAAAAGTAATATTCAAGAATTGAAGAAGCTCAGATTCACTTAAGTGCTTTATCCATCTCACACGCTTTGTTTGATCTGCTCCTGGTCCTTTGTTTCCCAATTCCACAAAGGTGATGGTTTTTCTGCAGTAAAATACATCAGAGCACAGTTTTAAAGTGAAAAGAGTGTACTAATTATAATTATATTGATCTAAAACAACCAAGACTGAAAAATCAAAGATGAAGATCTTACTCATGGCCAAGGAAGGTTCGAGCATTCCAACCAATGGGTAGAACCACATCTGATAGGAATGAATTGGCTATAATTACTCTTGCATATGCTCTCAAGGATCTTCCAAGCAGAGCTTTCCCTCCTGTGGTCCCTGTTATGTTACAGTTTTTGAACACAAACCCACTTGGATCATTTGGAGAATCCCTTTCTTGTGCTGTGATAATCCCATTCCATTTGGGACCATTTTTTCCCATCGAAAAGTTTATTATACTTTCCTGTATATTCACAACCAAATATATTACTACTTCTGCACAATATCCTTTTGTATTTCTTTCTCTTGCACTAATTAATTGTTAAGACATTATTTAAAGACACACATCAATTAATTTTTGTGATTGAAATTTTAAAAAGATAATATATTGTTAATTATTATTGAGCAATGACAATTAAAATAAAACAAAACTAATAAACATCAATCAGAACAGAATGAAAAGAATAATTATTTTAAAAGTAAGTTCATTAAACTAAACATACATTTTTAAGAAAATTAGGTAATTTCATTTAAAGAATATAAAACACAACTAATTTTATTATACCTCAAAGATTGATTGACCATTTCCAAATATGAAATCGATTCCACCTTGAATGTAGCAGCCATGGTAGTAATGGCGGCCATAGCAATCCCATAAGGTGTCTTGAACCCCTAAAAATGCACAATGAAAGAAGGCACATTTATCTGCATTGATCTGAGCTGCCACGGCTTGTGTGATATTGCTTTCATCCAATGTTATAGGATGGTTGAGTGTATTCTAAGAAAATAGTGTATTCTTATTAATTAATTAATAATAATAACAATAATAACAATAATAATAATAATAATGCTAAAAACAAATATGACTCATTTTAAGTTTTTAGTATTTGAAAAATCCATAATCTTTATTTAGTTTTTTTTTTACTTTTTATTTTTTAAATGGATCTTTGTGAAATATATTTAATGTAAAATATCCATTCTATTTTTTTTATTTGATCCCTTTAAATATCACAAATATTTTATTTGGTTCCCCCATTACTAGAATTAAATGAAAATTTCATAACATTGATGATGATTAAATGAAAGTTTTTCACTATTTAAAATGATAAAAAAAATCGAAATAATTAAGGAGATTAAATAAAAGATAAGTATGAAAAAATATTTAGTAAAAAGTATATTAATCAAGCCAATAAAAATCTTGAAAGTAATGGTACCGTGAAAGTAATGCCCTTTGCAATGGTGTTATTTGCTTCTGTACAAAAAGTAGCATTAAGATGATCATTCCATTCAATATGTGTGTGCAAGCTACCAGCTCCTTCAAGATAGATGCAAGGTTTGTTCATGGGAATTAACACTTGTTCTCTGTATTGGATATGAACCACACCATTCTTTATTAGACCCTTATATAAATGCAAGCTAAATGTTAAACAATTCAGGTTAGACTTAAGATTTGATTCTTTTAAAATAAATAAACTGTGCTTTTAGAAATAAAGTATGCTAATAAAATTGATTAAAAATTAATGATTTCTATTAATCAGCTTTAAAATCTGTTACAAATATATATAATGTTTATTGTAGTATGAACATTTTTTTTTTAATTTAAAGAGTAGAATCCTGAAAAGAAAAGAAAATAGATTACTTGTAAACTCCTGGAGAAATTTGGATGTGAATCCACTGAGAGTTTTGAATAGGAACAGAGTCAATGGCACTTTGAATTGTTCTGAAATTTGCTTCTCCTGACAGACTAACCGTAATGGTCTTCAATGGATCATCACAATTCTGAGATTCAGAGATGCTGCAAGCAAAGAGTAACACTATGAAAATGGTACAAAGCAGCTGTGGGAATTGCATTTTTAATTTTTTTTCTTTTTCGTATGAAAAAATGGTGAAAAGATAAGATCACAATACAATGGTAAGTACTGTCTAAAAAATGTTACAGTTGCTTATATTTATACATAAAATATATTATAAGAAATAAAAACGAACAAATAATGTTAAATAATTAATGGTCTTCAGATACTGTAACAATTATAGTTGTTCTTTCCTTTTACTAAAAAGAAAAAAAAAGTTTTCTGAATGTCACTCGCCCTTATTTTAAACTTATAAAATAATATTTTTACTGCAAACCTTAAATCTTATTCATAAATGTGAAGACATCTTTTATGATATTTTCTTTTGCGATGTGATTTATGACTTTGCCATTGTTATTTATTTATTTTTAAAATGTTTCGATTATAAATTAATTTCAATATTTATTTCTGAATTTGTTTGCATTAAATATTTTTATATTCAATATTTTTATACTTTTAAATTAATTCTTTGTTTGCATTAAATTATAAAAGTTGGGATTGAGTTTAGATTAGATTAAACATGAAAATGTGAAGAAGCTAAAAAACATATTCTATGTATTTGAAAGTTGACAAAACTTTTATGCAAACTATGTTTCTATACAAACTCATTAAGGCATTCTGGTTTGTAAATAGATTCTGGTTTATAACAATTTGAGTTTCCCTTTCATTTTATGAAGCATAGCTGGATTTAATCCATGTTATTCCCAATTTGTCACATCTTTCTTTTGGGAATTTTATCTTTCAAACAAAAATGGGTTGGATTGTATTAATACCAATCTAAGCATGATTTTTTTTAGTATATACTATAATATCCATTATTTATCATAAAATACAATCAATATTATAAGTATCAGAAAATTAATTTTATTATCTATCTATGAGTGTTTTTGTGAGACGAATAAATTAATTTTAATTTATTTGAGTAATTTAAATGTTTATTTAAGCAAAATAAACATGTTTATTAAAAAAACATTTTAGTGCATTTGTATAAAATTATTTTAAAATGTTATTCAATAAACATTTTTCTTTAAAAAATAGACTTTAACTTATTTTATTTTATTTCATTAAAATTATAGTATTTTTATAATTTAAAAAATTTGCTAATTTTATCCTTAATATAATTATTATTTCAAAAATCATTTTTTACCTTCTTTATTTATTTGTCATCTAAACAAATTCTAAAATAGGTATAATAAAATTTCATAATACTTTTAATAAAAATAAGATAATTAAATTTATTTTTTAGTTATTATGACACAACTTTAAATGACTATTTTTTAGACAGAGAAAGATTATTATAGATGTTAAAACTTTTTCAGTATTAATATTTAATACAACAATGTGATGAAAAAATAGTTTTAAAAAGGGATAAAATTTAAAAATTTATTATCGTAAATTTATTATAAAGAGTGATAACTATTAAAAATTGCTTTTATTTTAAGGTAAAATAATTTAATGTGTTCTTGAATGTTATTTTACTCTTTTAAATCAATTAATTACCTTATCAATTATGACAAAATAAAATTAATTGATTTTTTTCTCGCTACTTTTTTTTTTGTGTTTAGTATTAAATTTAAAAGGTAAAATGAAGGGGATATTTTTTTCATACATTTAATAGTATATATTATGTTAATCTATCAATTAGTTTTAATATATTATTTAATAAAAAATTTATCAAATAAGGTAAGATCTAGTATAAAATCCATATATATATATATATATATAAAGATTTAAACAATTTATCTATTAAATAGATTATGTATATCAAATTTTATATAATTTAAATATTTGTAGATATTATATATTTATTTATATTTAAAAATATAATGTATGGGAAAATAAAGTAATGCCATAAAATATTTGATAATTTTATTTTTATAGAAAATTAAAAAATTAATATAAAAAATTCAAATAAATAATTTGATTGATTAATATTGTATTTTATACAAAATTATTAAATAATATAATTATCAATGAATCTAAACTCTTTTCTCTACTTTATTTTAAAGTATAATATTTAATTAAAATATAGACAAATATCAACATTTCAATAAAATAATTATAAATATTCAAATTATACGAAATTTAATATATATAATTATTAAGATAATATTATATAATTTATTAATTACATTAACAATTGTTATATTTATAAAAATTTATTAAATAATATAAATATTCAAATTTACCATCTAATATCAATACACACTTTCGCAAAATATAAAAGCAAAGAGCAAAATGCTTTTATATAAAAAGAGGTTATTCAAACGAAGATCTTTACTGGCAATTTTGCAATCCAGCCTTCTTCATTGATAAAAGAGAGATTCAAGAAATGAGAAAGTGAAGGTCCACTTAAGTGCTTCATCCATGGCACACGCTTAGATTTATTGGCTCCTGCTCCTCTGTTTCCCTCTTCTACAAATGTTATGGTGTCTCTGTAGTTAATTTTCATTTCAAACATAAACATATTAGATAATGTTAATCAAGTAATTACTCAACCAGCTCAACTGATACAAATGATAATTAATTTTAAGTAACAAAAAAAAAAAGAATAATGGGTTAAATATGAAATGGAAAATCTTACTCATGACCAGCAAAGGTTACAGCACTCCAACCCTCAGGTGAAACAACATCTGATAGAAATGAATTGGCTATGATAACTCTGGCATAAGCCTTCAAGGATCTTCCAAGTATAGCCTTTCCTCCTGTGCCAGTTATGTTACAATTTTTAAACACAAACCCACTTGTATCATTTGGTGACTTCCTTTCTTGTGCTGTAAAAACTCCATTTATTTTGACACCAGATTTTCCCATTGAAAAATTTATTGTACTTGCCTACATATTCATAACCAATTCACAACCAAATTAAAAGAAAATCTGTCAAAAAGTTAATAAAAATATATATAATTTTATGGTACCTCAAAGATTGATTGACCACTCCCATATATGAAATCGATTCCACCTTGAATGTAGCAATTATAATAGTAATGTCGTCCATAAGAATCATATAGGGTGTCTTGCACCCCTAGAAATGCACAATTGATGAAAACACATTTATCTGCATGGATCCGAGCTGCCTTGGCTTGTGTGATTCTAGTTTTCTCCATTATTACAGGGTTGTTGTGTGTATTCTAAGAATGTAGAGTACAAAAAGGAACCTTATTTGAGTATAAACAATGTCATAAATGTAACCCTACCTTGATTTTCAATTCATTTTCAACATGGTTTTCAAATATTTTTTATAATTTTAATTCATTTAGCAAGATGGTACGAATAATAATCATATTGTAAATAAATATCAAGAAATTAAAGGGATGATACCGTGAAAGTAATGCCCTTTGCAACAGTGTTATTAGCTTTCACATTCAAAGTAGCATTAAGTGTAAGGGGGTCACCCCATTCAACACTGGTGGATTTTCTACCAGCCCCTTCAAGATAAATGCATGGTTTGTCCATGGGAATTAGGACGTGTTCTCTGGATATTAATGCTTGCAATTTTTAGAGTCTTAAAATGAAAGCAAAATGATGTGTGCCAAAGACAATGCTATATATGAAACAATTGACAATAGACATTTTACTTGTAAACGCCAGGAGCAATCAGAATGTGAATCCACTGAGAGTTTCCAGAAGGGACAGAATCGATGGCACTTTGAATTGTTTTGAAATTTGCCTTCCCTGACTGACTAACAAGAATGGTCTTGGGTGGATTGTCACAATTCTGAGATTCAACACCATTACAAACAAAAATAAGAACTATGAAAATAAAAGAAAATAATTGTGAAAACTTCATTTTGTGTTTTTCTTTGTCAGTGTGTAAATGTTTGAAGGATAAGAACTCAATATGGACAGAAATATTTAAAGAATAAGTCTTACTATTGTCATTTTTTTTAGACAGAAAATGTAATAAATACACAATATAACTTTACCAAAAAAACTGAAAACAATTAATGGGCTTCAAATTATTTACTTTTATTAATTATTTTTTATCCATCAAAAAATCATAAAGACTTTTATTTTCTTGAGTGTCACTCACCCTTATTTTTAATTTATCTGATAAAATTAAATTTAAAGATAGTGTGGATATCATAAACATTTAAATCATATTATTATAATTAATTGAAAAGTGCATAATTTTTTTATTAAAAATAATTAGTAGAACACTTCTCATTATTTCTAATGTATATAAACATAATTTTAACTAAAGATTGAAAGGACATAATTAAAAGTGAAAAACACTCCACCAGCAAACCCATTAAAAAGTTAAAAATATATGTAAATGTGCAATGTTTAAACTTATAATAACATAACTAAAAGATTAACGTGAAACTTGAAAGGAAAATAAAAAAATAAGTGCACTAGTCGATATTGATTAAAAAAATTACTGACGTGGCAATTGTAATAGAGTGAAATTATTAACATGCTAGATTTATCTTTCTTTTGGTTATCAAAATTATCATTCTCTTTTATTGAAATCTTTTTAATAAGGCCTATAAAATTTATTTATTATTTGAATCATGACCTCGATTTCATTATCTTTTGTTAACTACTAATAACTTTATAGCTCTCAATTTATATAAAACTAAATGTCCTTTCACCATATTAGAATGTTGTAAGTTGGAATTAGAATATTTTTTAAATTAGAGTTAGGTGTTTGCAGAGAAGGCAATACTTACTTAATTAAGTAATGTTTTCAACGTTTTAAATTAATTGAGTAATTTTTTATTTATTCATTTAAGTGACTAATTACCTTAATAAAAATATTTATAGATCTTAATATATTTATGATGTAAGATAATTTGATGAGAGAGAAATGAAAAGGCTTTCTGCCTATGTGTATTTAATCATGAATATTACACAATAAGTTATATTTATAATGTAATTATGCTAGCATATTGTAATAAGATAGTTAAAATTACTTTCTTCTAACTAATAGTTTGTGTTTTCTACACTTATGCTTACACAGCCCCCTCGGAAACTCAGAGGGAAAGAAAAATAGGTCTGGGTTTGGATCGAAATTGATGAAATAAAGTACTACTTGTAGTTTTGGTGAGGATATAGTTATTTACTTGAAAGTAGTATAATTGGCAAGTGTATTGAGTATAATAATAAAATAAGACTAACTACTAATTGAAACAATTAAATTATTTTTGAGTTTTTATGTAATATGATGAACTCTAACTTTATAAGATAAGATGAACAAAGATTAAACACTAGGATATTGAATTAATTTTTTTGTAACATAAAGTTTAAATGCTTGTCATGATATATGAATTGGTTAAATTTAGATTTTTTTTTTATTGTAGTTCTTTCTTGATACTTATTATCTCAATTTAACAATTACTACTCAATTGAATGATCTAATTAATTTATACAGTTAAGTTTTAATCCTTCAGTAACTTTACCTTAAATAAAAAATCGTAACACTATAGATATATTTAATTTAGAAAAACATTAGACGCATGAATTGACAATAATCTCACAATTTCTAACTCCTATCTCTAGACAGATTAAGTTGTCTACTTCAATTTTATGATGGTTTTTAATTTTTCAATCATAAAAAATCTCTGAATTTATTCAATTGAATGTCCAATTCAAACAAACATTAAGAAAAAAATCATCAAACACTAAATTTAAATTAAATGAAGGAAATACAATCAAGTTGGAGCCAAAGTAGGTAAAAGCCCCAAATGTGCAATGCCTATCATCATGATAAAATACCCAATACCCAATCTAACTCTAAGAAGAAGGTAAAAAGAGTGAGGAGACTTGTTGCCCTTTGCTGAGAAGAGGATTTGCGATTCAAACACCTTAAAATGCACTTCATTGCTTTCCAATGATATTCCTATATAGACAGTGCATGAATTGGAAGATTTTATTAATATCCTGTTCATGCGTATGTGGATAGCTAAACCAATGTACAATACCTTATATTTTCAAATAAAGGGTTGGTGCATATATGATCTTGTTTGCAATTCCATCATTGCATTAAATTGAAAAAAGATAAGGGACTTGAGGTTTGCATGCAAAAGATTGAGCCAAGAGCATTTAGAAATTCCATAAATGAATACAATATATAATTGTGCACCATTGGTGGAAGGTAAGGGTGATTGTCTTCAAATGTCAAAAAGTGGTGTATTGTATTCTGTGGTTGAAATATCAATGGTAACTGATGAAATTTGGCCATAAAACATGAGTTGCACAGATATTTGTTTTATTGGTAACATAGCAATATTACAACGATTTAAAATGTGTTTGATTATAGATTTAGCTAGACGACCTAGGCATAAAAGCCACAAATCAAAGGTAATATTATGGATATTACACACAATGAAACTGAAAGCATAACGAGGAGAATTATGGTCTTGTTTGTTCCATACATGTTCAAAGGCATACAACCCATTTTTTAAGCGAGCCTTAGAGAAGGATTGTTCTGATCTCCTAATACTTGAGAAGGCAAGAATCAACATAAAACTCAAAGAAGATATCATTTTTCCAGCAAAATTGTGAAACACTTAAAGAAAATTTTAGTGACTCTAGGACATAATGAAAATTATGTAAGATAATAAGAGTAGGAACTGAGTAAGAATGGAATTTAGAACTGCCAATATGCTTGATAGCGTACTAGTGCCATAACTAAAGTGAACCATGTTTGAGCTATTGTATAGGGAAATATATTACAAGTCGGTGATATCGTGGGTTGTGGTTTGATCCAATTAGAATGTGATTTGTGATATCTACCTCTAACGTGGCCATAATTAAATTGGCCTTAAAAGTTATCAAGAGAGGATCAACATCTACTAGCACCATATTGACCTTGATGACCTTCACAAGATTGATCTCTGTCATAGTTCTTGAAGTGGTTTGACTGCACATAGTTGACTTCACTTTGTCAATTTTATGATGTTTCTTAATTTTCTTTTATTGAGCCATTTGAAGAGCTTCAATTTTAGGTATTGAATAAGGATCAAATCTTGAAGAAATTGAGACAACAAAAAGTTCATAGTTATCAGAAAGTCAATGCAATAGTGTTTCTATGTGATCTTGAACAGAAAGGGTAGCACCAATAGTTGATAAGGAATTAATATTTCTTTGAGGGGTGTGTGTCTTGTCTCCATGTAATATTATTTACGAGAGAAAACAGAAAATGTATTATTCCTAATATAATCAGAAATGAATATTATACAATGAGTTAATGTCATATATTTACGGTAAATGATGTCAACCTATGATAACAAACTAACAATTAAAACTACTTTCTAATATGCAATTCTAGTATTTTTTACACATATCCTTACATATGAAGCTAGCACAAAAACATATGTGTTATATCATAATATTCAATTAAATATGTAAAATATGTTAAATTATATATTTTAAATTTAATAAAAATATATTATTACAAAAAAATTAATAAAATATATGATAAAAATATTTTATAATGAGAAAATGTTTATTTATAAATAAATATAAATTGTTAAGCCAAAATAAAAAATCTTACTAATAAGGATAAACTAATCTTCACTAGTAGAATTATTTTTTTCCTACTGTTTTCTTTTGCAAAAAATTAAAAGTCGTTGTTGTATTTTTTTTATTTTTTTTTAATATTAGAGGTATCATTTTACAAAATTTGGCACAGTGTCTTTTGATCCTACCCTGTGTGTATGTGTTTGTGCATTTTAATATATATCCATACACATGTATATACATTAGAAAAAATGTTATTATAAAAGTAACTCTTGTTAAAATTAGTTTGCTTGATACTTATTTATAAATATTAGATTTTATTTTTCTAATTATTGAATTAAAAACTTTTATTGAGTAACTCAAGTTTACAAAAAAATAATTGACTCTTGGTTGAATAACAGATAGTACATCCGCACAGAATATAAAAAACTATGAGTAGAACGCTTTTATACCCCAAACATTCAAATGAAGATCTTTGTTGGCAATTTGGCAATCCACCCTTCTTCATCAATGTAAGTGATATTTAAGAAATGATCAAGTGCTGCTCCTCTTAAGTCCTTTATCCACTGAACACGCTTGGACTTATTTGCTCCTGGTCCTCTATTTCCCTCTTCAACAAACATGATGGTTTCCCTGCAGTTAAGTTCATTTGAAACATGAATGTATAGGATAATTTTAATTAATGACTACTCAACTAGTTCAATTAATACAGAAGATAACTTTAAGTGAAAAAGAAAAAAAAAATTCTTATTTAAGTTGTCCAAATGAATGGAATGGGTATTTTTATAAGATAAAATGTAGTTATAATTATTTATTTATAAAGCAATAGTTGAGTTATAACAATTCTATAATTTGTAACTACATTTTATTTTATAAATCATAATAAAAATTTCATATTAAACTCTCTTACTCATGGCCAACAAAGGAACGAGCATTCCATCCTTCTGGTGAAACTACATCTGATAGGAATGAATTGACTATGATGACTCTCGCATAAGCTGTGAAGGATCTTCCAAGTATAGCCTTTCCTCCTGAGCCAGTTATGTTACAGTTTTTAAACACAAATCCACTTGGATCATCTGGTGATTCCCTTTCTTGTGCTGTAAAAACTCCATTTATTTTGACACCAGAATTTCCCATTGAAAAGTTTATTGTACTTGCCTGCATATTCATGACAAAATAATAACCTAATTACTACTTGTGATGAATATCAACAAAATACATATTTAAAATTTGAAAAATAATTATTTCTAAAAGAAAAGCTTCCAAAAAGTTGATAAAAAAAATACTAATAACAATAAAAAAATTCATTAGAGGAATATGAAATGATTTAATTTAATTTTATTATACCTCAAAGATTGATTGACCACTCCCATATATGAAATCGATTCCACCTTGAATGTAGCAATTATGATAGTAATGCCGTCCATAAGAATCGTATAGGGTGTCTTGCACTCCTAGAAATGCACAATCCAAGAAAGCACATTTATCTGCATGGATCCGAGCTGCCTTGGCTTGTGTGATTCTAGTTTTCTCCATTATTACAGGGTTGTTGTGTGTATTCTACGAATATAGAGTACAAAAAGTAACCTTATTTGAGTATAAACAATGTCATAAATGTAACCCTACCTTGATTTTCAATTCATTTTCAACATGGTTTTCAAATATTTTTTATAATTTTATTTCATTTAGCAAGATGGTACGAATAATAATCATATTGTAAATAAATATCAAGAAATTAAAGGGATGATACCGTGAAAGTAATGCCCTTTGCAACAGTGTTATTAGCTTTCACATTCAAAGTAGCATTACGTGTAAGGGGGTCACCCCATTCAACACTGGTGGATTTTCTACCAGCCCTTTCAAGATAAATGCATGGTTTGTCCATGGGAATTAGGATGTGTTCTCTGCATTGCATGAACCACATATTGATGTTTAAGTTTATAGACTCTTGAATAAAAGCAAACCAATTTTTGGTAAAAATAATGATAGCTACATATGAAACAATTGATAATAGACAAGAATTACTTGTAAACACCAGGAGTAATTCGAATGTGAATCCACTGAGAGTTTCCCGAAGGGACAGAATCAATGGCACTTTGAATTGTTTTGAACTCTGTCTTCCTTGTCTGACTAACAGTAATTGTTTTGGTGGATTGCCACAATTCTGAGATTCACAAACATTACTAGCAAAGCCAAGCACTATGATAATGAAAGAAAATAATTGTAAGAATTGCATTTTGTGTTTTTCTTTACCAGTATGCCAATGGTAGGATGATAAGATATCAACCTCGCTTGAAATTTGTAATGAAAAAGTCTTACTACTAATACAATTATTTTTAGAAAAAAATTTAATTTCAATATAATATTACCAAAATAAAAATAAAAATAATTAATGGGCTTAAAATATATGGCATGCAATTATGTGTTTTTACCTTTTACGTTTCTCTTCATGTAAATAAATAAAGACTTTTCCTTTTCAAGTTTACTAGATTTAAATCTGCACATCGTGTGGATAACATCAAAACTATAAATAATAATTTTTCTCAAATAATTGATTTGGAAACATAAGAAGATTTTGAGAGAAAAAATGAACTCTTAGTATTAAAAAATAATAATTCAAGCAGAAATTAATGAGGAAAAATCTTCATGTGAAATGAAAAGTTGAAAACAATTAATACTTAGAAATATTTTAAAATAGAAAAAATTAAATAATGGCAAAGTCATAAGCCATAAGAGAATGAAAAATAATAATTAAAGAAGTCATCATGTTAAAGAGTGAGATCGTAAATTTATTAGCTGATTTTAAACAAGAAAAAATTGAAATTATTAAATTTGCAAATAATATCCTTTATTAGAAAGTTAGAATGAAAATCCATATAATTTAAAATATTTCTTTTTCAGTATGTAATTATAAATTTGTTTAAGTGTGTTAAATTTACATGGAAATTATTCTTTTTTTATTTTAAGATTAACTATCTGAATATATTTTCAATAATTTAAGAATTCTTTTGTTCAAGTAAATGTAATATTTGAATTATTAAAATAAAAATCTTCAACTTAATTTAAAGCATTAATTGAAATATTAAATTATATTATATTAATTATTTTATCTAAATTATACGTAACTTTCATTTAAAATAATCTTGTTCTAACTAAAAAATAAAATTCACAAGATTTGAAGTCGAAATCTTATGTTAAAAAAATTAAGCATTTGAACTGGATTGAGTTTTGTTTTGTTTTTTTTTTAAGATATTTCAATGTTTTGACAATGGATTGCGTGTTTTTTTCTTTAAGGATTACAATTTTCTTTCTTGTTATATTTGTATCTGTAATATGAAATTTCTTATATAAAATTAGAGGTGACAAAATTTATTAAACCCAATTTATTGATAAAAAATTTTCATTTTTTAAAATTCATTGCTTCATTTGCCTTTATTCTTTAATCATTTTTTTTTTGTTTACATCATTCTTAACTTTTCATATTATAAATTTTTAAATATTATGTTTGTTTAATAATTTTTATTATTATATATTTTCGTATTCAGTAACTTTACTTTATCAGTAAAAAATAAAAATAGATATAGAAATTAAATTTAAAAGTTTCAAAATATGAAAATTCAGTAATAATAAAAAGTGAAAAAAAAATAATTACTAAGAACATGTTTGATTTCAGTTTTAAAAATAGTTTTTTATTTTTAAAAATAAATTTTAGTACAAATTTGTATTAAAATTTAATTTAAAAATAAAATACTGTTTTCGAAAAAGTAATCAAACAAACCCTAATTTTTTTCAAAATAGATAAAGGTTGAAAGATTATTAACTCTCAATCGATATAGTACATTTTATGAGTTTAATTTTGGTACGCTGTCAATTTAAAATTTTTCACAATATCAATAAATGAGAAAATGTTGTGAATATGATTTTTATATCAGACATCTATATTATAAATGAGAATAGAACTATTCTCTTTGATAGTAAGCTGGCTTTCGTTTTCGTGTCTCTCTAAAATTATATATATAATAAAATTATATATAATTATTTTAAAAAACTTATAAAATTTTATTCTTTAATTATTAAAATAGAGATTTATTTTAAAATAAAATAGTTATGCATTTGACATGCTACCAGCTAGTTATTACATAATTCAATAATTTTTGCAGATCTGGAAATGCATGATTGAATAAAATAAATTTTACACTTGCTGTATATATAAATTAAATTCATATTTTATCACATATATTTACGTTAAATAGAGAAAAATAAAGGATACATACAAGGTGGGAGCACTGGGCCCGAAGCCATGGCTACTAGGAAGGTTGATGGCACATTAGTGAGAGCTGTGAGAGAACGATGAATCATCATTTCTTTGAAGTTAAGCACTAGCTTAAGCTACGGGATGTGAACATCAATGAAGGGTCTTCATTCAAGATTTGGAGAGAACTTTTGTATCCCCCAAACAAATGAACAGGATTTTGTTTCATGCCGAAAACCTTGAAAACTTTTTTTGTTTCACAATTCCTGGTGTTTTCATGGTCATTTTCATTCCACTTTAGTTTTTGGCTTAACATCAATAAACAACTGTGCTAGATCTCACACGTTTAATGTCTTCATCACCCTTTTGAAATGATGTCCTACATAAAATTATTGGAGCATGCAAAACTTATTTGCAACACCCGCATAAAGATCTTGACACTGGAAATTACTTACATGTAGAATTTAGTGTTCAGCGTTGTGTAACATTTTCTCAAGACTCAATTTTATTTTGTAATCCCACAAATTACAATGACTCTTGCTAAACTTGCTGGTACATCATGATCCTTGAATCAAACAAAGAAAAGGAAAATGATAAACAAAATTGGAAAGAGATTCACCCCAAGCCGAACCTAAATTCTTACATACTAGCAAATATAAGCACTCATCTGTATAATCACACTGGCCCTTAATTTTGGTACACCAAAGGATCAAGGAAAAAAATCCCCCCCCCCCTTCATTTCGTTATTTACAAGCATTTAAATCAGGCACAAGGTCTAGAGTATTGCTTCTGATTACTCGTACAAGTGCACTTTGCCCTTGTATCTGCGAGTATCTGCAAGATGAGAAAAATATTTGGTCAGACAATATATACTTGAGTCGAGGGCAATGTGTTCATTGCTTTTTCAGAATTTATGGGACGACTTAAGACTACATGGTTTCAGAAAATGTATTATGTTTTTATTTTATGCTTTCACTTTTAATTATAAAAGTGTCACCGAGTTTTCATTTTATTCCCTGTTTTTAAAGATTTGTACAGGAAACAATAAAAATAAGCTTATATTTTTGTAATTAAAAGTAAAAACAAAAAACATTTTGTAAAACATCCCCTTATATTTCTCTAGTACCTTAACTTGTTTCTTCAGGTCTTTAATGTACTCAACTACCAAATCCAGCATGTCTGCTGTGCTTGTTTGCTGCCAATGGGAGAGCATTAAATCATCAAACTGCATATGAAGAAGCTTCACTGAACATGTGATGTACTAGTGAGAGGGTTAGATTACCTTGTCTGATTTTGGGAACAGGTCTTGCAATTTCTTGATTCTTGCACTAATTCGTGTTCTTCTTTCCTGGAATATGCAGATCAAGTTATCAAATGAAATAGTTCATGAATAGGTACTTCATTAAACAGCAATGCAATCATATATGATTTATCATCTATATAGTAAGAGTAGAATTCAAATAAGACTCTTACCCTCTCTGCAATGCTTCTTGGGTGAGTAGCAAAGCCTCTTTTGGCACGAATTTTACATGGAACCGATCCTTGAATTTGGAAAATCTTTTCCATAGTAGCCATCTTAGAAGAGGAGCTAGGGAGACTCAAATGGTGGGTCAAACCAACTTTTTGATATCCAAAGTCTACACCCTGGTAACATATTTCTTTCACGGATCAACAATATGAAATAAATAAGGACCAAATGAAAAACAAAATTGACAAATTTTGTGGCATACCTGAGTGTCCAAAACATGAGAAGTGGAAAACACGATTTCACCATTGTTAGTAGCCGTTTTGGGAGCACTGAATGTAGAATCATCCCACATGTTACTGGTGAAACTGGGCATGTAACATTTAGTGCTGGCATTATCATTTCCCAGGTTTCTATTTTCAACACAATTTGCTTCCAAGCCTTCATGTCCATTTTCAGCAATCTGTGGCATTCGGCTAGAGCAAGAGGATGGCCTAGATGAGAAGTTCAAAGTACCATGCAACCCACTAGTGGATGTTATAGCCTGTCCATTTGTGACATCACAGGCCCTAAAACTTCCCACCTCTCTCAATGCTGCAACATTTGAAATGAATACAAATGTTTAGAATCTTTAGTTATTGACCTCTATGGAAGAGCTCATGAATAGCTTATGACTCTCCTAAGTTCTTTTTAATAAGCTTTTTTGTATAACTTATTAAAATAAACTGTTTTAGCTTAATAAGTTTCATAGTTAAATCTATGACATAAGTCATTATATAAAAAAAAATATCAAATAAATGTTTAACTAAATTGTGTACTCAATGCACCCAAAATTTTATGGGAAATTTTTTTTTCGATGTCTATTTTCTTTGTCTACGTTATTTGAAAAGAAAACTGAACTCTCACTAAAGACCAAGGGGTCTTGCTAATGAAAAATGAAAATTTCACGTTAAGAGAAGTTGTTACCTAGAAGGAAAAAGAAAAAGAAAGAAAAACATAATACAAGGAGAGTGACCTTAATATTAGTACTTCTACAGCAGCTCTTATGCCTTCTTTTTTCAGAATCTTTTCTGATATTCTACCTCCTCCCATCGTCTTTTCTTCCCCGAAATGTGCAACATAATTAATTTACTTTTGATTTCGAAATATTTAATTTCTTGATAAGAATTATTGAAATAAAAGTCAACTCTATGCAAGAAATTAAAATTCGATTTTATATTCCGGACAAGCAACTGCCGATTGGTTTATGTATTAGCAAATTGCAACCCTGCAATAAAAAGGGATCTGAATCTGATTTGATTTGAAATGAACTTAATTAATTAACTAGAAACCTTTTCAGAATATTTATTTAGAAGTTCTACAAATCTAAGAACAGATATGATCCACTAACTTCTAGTATTCACAAAACTAAGCTAGCTTTATAAAAAAAATGTTTCAAATTTAAGCCAAATGAGAGAACAAATCAACAATCATATGAAGAAAAAAAACATACAAAATGACATTCCATGAAAGTTACCAACTAGGATGAAAGTCATACCATTATCAACTGAAAAACTGTTGAAAAACCCGGCAGGGGAACTCTTCTGCCTAACGAGATTGGAGCAATTGGTGGAAGTACCCATCTTAGTTTGTGTGGAGTTATGTGAAGAAGCTATGGAGCTCAAAGCACTGAATGATCCATCATCAAAAGCACCTAAGGAACCATTTGGCTGTTGAGGTTGGTAAAGTAACTGAGATGAAGACCCATAAGAGTAACCATTGTGTTGTTGTGAAACAGAGTCCCCTGCTTCTTGCTTCACTGCCGAAGGCTCCAAATTTGACAACCCATTGTTTGAAGAAACCAACCTGGCCAACATGGTCTCCATTTCTGAACTTGTGGAAGAAGGGTAATGCTGCTGCTGATGTTGATGATGCTCACTTCTAAAAGCTTCATCGTTCACGCCACCAATGTTGTTATTGTCGTCTTCCAAAAGGCTTGTGAGCAATGAGCTTGGGGCAGAACGGTACCGCATTAGTCCAGAATTGTGTTGGTGACAACGTTCTTGTGAGTGACCAATATTTGAACCCATTTCTGAGTCCATCTTTGTGTCTCTTTCAGAGTACTTTACAGCATGACTATACATAACACTCATCTTATCGTCACAACTACCTGAAAATTGAAAGCCACCCAAAAGAAAAGAAGTTATCTTCATATATAACTAGCTATGTTTCTTTCAAAGAAAAACTGTAAATTACCTTGGTGACCGTGATGGCCTAAAAGATTTATGTCCAAATTTCCAAAGGAATGAAATGCAAAATTCTGTCTTCAACCAAGTTTAAAGCAGCAAAATCTGACAAGGGTCAAAAGTAAAAAAAAATGATAAACATTATTTCATCTCAGAATCTTTCTTGAATTTTGTTCTTGCTATAACAAGAGCAGCTTTTCGGACCATAAAGCTTAAATTAAAAATAAAAACAAAAAGATAGTAAAGGGCATACTTTGAAATCAAATTTTGGCATGTTAAGTTCAATTAAGGTTCAGGTGCTTCAGCTCCTAGAGTTTGGATCAGAGCACAAAATCCAGGCACATAATTAAGAGAAAGAGAAGAGAGTTGTGAGGAGGAAAGGTAAGATTATTGTCTTGCCCTTGGGATATATTTATGTAGTTTTTTGTTCAATGATCACCCTTATATTTCACCATTATAACGATAATACCTTAATGATATAAGTGGTCCATGATTACTTTTATTATTATTATTATTATTTTTAATCCTTCATTCTCTCTCAGTTGACCAGACATACAGTGCCCCATGAAATGACCAAACTTCAGAATCAGTGTTAATGCTATAAACATTTAAGGTTTGGTATTCATATGTAGTAGAAAGAACAATGACTATAATTGAATTGAGCACGTGATGTTTGGTTTGTGGATCATAGTTCCTTCGCTATGCATAAGGCATTAAGGGGTTATTTAGATTAAGGGAAATTCAAAGCGGAGTGTGCAGTTGCTGTTCTTTGGTTGAAGGAAGGGACAACTACCTTTATCCTTATTAGGTTCTTCCATTATCTCCTAAATGGTTCTATTGTTTTTCTTTTTTAATGATCAATCTTTTCGGAGAAAAAACAAAATTAATGGTTACCATGGAAAGAAACTTTATTTATTGTTGAACGGAAAGGCACTTTATACTAATGTTTGCAGTGGTTGGTTGAAAAACATATTATTTATTTGAATAAATAGTAATTTACATCATTCGAAATATTGTATATAATATAATTATTTAGTTTGATTGAAACTTTTTTTTTTAAATTATGATATATTTTTTTGGCTAACAAGTTATGATATTTAATTTAGTTTCTTACTTTTACTTTGTTTAAATAAATTTTCTGCAAAAATAATTGTTATAAAATGGTTTCTTTCGTTTATTTTTTATTTAATTTTTAAATACTACACATAGTTTATTTAATTTCTCATTTTAGAAGTAGCAAATGAAAATTTCATGCTATTTATAAGGAATAAATGAATTTTTTTTTTGTTATTTTGATGGATTAGATTAAAAATAAGCACCACCAGAAAATCATCTAATAAAGAAAAATATATTATAAACAACACGTTTGAAAAAAAGAATGAAAATGAGAGACTAATTTTTAAGAGATTAAAATTTAATAAAGTCTAATTATGTTCTTATACAGATTTTTTTTTTAAAAAGAAGTACATCCAAAAGTAAAAGAAGTTTCATATAGACAAAACAAAATGGAATGTTCGTTTAATTTATAAATTTAAGGAAGCTCAAAAGGATATTATTTCAATAAAGGTGAAGGCTTTTAAGTGTTCTTCTCTTTATTTTTTAAGAATTATTTATTTTTGTTTTCCATAACACAACATGGTGAAATGAACTGAAAACTTACAGAATCGAATGAATGTACAAATCAGAAGGGGCACTTGTTCTTATCCATGTTATCAAGAGAGAGAAAAACGGTGTGTGTGGGTATATAAATTAATTTAATATTTTGAACCAATCTTTTAGTGCTATAGTTGCTTGTATTCTGATTCAGGTAATACTATTCAACTTTGTACAAATGTGAACGGTGAAAACAAGACCTTTTCATTCAATCATCACACTTAATTAGTAGCATGGAATAGATGATAAACAAATAGTATATTTAGTTTCAGAATTATGCTTCATCTCAGAAACTTCCCTTTCTTTCTTTCATTTGCAATTATAATATTTTGTTTTCATAGTGTGTTAATAGTGGCTATATTTTTTTATCTGTGTAAGGAAATGTCTACGAAAGCTTCAAAATCAGTTTCACAACATTGGTTCAATGAAGAAGGCATAAGAAAACAAATAACCAAGTCTTGGTCAAGGAGTCTCTCAGCCAACGTGGAGGAAATCAAGGAGAACCAATTTATGTTTAAGCAAGTTTTTTTCTTATTTCAAACTTCTTTAAATATGATTAATACAAAACATTATGTCTCTCATCAGTTTTTATTTATTTATTTCTATACAAATTTTATAATTTTCTTATTTCAAAATCCAAGTGTAAATTAATGAAGTCAAAATCATAAAAGTTAACATATTTTCAAAAATAACATATACTAATATAATATATATATATATATATAATAAAAAAATAAAAAGATTATACATAATATCATATATAGTATCAACAGTTTTGTACATAACAGTCTTATCTGATTTCAACGATTGTTTCAGTAGGTGATTTCGAAAAATATAAATATAATATTAATTATATAGTTTAAATATCAAAATTCAAATAATCTGGATCCTATAGTTTTTTAATATACTGTATACTGGTATTCAAGTTCATGATCACATTAAAAAAATGATCATTGAGCTCGTGTGAATATGGTGCAACCTTCTTTTGACAAGAATTTAAACGAAAAGTCAAGGGGATTCTAAAGCCTCCAGCTTCCCTTTTGATCTAAACCACAAAATACGATTGACCAATTTCTAAAATTCCACAAGTTTATAGCTACCAATGAGTAATTAAGGATTAATTAGTTAATGGTTAATAATAATTTAAAGCCTTGACTGACCCAATTAAGGCTAATGTTAGTACATATTTTCCTCGTGTTGGCTTGGCACTGTCAAAGATTTGATATTTTAGGGAGATTCAATGTCAACCCATTGATAACAGACAAAGAACATAGTTGAATGAGTAAGGCATAGACCATACTTTCCCATGTAAGACGTGGAAAGTTATCTAAGTCTTCAATTAACTCAACCAAATTCATTGTTGTCGCCGCAAGCAATGTAGTTCCATTCCATGGTTTAGAACACACAACACAAGGGAGTTTTCCTTATATTGTATTTTAATTACAGAAACAGTGAAGAGAGATAAGATGAAAATATTGTACTTTTATTTGATAAAAATTATTAATATTTTGTATTATAAATCATATTAAGATACATTAAAACTTAATATATTTGAAATAAAATAAAATATATTTTAATTAGTATCTTCATTGTATTGACTAATATCTATAATATAATAGAACTTGATTGGATAGATTTGATTTGGACGTGGTTGCGAATCCACATGCTAATGCTATAGTTAAGAACCATTAGCTGTGACTGTTGACACTCTTACGGTCTTACCTTACACACATTTGTTGTGGCGATCTCTGCAAAACATGAAAGGAATCTATGAGTACGGACTCATTAGATACTTTTAAGTTTCATTTTTAGATAAATTTTGTTTTTTCAAGTTTTTAATGTCACAAATTGATTTATTTATTTTTAATAGGTAGCCCAGCTAAAAAGGGCATAAAGATTAAAAGGTGATTTCAGGACCGTCTTACTGCACAACATAGAATATTTGGTTCTTAACCTTCGTTTTGTAAGTTCTAAACACACAACTTGAAAAATTATATATCCAAGAGCTAAGTAGTGGCAACTCAAATGTTATAAATAAATTTTTAAGAAATTAGAAAGTATAAGATAATTAATGTTAATCTCATTTATAATAATTTTTTTATCAAAGTTAGGAGGGTTGCTAAAGCTATAATCGGTAAATCTAGAGGTTTGAATTCAAAAAATAAAGAATATTGGTGATGAGATGAAAGTATAAAAGATATGATTAGAGACAAGCAAAAATATTTTAAAATTTTATACGAGTGTAACAATATAAAAAAGTTACGAAAAGTATTGAAATGATAAAAATGACAAAAAAAAAAAAGTTGAGTAATGCATGCTCTAAGGCTTTTGAGAATTTTTACCGTGATCTTGGAAAAAAATTGAAAATATAAAATTTATAAGTATGTCAAAAATAAGAATAGAAAATAAAGTGATTTAAATTAAGAAAGATGTGTCAAAGATGAAAAAAAACAAATTTTGGTTTTAGATTAAAATATTAAAGAGTGATAGAAGAATGATAAAATGATGGAGAAATGAATGATAGTACACACATAATACAAATTAAGCAATAAAATTGAAAAAAGACACTGAAATATTTTTGTGATGCAAAGAACTTATCAAGTTTTAATGAATTTTGTATTGAATTTCAATAAAATCGACTGTTCTCTATAATAATAAATGCTATTTTTGAAAGGATAACACAAGAAAAAAAAATAAAAGTAGTAGGAATCTCAACATTAAGATGGATGTGTGGTTATACAAGGAAGAATAAGATATATAAGAAATGACTATACACAAAAAAAAAAATTAGATTCACCTCTATTAAGAAAGAAAGAATATAAATTGATTAAAATAGTAGCCATCAAATATACTAATTGAAAAAGTTGTTTGTATGATTTTTTATCCCTATAAAAAAGAGTAGAGAAAGACCAACAAAATCTTTGTAAGAATTCATAAAAAAAATTATAATTAATAATATCTCTAAAAATTTAGCTTTAATCTTGAATAATCTATCTAACTGAATTCATTTAGGTTTATTATTATTATTATTACAAAAAATTTATTGAAAGCAAATTAAAATTTCAAACAAAAAATAGTTAAAATTAAAATAGGTTTCATTCAAAGTATATTTATATTGACAAAATTGCACATGTGTAACTTATGGTCATTCTCAGTAAATGTTGAATTGTAAGTAAACAAACACAAATTAAATCAAAATAAATAGTTTACAAATATTTGTAAGCACAAAAGTAATTAATATTGAATTTATTTACATATTTTGTATTGATAAAAATATATAGTATGAAATGTATAATTTTAACTTGCTCTCGATAATACTCACAAATTAAAAGCTTACTAAAATTCTATCTAAATAACTGTATTTTTGTAAATTATTTATCAAATAAAAAAAACAAACAGAGTACAATAACATCCCTGGTTTAGTTTATAAATATAAAAAAAAAATTTTAATTTATTTAAATATATATTCAAATTAAAACACTCAATAAACTCATTAAATAACAATATAAAATTTATTTTAGTCTTAATATTTTTTCCTATATCAAAATTTAGAATTTACATTTTATCTTAAAAGTCAATTATCTTAACTTTAATAATATCTCTTTTTCTCATGAAGATAAAATATTAATATTTGATGAAGTTTGTTGACATAATTTATTTGAT